TGGTGGTGGTGGCGGTGGAGGTTGGTGGGTGGTGGCGGTGGTGGTGGTGGTGGAGGTTGGTGGGCGGTGGTGGTGGCGGTGGTGCTGGTGGTGGCGGTGGAGGTTGCTGTGTGGTGGTGGCGGTGGTGGTGGCGGTGGAGGTTGCTGGGTGGTGGTGGTGATGGTGGTGGTGGCTCAATATTTGAGAGACTCGCCCCATCGTTTCAAACTGCCGCACCGCGAGAGTGAAATCGAAGCGGCGACTTTTATAAATAACAAAAATTTAGAAAACCAATTGCGTAACTCCTCGCCAACCACGCCGGTGACATGCGGTGCCTTGGCGATAGCCTCGCGCTGTGATTGATGAAAAAAAAACATAAATACAACTTGCGTGAACACCAAATCAATGTCCTCGCGGAAGACTGAATGAATGAATGGCGACCCGTCTCAATTGCAAGCTCGGTGCGCTACTCGCTCGCGAACCCCCCGAGAGGGAGCAGAGGGGCAAGAGGAGCGCGCCTCCCTCACATCGCGGGGTTCCTCCTAGGCGCGTCGCATTCTGCGTTATCGCGCTCCATTGTTGAGGCAGAGGTCGCAACCAATGGGGACTAGGCTCTAAAGAAAGCCGTCTCGGGTGTGGACCAATCAACTTCAAGGACAGTGCATATTATTATCATTATCAGAGTTGCTTCTTTTTGTTTGCTTTTTTGACTACTTGTGTTGTGGTTATTGCATACATGATGCCTTGAATAAAGGTGTCAGTTTTGTACCAGTTTAAAAGGGTAAACACCTACTACTGGCTTTTGATTCCGTACCCGTACCCGGCCGCACCAGGGTCGCAAACGGGTACCCGGGTACGGGTAGCCGGGTATCGGGTAGGGTACGGGTATCGGGTACCCGGTTGCGACCTCTGTTGTGCGGCGCTTACGGGTATTTTGTTGTTGTTGTTGTCGTTCCGCTTTGTTTGCCAGGATCGACGGTTTTGTTGGTGAGGGGCTGAGAGCGTTCGCGTAATGAGTGTGGGGGGCGGAGGTGCCATGCACCCCCCTCCTCCTCCTCCTTCCCCCCGGTGGCCAAAGCTACGAGTTGGGGCCGCCCTTGACAACCACCATGAGATTTGTTTTCAACAACAACAACATTATTCTTTGGTTCTTTCGGTAAAGCCACGTAGATGTAATAAAAGTAATAAATAAATAATCTTGACTTCAAGCTTTCGTGACTGCAGAAATTCATACTTTTTGGGTATTTTGGTAAAGTCACGGAGCCTCTAAAGGCAACCTGTTTATAAAGGTTTAGCAGCCCGTCTCTAAACCTTCTTAAACAGTTTGCCTTAGAGGCTAACCCTCCTTTTCATGATGACGACCGCTTGTGTTGCGATCAAAACGTCGTGGTTTTTGTTTTTATTTTCATTTTTAAAAACATTTTTACGTGTTATTCACTTTATTTTTCAATTCTTATTTTTATATCTACGTGACTTTACCGAAAGAACTAAAGAATATGAATTCCTGCAGGTCACTAAAGTTTCAAGTCAAAACAACAACAGCGTCAAAGAACAACAACACTTATTTGGCTAAGCCGGAGCGCCCCTACAGCGTGAAATGTTCGAGACCGTGAGGGTAAGGACGGTGTGAAAAGGCGAGAGGAGACGCACACGTACCCTAGCCTCGGTGCCACCGTGCGAGACAAGTCAAATAATTGGGCCCCAACCTGACCAATTGCGTCACTGCGCCACTGGCTGAGAGTATTCAGGTCTATAGCGATCCCAACGATGTCGCCGCCCAAAATTCCCAACAGTTATTTTTTTCACGTTCTGTGTTTCAAGCCTGTTGGCAGTAAATCACTGAGTACTGAACACACAGACTACCCAGCCACTCACTACTGACCACCAGACTACCCAGTCACTCACTACTGACCACACAGACTACCCAGTTACTCACTACTGACCACACAGACTACCCAGCCACTCACTACTAACCACCAGACTCAAATAAAACTAAAAGATGTTTAGTATTTTATCAGGTAGTGCCCACTGAGCTCCATGGCTCTTTCTCAGAAGCGACGTGGCCCACACAAATGATAGCTCAGCGAACCGCCTTATCGTGTGGGCATGGAGAGTTTTCGCCTCTGTAACTGAAGTGTGGTAAAGGAGCAGCCCCTGCAATGGCTCGCTCGCGCCACTGCCGGCAGAAGAGGCCTCCACTAAGAGGGTGCTCTGCAGAGCTGGAGCGAGCTCTTAGAGATCACCTCTCGTTCGTTATTAGTGCAACCTCGTTATATATATTACGACATAATTAAGCAGACAATACATCTCCTTTCCCGGGTCCGTCTTTCCATGTAACATTATAATTATAAAATCATTCTTTTGACACGGTCGACCAGGCAGACGCACGAAACTTCTGGGAGTGCATAATGGCAGCAGCATTGATTTCAAGACAATCAAAACTCCGGGCAGGTATAGCCACACAAGTGTCTCATCAGCAGAGTCAGCTTCGCTGGAATCATCGGTGCCGGTGAAGAACTGCCGAACTTACAGGCAAGCGGGGAGCAGTGGCACTGTGGTGGTGGTGGTGGTGCGCATGCTGCAGTCTGAGCCTGGAGACCTGGGTTCGATTCTCAGCCAGAGCCAAAATTCGGGACATCTGAACTCATACTGCCTCACTACCCTTTCACGCCTTTGCCCGCGTCGGGAAATCGAGTCGAACAACCTCCAAATCTTTTCGATTTGAAGCTTTCGTGACTGCAGGGATTCATCTTCTTGGTTCTTTCGGTAAAGTCACGTAGAAGGGAAATAATAAAATAATAAAAATAAAACATAATAAAATAATTCTCACGACGTTTCCGACAGACCTGTTCTTCACCTGAGGACGGCTGCTTGCGTTGTGGCCGAAACGTCGTGAGAATTATTTTATTGTGTTTTATTTTTCTTATTTTATTATTTCCCTTCTACGTGACTTTACCGAAAGAACCAAGAAGATGAACCTCCAAATCACTAACGCAACCTGGGGAGCCTTTCGTCCAGCAGTTGATTCACAAATGGATTAAAATTATTCGTTTGTTTTGTAATCAACAATCACTGAATTGTGCATTTAAAGGTGTCGTGTGTTGTTATGCAAACTATAGACGCGCATCGTGAGGTCTGTGCTGTTGGTCAATGTTTACGAAACATGAGCATTCATTCTTTTCGAAAGTTAAATATTCGCCTGAATCGTAAAATGTGTCCCAGAATCGTAATATTGCGCATACTTCTGAGAACAAACCCAAAAACAAAACATTAAAATTTCACAAGATACTGAAATTCATATTTACAACACAACAATTGTTTGACTTCGTAGGACCTTCCTGAAATAGCCATGAGGCCCAGTGAAACTTTCGCAGGTGAACTGACGCAATAATAAGACCATAACAACAACAACAATTTAAAATAATAAACTCGTGGTTCAGCAAATCCGTTCGGCAGACGCAGAGCGAGGGGAAGGGAGTCAATCCTGGTGATCACTTACCTTGCAGCGAAGGCATTTGGGTGATCACTGCTGCAGCTCGACTCACCTACGACGTCGTAGTAAGCGAGGGGGCCCTTGCACACCCCTCTGAGCAACTTTTATATCGTTGGGCTGAATGGGGGCAGTCATTAAAACGCATCTCTCGTCTCACACTGCCCTCTACGTGGCCCCCCTCTCTCTCACTCTCCCTCTCTCTCTCTCTCGTGGTGCCAGGGCGTCTCAATTAAAAACCAGGAGGCACTCTCTTCCTTCATTAAAACCGTCGACCCGCACACGCACCACTGCTTGCCTCTCTCTGTGTGTGTGTGTGGCTCTCAATGGATGCACTGCACGCACGCACGCAGATATTAAAATAATGCCGCTCAGACTGCGCGGATTCCCGCTGTGGGCCAATGCGAGAATTGGTGGTCACTTTGTCCGTACGTCCGTGCGGAGACAGGGCGCGCACAGAAACACGTGGGTGCGATAAACAGATGATCGCGGCGACGATTCGCAGGTGCTCGCGATGGCTTTTCTTTTTGGCAACGGCGTTGTGTGCGATTTTAAATCGTGGGGACAAACTAAGAATGCCACCACGCGCGTTCTACGAAGCGACGTACGCGTATTCGTTCGTGTGCAGTTTCGCAAGGGTTAGGGAGGGGAGGGGGATGGATCACGACACCTGGAGGAGCATTCGAAGCGACCCATTGTTGGCTTTAGCGACCAACTACTTCGCACGGCGTACACGGAGATAACGAAGATAACGGGATGCCGCCGGGCAGATGGAGCTGATGAAATGGGCACGTGTGCGAGGTGCCGAGTGGATCGTGGTGTTGTGGTGGTGGTGGTGTGGTGGTGGTGTTGTGGTGGTGGTGTTGTGGTGGCGGTGGTGGTGTGGTGGTGTTGTGGTGGTGGTGGTGTTGTGGTGGCGGTGGTGGTGTTGTGGTGGTGTTATGGTGGTGTTGGCGGTGGTAGTGGTGTTGTGGTGGTGGTGGTGTGGTGGTGGTGGTGGTGTTGTGGTGGTGGTGGCGGTGGTGGTGTTGTGGTGGTGGTGTTGTGGTGCCGGTAGTGGTGGTGGTGTTGTGGTGGTGGTGGTGGTGGTGTTGTGGTGGTGGTGGCAGCTCGCGGAGCCCTTCATCCGGCAGATGGTGACTGATATACCAGAGCAACGTTGAACAGAAATCTGACTGTCGTCTGATGATGCTCGTTGTAATCATTGGCGAAACGTCGTACTCAAATTGTAAATGTTGTGGATTTACCCTCCAACACACACCGCCGCTGTGCTGCTGTACTCGTAACGAATTGGGCATGTTCTGTTTACTAGATACACCTTACCGATTGGCTGTGTCGGATGGTGGCGGGTTTCACGACACACGTGCATATTTACGCGCTCTAACCCAACAATCAAACAAAATCAACCTCCATCATGAACGTTGAACACATTTACACCTAATTTCCTGAGCTCAAAATAACTACCGCGGTCAATGCACGGCACCCCTTGCCACGTGCGCGTGCCCATCGCGTCTGCGGTGCCCTCCTCACCCGTCCTGTGGTACTCCTCCGAGACGCTCAGCGGCCGCGAAACGTCGCCGTTCCTAGGGAAGGCCACGGCGACCCCGCCACCGTCGTGGGCCTGCACCAGCGGTGATGGCAGCGACGGTGACCCCGCGTGACCCTCCGGCGACGGGGTCACGCTCGTCCTCACTGCGGCCGCCTCGTGCAGATGGAGCCGCTGGTGCGTTGGAGAGACGAGCGCAGCGGTCACGCCGTGGAGGGCCGGCGCGACGCCGTTCGCGTGCGCCTCGGAGGCGAGGGCCGGGGTCGAGGTGTCGGCGTCTCGGCTCGAAGTCCTTCGCCGACGCCGCCGTCGTCTGTGCTGGCCGCAGGGCACGTGCACCCCGATGTACACCGCGTGGTGACCTGGAAGACGGGCGAGGCAGTGGTGGCGACGATGGGCGATGTTTGTTCGATGGCAGAGCCAGCGTAAGCTTCGGCACCCCCCCCCCATTCACCCACCCGTACCCCCGAGAATATTGAAGGGCCCACAGGGGTTGAGGTCACAGATACGGGGTGTATGAAATATCGGGTGGAATTTAAGTCCGAATCAAATTTGCAAGGGAATTGACATTTGAAAACAAAACACACGCGCGCGCGCACGATTAATTTCGGTCCAATCTCTGGATTTCCTGCATCTGTCTCCTCTCATCTCACCACATATCAACCGTTTACATTAATCACTTTTCCCCACGTCTATGTCACTTGACTGTATGTCTCCTGATGGGCAGGACCACATAGACACTGTGACCTGATGCACAGGACCACACAGACACGTGACCTGATGCACAGGACCACACAGACACGTGACTTGATGCACACTGTGACCTGATGCACAGGACCACACAGACACGTGACCTGATGCACACTGTGACCTGATGGGCAAGGACCACACAGACACGTGACCTGATGGGCAGGACCACACAGACACGTGACCTGATGGACAGGACCACACAGACACGTGACCTGATGCACAGGACCACACAGACACGTGACCTGATGCACAGAACCACACAAACACGTGACCTGATGCACAGGACCACACAGACACGTGACCTGATGCACAGAACCACACAGACACGTGACCTGATGCACAGGACCACACAGACACGTGACCTGATGCACAGGACCACACAGACACGTGACCTGATGCACAGAACCACACAGACACGTGACCTGATGGTCAGGACCACACAGACACGTGACCTGATGCACAGAACCACACAGACACGTGACCTGATGGGCAGGACCACACAGACACTGTGACCTGATGCACAGGACCACACAGACACGTGACCTGATGCACAGGACCACACAGACACGTGACCTGATGGACAGGACCACACAGACACTGTGACCTGATGCACAGAACCACACAGACACGTGACCTGATGGTCAGGACCACACAGACACGTGACCTGATGGACAGGACCACACAGACACCGTGACCTGATGGACAGGACCACACAGACACGTGACCTGATGGGCAGGACCACACAGACACGTGACCTGATGGTCAGGACCACACAGACACGTGACCTGATGGACAGGACCACACAGACACCGTGACCTGATGGACAGGACCACACAGGCACGTGACCTGATGGGCAGGACCACACAGACACGTGACCTGATGGACAGGACCACACATACACGTGACCTGATGAGCAGGACCACACAGACACGTGACCTGATGCACAGGACCACACAGACACGTGACCTGATGCACAGGACCACACAGACACGTGACCTGATGCACAAGACCACACAGACACGTGACCTGATGCACAGGACCACACAGACACGTGACCTGATGCACAGGACCACACAGACACGTGACCTGATGCACAGGACCACACAGACACGTGACCTGATGCACAGGACCACACAGACACTGTGACCTGATGCACAGGACCACACAGACACGTGACCTGATGCACAGGACCACACAGACACTGTGACCTGATGCACAGGACCACACAGACACTGTGACCTGATGCACAGGACCACACAGACACGTGACCTGATGCACAGGACCACACAGACACGTGACCTGATGCACAGGACCACACAGACACGTGACCTGATGCACAAGACCGGATAGTCTGTGTCAGTGTTTCTCAGCCTTTTAAGGCACCGATGCTGAAGAGGCAGCACTCACCGAGACTTGAATAATGCCTCAAAATAGATCTCAAAACAAAGCAGATGTGTTCATCCATCAGTAGCATTTTAATATTTAGCGTAATTATGGTGGGGGGGGGGGGGGTGTGAAGATATTGCGTAATGCTGCCACAGAACGAGCAAAATGCCACCTGCATCACTGAAGTATTCCGACGGTAATTGACACAATTGCCCCCCCCCCCCTCTCTCTCTCAAATCCGTGATGCCATTAGCGTAGACTTCAAGCGATGTGCGTTAATCATCGAGTATTAACCAGGACTTAACGAAATCAATAACACAGTCGGTTATGTGTGTTGTTATTAACGGCGCTTAATGATCAATCTGTGTTAACCAGAGGGGTACATTTTATCGTGAAATATTTTTCCCCAGATGCCCCCAAAAAAACATCGGAACCTCCGGGGGGGGGGGGGTGGTGGGGGATATATTTTCCGGAGCTCAGCCTCGGAGAGCTCCAACTGAAACGAATGCGTTGATCAGCAGCATCCGTCTCGTCACTCGCTCCGTTCCACGAGACATTAAGCTTTGAGTGACACACAGATGGAGAGTGCCGAGCGAAAGCGAGCGAGACGGTGTGTTGCGTTGGTAAGGTTTGTCACGGAAGCAAAACGTGTCGATTCGTTACGAGTACAGCGCACCGGTGTGTTGGAGAACAAATCCACAACATTTACAATCCGAGAATTAGTAACGAATTGGCCACGTTCTGTTGACGTGACAAAGCTGAGTAATTGGCTGTGTCGGGTGGTGGCGGGTTTAACGACACATTTATATTTACGCGATTTAACCGAAAAATATATATTATAGATGATATTGGTTCCGATAGCCTATGTGTTAAACGGTCTGTTGAGTTTCGATTCAGACGCTGTCTCCCCGACAGACCTGGTCTTCGCCTGAGGACGGCTGCTTGCGTTGTGGCCGAAACGTCGTGAGAATTATTTTATTATGTTTTTTTTAATTTTTTTATTTCATTATTTCCATTCTACGTGACTTTACCGAAAGATCTTCTTGGTTCTTTCGGTAAAGTCACGTGACTTTACCGAAAGAACCAAGAAGATGAATCCCTGCAGTCACGAAAGCTTTAAATCAAAATTTACCGAAAGAACCACGAAGAGGGTCTGTTGAGTGTTGGGCCCATCACGCACTGCACATTCGTGATGGACTCGACTCATAGGAGTGCACAACGTCAAATGTTCCTACTTACTCTTACTTACTGCTTGGCTACGTTTGACCTATGGTCACCGCGATATGCATATGGATGGTGCGGTACGATACGAGATCAGGTTTCGCAATGCGAAGATGATTATTGGGATATCGGTTGCCTGTCACTTTTGTAAGTGCACTTTGCATGTTACCGTCTTGTTTTTTGTACTTTGATTCACTGGTACTCAAGTAAACGGGCCAACGTTGACCCAACGTCGGCCGAACGTTGGGTCAACGTTGGTCCGAGGCCCAACGTTGGGTCAACGTTGGTCCGACTACGTCCCAACATTAGCCCAACGTTGGGTGAACGTTGGTCCGACTACGTCCCAACATTAGCCCAACGTTGGGTGAACGTTGATCTGACTACATACCAACATTGGGCCAACGTTAGTTTATTTATTGGGTCAAGACCGCTTAAAAGTTATCCGACAATAGTTCCCCAATATTGGCCCTCCCTTAAGTATTCTAACCACTGCGATTTTACTCTAATTACAAATCTGTAAAGCATTCAGGGCTCGTGATGTCAATCATACGAAGGTATTTAATTACATGAACTACGAAAATTATGACATCAAATTTGCCGTAAATGTCCCGCGCCATCAGTTACTTTGCAACAGCAAGAATGTAATTGCTGTCGTTAAAACGAGCGGTAATCATTGCGTTTATTTGTTCGCTATCAATATACTGTAGTGTCAATAAAATGTATTTATTTATTGATGACAAATAAAGCAATCTAGATTTGAAGCTTTCGTGACTGCAGGAATACATACTCTTTGGCTCTTTCGGTAAAGTCACGTAGTCAGTTTAACACGTAGGCTTTCGCGACCAATATTATTCATAATCAACGTTTTTGGGTTTAGATCGCGTTATTTATAAATGTGTCGTAACCCTCCACCACCCGACACGGCCAATCAGTAAAAAAGTGTCACGTTGACAAAGGACAAATAGTTCACTGCTTTAGCCCACCGGTGTGTTGAAGCGTGAAACCACAACATTTACAATTTGAGTACGACGTTTCGCTGGTAATTGCATCCAGCATCATCGGGCAATTGCCCGATGCAATTACCAGCGAAACGTCGTACTCAAATTGTAAATGTTGTGGTTTCACGCTTCAACACACCGGTGGGCTAAAGCAGTGAACTATTTGTCCTTTGTCAACGTGACACATTTTTGCTGATTGGCCGTGTCGGGTGGTGGAGGGTTACGACACATTTATAAATAACGCGATCTAAACCCAAAAACGTTGATTATGAAAGTCACGTAGGTTGAAAAATAAAATAAAATAGATCACGACGTTTCGGGCGCAAACACAAGCGTCCGTCATCATGTGGGAAAGCATGGTCTGCTGCTGATGCAGACTGTTTTAAAAGGTTTGAAATGGGTGTAGCCCAAGGGTCATAAAGGAGTGGCTGGGTCTAGTGATGTGAGAAATTAGCATGTAACTGGGTACGGAAGCAAGCTTCGATAAGTGCGATATCACGATACCTTGTAGAAAACGGACGATACGATTATTGTGGACGATAATATCACGCGATATATCGTATATCTTACGATATATCTTACGATATACGATATATCGTAGCTTCGCCCAATCGCAGCACACCCGACGGTGATGCACAAGCACCACGAACACGAACAACTCAACGCATTCCCCACAGCACAAGCGCACTGAAAAAGGCGCATTGCCCGAAACGTCGCCTGTATATCTTTAACTTTGAGGGCCACAGTTCTGTTGAAGAACGTGCCGCGTCTGTTTAGCCACGTGACGTTTGAAGGCTGTTCTTGCCACCTAGTGGTGACAGAGGTGGTGAACCCTGCAGGGATTTTCCCAGACGCCCCCCGCTGCGCCACCGCGCTGCGTTTTATCCGCCATGCGTTTTATGCGCCCTGCGCCTCCACTCGTTGTTGTGAGCGTCGCTCCTCCGCCCTCCGTTGTTGCTGGAGGACGACTGCTCCCTCCCAACTGCCCAGGAGCGTCCTTCACGAGCCCCACCGCTAGGTAACCGGCTTTATGGGCCGTCCATAAATGACGTCACGCGATTTGGGACGATTTTTGACCCCCCCCCCCATCGTCACACGGCGTCACAGAAAGTCAGACCGCCCCCTCAAATATGACGTCACAAAGCTCTGCCCCTCCACCCCCCAAAAAAATAAAACATGCTTCAAATCGCTTTAAACTATAGGCGTCGTAGTGCGTATTCAATGTGGCGCTGCACTGATGTTGTAGGAGAAAACATTTATTAAAAAGTCTATTTAATTAAGTAGAACGTGTTGTCTATATTTAAAGTTGCGCGTTTTGATGTGACGTCACATTTCTCAACCCCCCCCCCCCTCGTCACACATCGTCACAGAAAGTCAGACCCCCCCCCCCTGGTGCGTGACGTCATTTACGGACGGCCCCTTAGGTAAGTCCAACTCAGCTCCACATCCTTCTGTACAGCATCGCCTCCATCTCTTCTCCAAACCGTGCCGCGCTCATTTAGCTCCCTCTATCCGACCAAGAAGAAACTGCTTGTGCGTGCGGTGGCTGGCCATGCGAGCTACGTGACCCAGCCAACGCAGCCTCGCCTGCCGGAGGAGCTCGCCGATGGGACTGCGTCCCAGATCGTTTAAGGTTCTGAGCTAAGACGATATAATTCTATTCCAGGAGGGATAGATATACGGCATGTCTTGCAGCTGGAGGAGGAGATTATGCAAGGGGACTTATCCCCCAAATGTTGGACAGCACTAGAAGCCAGCTCAGGCTGGTTGGTCTCAGCACTGTGCCTGTTGCCAGGGCTAAATTTCAACCGGTGCGGTCCGAAACGCTGTTCCGGGAATTATTTTGTGGACAGGCGTCCGCATCCATTTCGCCTTATTTTGCTCCAATACACTTGTATACCACCTGTTCATAGGATCATCGGAACATATTGGGGGCCGTCCATAAATGGCGTCACGCGGTTAAGGACGATTTTTGCACCCCCCCCCCGCCCTCGTCACACGGCATCACAAAAAGTCAGACCCCTCCCCTCAAATATGACGTCACAAAGCTCTGCCCCCCCCCCCCCCCCCCAAAAAAAAATAAAAACATGCTTCAAATCGCTTTAAACTATTGTCATTGTAGTGCGTATTTAATGTGGCACTGCACTCTGATGTTGTAGGAGAAAACATTTATTAAAAAGTCTATTTAATTAAGTAGAACGTGTTGTCTATATTTATTAAAAGTTGCGCATTTTGATGTCACGTCACATTTCTCAAACCCCACCCCCCCCCCCTCGTCACACATCGTCACAAATGTCTGACCCCGCCCTCCCCTGTAGGTGCGTGACGTCATTTATGGACAGCCCCTTGTACACTAATTTCGGCTGACTATTGCCGGGCGTAGCTCGTGTTCCGGTGGAAGTGCCTAACGCCGAGACTCCCTCCTGCAATCCAGCTTGGCAGCATTGCGAACGAATCCCTGGCTCTCATTATGCCGAATTCAGACGAGCGAGCGGTGACTCACACCGAGGTAGCAATTTTCTGCCATCGAATAGCCGAGAGAGTCAAGCTCAGGGCTCGCCTCTGAGTGGCTGCCACCCGCATCCCAAGTCGGGCCATCTAGTTTGCCGATCAGGTTGTTTCCTGTACTCTATCTTACAGGCGATGATGCGTCGATAAGGTTGTCCTTTGAGTGTGAGGCCATGCTCTGGTACAGTGGATCCAAGCATTGTTCTTGTTGTATACCAAACCCCCCTCTCAACCCAACCCCACCCCAACCCCCCACCCTCCCTCCACCGCCCCAGTCCACGTACCTCCAACCAGCAAGACAATTCAATTATTGTAAAAATGACACTCGAATTACATTGACACGTTTTCCACACGTGAGACCAACAGTTAAGACCTAATAACTGGATTACAATAAACTAAATATTCACAAATCCAATTACGTAAATATATCATGCATACGGCTATTGGAGTGTCATCCGAGTCACCATCGCGAATGAATCAAAGTCGCCAGGCTGAGTGAGTGAGATTCACCGCACGTGGAAGGCTGGGGAGTTTATCTGACCCGCCTGAATAATCTATTTGTGAAATCGTTCGAATGTAAAAAATATATATACATTTATGAACGAAAGCAGAAGAGCAGAAGAAGTGGGAAAAACCCGAGCGGCTAAGCGCACGGGTTCAGAAAAATAGCATAGAACAGATAAGTACAGAGCTTTAGAATGTGGAAGGCAGTAGCCAAGCGCTGCTTTATAGCCCCATCTGGCCATGCCTCCATGTCCAGACCTCCCGCCCGCACCCACACGGCCATGTGTGGGGGAGAGGGCGAGATGTGAACTACCTCGCCTGGAGTACAGGAGGTCGTGGGTTTGATCCCGACCCTGACGCCTGCTGCTGTATATTTAGAGTGTGCGTGTATCTCTCTCTCATCATCATCACGGTGGCTAGGAGATGTTAACTACATCGCCTGGTATGCAGGAGGTCGTAGGTTCGATCCCGACCCTGAAGCCTGCTGTATATTTGAAGTTTGTGTCGTTCTCTCTCTCTCATCATCATCATCACGGTGGCTAGGAGATGTTAACTACCTCGCCTGGTATGCAAGAGGTCGTGGGTTCGATCCCGACCCTGACGCCTGCTGTATATTTGAAGTTTGTGTCGTTCTCTCTCTCTCTCATCATCATCACACTGGCTAGGAGATGTTAACTACATCGCCTGGTGTGCAGGAGGTCGTGGGTTCGATCCCGACCCTGACGCCTGCTGTATATTTGAAGTTTGTGTCGTTCTCTCTCTCATCATCATCACGGTGGCTAGGAGATGTTAACTACATCGCCTGGTATGGAGGAGGTTGTGGGTTTGATCCCGACCCTGACGCTTGCTGTATATATGGAGTGTGCGTCTCTCTCGCTCTCACCGTGGTCGCGTGAATGTTTCTCCGGATCCTCCGGTTTTTTACCCTCCACATTTAGAATCGACATCGCGTGTTTCGAGTATTGGGCTGCTCCAAATATTTCCACGTGATGAGAAGCCGCTCCATTGGGTTATCATTTGTGGCCAGGTCACTTCTGAAAATGAGCTAGGTAGCTCAGTGGGCCTTACTTGGTAAAATACAATTTTAAAAATAATAGGTTTTATGATAATTGGTTTTTTACCCTTCTATCTGGCAAAAAAACTGACACCTTTTTTACAAGGAGTCATGTTTGCATAGACCACAATACCTGCAGCAATAATGCAAACAAAAAACATAACTCTGATAATGTATGCACTGTCCTTGAAGTTGATTGGTCCACACCCGAGACAGCTTTCCTTAGAGGTTAGTCTCACATGGGTTGGACCAGATGACGCCAAAAAGCGCACAACTCAAAGACAATGCACCATCAGAGTATGAGAGCTCGGGGTTAAACATTTACACCATTGGAACCTCATTTGCCAGTAAAACATATGATAATAGGTTTTATATATGTAAATGATGAGAAAACTCCATCATAACAGAAGACTCGTGGTGGCCGCATACCCATGGGCTTCAAACAATCCGCACACGAGCGTGCACACAGAACACACGCTCGGCATGTGTGCTTCGTGCAGACGGTTCTGGAAGATCTTTTTGGTTTTTTCGGTAAAGTCACGTAGAAGGGAAATAACAAAATAATAAAAATAAAACATAATAAAATAATTCTCACGACGTTTCGGCCACAACGCAAGCAGCCGTCCTCAGGTGAAGAACAGGTCAGACGCTGTCTTTCCGACAGACCTGTACTTCACCTGAGGACGGCTGCTTGCATTGTGGCCGAAACGTCGTGAGAATTATTTTATGTTTTATTTGTATTACTTTATTATTTCTTTTCTACGTGACTTTACCGAAAGAACCAAGAAGATGAATCCCTGCAGTCACGAAAGCTTTAAATCGAGGTTCTGGAAGACTTGCACTGTGGCCCTCTTGTATGTGCTGTGTACTATGTATTAACTTCTCCCCCACCGTACGTAGCAATCCGTGCTTATCGGAGGTGCTGGGTAAGGGCAACTAGCTAAACACAAAAAATGCAGTTCTCAGGTTACTGGTATACAATTGGTGGATTGTACATATAGGCGACAAACAAAAACATTGAAAAGTCAAGTCATTCGATGGTGATATGATCAATTGTCTGAAATAGTTGGAGGAGGGGGGGAGGTACGGACAACACGCAAGAGAACGGCGGAATGGAGTGGCGAGCGCCGTATTGATTCGTGGTTCTGCACAAAGCGCGGAGCGGCCGAATGTCAACAAGTAGCTCGTAGATTTACGCATTCGTTTGTATTCATCTCACACTTAAATTTCGATTTAAAGCTTTCGTGACTGCAGGGATTCATCTTCTTGGTTCTTTCGGTAAAGTCACGTAGAAGGGAAGTAATAAAATAATAAAAATAAAACAATAAAATAATTCCCACGACGTTTCGGCCACAACGCAAGCAGCCGTCCTCAGGTGAAGAAGACAGCGTCTTCTCGACAGACCTGTTTCTTCACCTGAGGACGGCTGCTTGCGTTGTGGCCGAAACGTCGTGAGAATGATTTTATTTTGTTTTATTTTTATTACTTTATTATTTCCTTCTACGTGACTATACCGAAAGAACCAAGAAGACATCTCACACTTGTTGAAAGTCAATTTGTTTTCTCACATTGACCGTGTCCTGTCACGCCTCCCCCCTCCCTCCAAACCTCCTCCTCCTCGAACCCAACCCCCTTTCAGCAAGGCCACGCTCCTGGGTCGGCGATCCAAAGGATGAACCCGACGCGACACGTGCGCTGAACATCAATCGCACCGACCGCGCTTCATCGGACACGCGCGCCGCCGCTCACCTTCCACGTCCTCCTCGTCCACGGCGTGCTTGCGACACAAGGCGCCTCGGTCCAGCACGGCCTCGTCCTCCATCCTGTAGTAGTAATAGAGGAAGAACGAATGCTCCGCTTTGGCACGAAGCGCGCTGCAGTCCGGCGATGACGGGCAGCTGTCGATTCCGCCGAAGCCGCCGCCACCGCCGCTGCTGCTGCTACAGGGCGGCGGTGGCTGCGCGCTCCCCGCCGGTTCCGGCCACCCCGCAAGGCCACGCGCACCGGGGCTGCGCGGTGCCGCCAAAGAAGCCGTCATGCCGAGAGGTCCCCCCCCTCTCCTCCTCCTCCCCACCACCACCACCACCACACTCCCCAGGCGCGCGGTTACCACTCAGCCTGCGCGCCTCTCCGTTACGCGGTGGCTAGGCACGGGGCTCCCGGCTTGGCGTGGCGTGCGGGGGGGTCACAAGTGACACGACCTGTCAGTCACAGCCCTTCACCCTAACCCTGGTCCCCACCGCCACCACTCCACCCCGCGGTGCCCGTCTGCAGCCACCTCCAGCTCCTTGCGCGTGGTCGACCCAACAGCCCCCCAAACTGGGAGAAGCCACGTGCGCGCGCGCGACGATGATCGATGATTCGGTCCCGGGCGTCTCCTAGGTCGACTCAGCCTCGAATGAGTAGCTGAGGCAAATGCGGCCGGGCGCGGTGTTCGCCGTCCACGTCGTCGTGTGCCGTGTCGGCCTTCATCGGTTGCTACTCGCTACGAACAGCGCTTGTCCCAATCGTCTGTAAAAAGGCTATACCGGTGGAGAGGGTGGGGGGTTGTTGGAACCTTTGTCTTTGTGCGCGCGTGTGACCTGTTCCAGTCCGCACGCTGAAATAGTAATGACTTGCGGGTAATTCAGCCGTCTGCCACTTGAACGATTGCCTCGAGACGAACGGCCGTTGAAGGCGACGCTCGGTTGTCGAATTACAGAGGCCCCCCCGTGCATGCCCTCTGTCTCTATCGCTCGCTTCGCCCTTAACGAGTCGCCGACGAATCGCCCACGTGAATGCGACCCATAAACCCAGCAGCAAACGGGTCCGCTTGAAGTGTCGAAGAGTATTTGCAATGATGGTACGACGATCGTTAAAAACAAACGAAAAAAATAAGCATGAAGCCACTCGTTCCGTGGGTTTCGTCCGACGCCATCGACTTGCGGATGAACGCCGGGACCTTCCTGAGAGAGGGAACGCGAAGACGCGGACCCAGCGGCCTCCTAATCGCCCCTGATCGCCTCTAATCACGTCTAATCAGAGAGCAGCCTCAATCAGCAGAAGGACGTCGCTCCACTTGGTAACGGCTACCACGTGATCGCCCCCCCCCCACCATCCCGGGACACAAAAAGTTTCATAACCCCGAGATGGAGTCTCGGTCGATGCGCTTTTTTGGACGTAGATTTTTGTGAACGTGGAGTTCGTGGGTGTATATTTAAGAGTATCTCTTACGGTTGGCCTGTGTCTCTAAAGCGACACGTTTTACGTTTAACGAAAGAGGTGAAGCAGACAAGACGTCTGCTTCACCTATAATCCATCTCTCCATCTATATATATACAACGTGGATGTTGCGGACGTTGTATTAAGGAGTTTGTGGGTATATTGAAGCGTATTCCTTACTGTTGGTCTGTGTCTCGAAGCGACACGTATAACGTGTTGTCTGCTTCACCTGTGATCCGTCTCTCCATCTATTTCATAAAAAAAAACATTATCTTGCACATGAATGCCGATGAAGGGCGGTGCAGCTGATGCCATGGAGGAGACGTGTTGTCAGCTTATTTATTCTCTTATTTACATCCTCCTGTTTGTGTGTGTGTGGAACGCCGACATGCAGGAGGGAGAATTGAGTTGGCGCTTCTAGGATTTTCCTGAGCACGACTTGGAAGTCGCAAAGCACGCCCGCGCGTGTGGCCAGGCCGCTGCACTTTTTTGTTGTTTTATTTTTACCAGGTAAGGCCCCACTGAGTTGCTAAGTAGCTCTTTTCCATAAGCGACCTGGTTGTCACAACATGATAGCTCAACGAAGTGGCTCGTCATGTGGACATTTATAGCAGCCAAAATACTCTAAACTCGTGATGTTGATTCTAAATGGACCCGGAGAAAAATCTACGCGACCACGGGGAGAAAGACACCGCAAACTCCAAATATACAGCAGGCGTTAGGGTTGGGTTCAAACCCACGACCTCCTGCACACCAGGCGAGATAGTTAACATCTCGCCACCGTGGAACCTATTCTATTTGGCTGTGCGCCCGGTGTCTCTCTGAAGCTGTGAGCCACCAGGTGCTGTCGTGGGGGTTCTAACCGCAGAGACACTATGTTTACTGCGTGTCGAACTTCTTTCGCACCGCACGTAGCCAACCGCGCTAATCGGAGGTGCAAACTCATCGCAGGGCCAGACGCGGGCAGTACGAGGAGCGTGGACAATTAATTATTATTAATCATTATTATTATTGATTCATTATCAGTGGCGCCGCCGGCTCCATTGCGTGACCCGAAGCAGAACTTATTGTTTGGCAGCGTCCCGTGACCGCAGGCATTCTACGATGGACAGGCTACAACGATGTGCAGTCGCATCACAGTTTGCCAATTACGATGACAGATATTTAAAATCCGCCCGTCACAATTATGTATTTCCGCGAGGTTGTGGCGGATTTGGGGCATCCTTCATCAAGCTTGACTGGATCGTCCTTGGCTGTTGTTGATTATGATGAGAACGATTAGCCACATTAGTTATTACGAGCATCGGAATTGGTGCCGCGGCTATATTTGTCTTGAATCTGAACCATCGCCCCCGTCCTTACCCTCCCCACCACCACTACGCCCCATCGCCGCAACCTCTCTGGTCCACTTGGGCCCCCTGAACCTTTGCTGAGTTTCCGCATTGCCAAGCCCCGCCACTGACTGGGACACGAGCGCTTTGCGGGGTGGGGTGAGATCGCTGCGTTGGGGCCTCCTGCGCGTCACCCCCCCACCCTTCACCCCCCACCCCCCACTCATTAATTGGAGATGTTCCCGGTTTAGCTCTGGATGAGAAAGGATTCGAGGTACGCTAAGTCTGGCGATTTATTTATACAACAAACGAAAAAAGTCTCCGTCCGACACGGTGCCTGCTTCGAGAAACAGGGCATTGCGTGTGCCCGTGGGCAATGCCTGGTGGTGGCGGACCCATCCCCGCGCACCGGGGTACCAGGCGGATTTTCCAGAGACGTGGGCTGCTCGATGCACCGAACAGACTCCGCGCGAGACGGCCGACGATGCATCGACAGCGGATAGATCGCGTCCGCGCAGCGAGACGGGAGAGAGGGGTGGGGAGGATGCAGACAAAGCAGAGAGCCGTAGGGAGACGAAAGCAGAGGGATTAAGACAAAGGTCGGAATGACAGGGGTTCCACCGTTTTGTTTCTACTTCTTCTTCTCAATAACCCGAGGCCCCTTGAGCTACTTGGGGTCCCGAGGCGTTTGATTCCGTCCAATGCCATCCATTGGCCGATCTTAGTCGCTATCACACCGGCTGACTTATCCAGAGCCGTTGGACGCAACGAGGCTAGCACCGCCCTCGCCTCATCCATGCTGTTGAGGAGCTGCGCTAGAGAACGCGTCCGTGTCGAGTCGCGCTCTGACAACACCACGGGATGGTGGGGGGGGGGTGGTGTTTCTCCTTGCGCTGGGAAAATTTGGACCATCGCGTTGATGCTGACTTTTGCAAATGACGCCACGTGATCTTTAACGTACACTGCGAGTGAAGCAAAATTTGCGTAGATTCTTTATATATGTGCTTAATACACTCGCAGCGATAACCAGGGCGGCCGCTGCGATTCGAACCGTGAACTCCTGCAATCAAGCGGCGTGTTTATTGAGCTCAGTCAGCAGTGGATAGACCATGGCTGATCATGATGATGATGATGACTGCGAGAAGTTTCAATCGGCTGAACGGGACGCGAGAAATCAGTGGCGGTGCTAACAGCGCTTCATTGTTCAGTTGGAATTGTCAGCGTAAGGCACTACCACTAGGATACAAGGGGACCGCTGCTGCTGCTGCCTTCTCGCTCGTCCGTGGTTCCTTCTCACGCCACTGAGTCGTTCTCTCTTCGAGACTTGCGAGCGAATACTGTTGCCATAATTACTAATCGTGCATAGTACCCAATATTCTCATAACACTATGCAAATTATTATTAAATAACGCTGCGAGTCGGACGTGGAATGCCAAAATCATTCCAGGAACAAGTGTTCCCGCCTATCCTGGCTGAAACGGAGCGCCTACAAACGGAGTGCCCACAAAGCCTGAGTGAAACCACAGCTGTGATACAATGACACTAATTGACCCATCACAGCGATGTTTTAAATAGTTTTATTAAAATGGCGAGCGTTTTATATATATTTGTTTCTAATTAGGATCTGAGTTCGAGGCTGATATTGTACTCACTAGTTTTGTTGTATCTCTCTACGAATCCGGGGCCCCCCTTCAGCTACTTGGGATTCCTCCACTTTTGTTGCGTTTGCTTGTTTGCCTAACCCCACCACTGACGAGAAAACTTCCTCTGTCACTGCAATCAATTACTTCACTCCGTCCAATAACAAAACAAATTGGCATCCATACAGTCCAGTTAACAGCGGTGCTCCCGCGACACACGAAAGACACGTACCCCCCACATGCTTTAATCACTGCAACGCCATGCGAAAGTCCGAGGGATGAAACGTACCAGTCCGTCATGGTAATAATCCTGTTCCGTCACAGCCGTCTCTTCACCCGCTCTGAAAGTGATTTGACATTGTCTTCTCACCAAACTCCGAGGCTAGACCCCCCCCCCCCCCCCCATCTTCCCCAGCTCCTACGCCTTCCACCCAGCTCGCCATACCACTCTGTAGCTGAACCCAGGCGGTGTGGCCCGGCCTGGCATCAAGACACAGCCGGACCTGACCGGGCCCTCTGGCTGTGCCTTGGTTCGGCAGCCTCAGGCAGATGCGTCACCATCACCGTCACCACCATCACCGTCACCACCGTCACCACCACAACCACGACCACCACCATCACCACCACCACCATCACCACCACCATCACCACCACCATCAACACCACCATCACCACCACCACCATCACCACCACCACCATCACCACCACCATCACCACCATCACCACCACCATCACCACAACCACAACCACCACCACCATCACCACCACCACCACCACCATCACCACCATCACCACCACCATCACCACCATCACAACCACCACCACCACCACCATCACCACCACCACCACCACCATCACCACCACCACCACCATCACCACCACCATCACCACCACCACCACAACCACCACCACCATCACCACCACCATCACCACCACCATCACCACCACCATCACCACCACCACCATCACCACCACCACCATCACCATCACCACCACCATCACCACCACCACAATCACCACCACCACCATCACCACAACCATCACCACCATCACCATCACCACCACCATCACCACCACCATCACAACCACGACCACCACCACGTATCGGCGGTCGCACCTCCACGACGCACGGTCATCAGAACAGCACCACGCGGGCACACAACCAACTGCCTGTCAGTCTCCACCAAGATGTTCGTCATGGACGAGCTAGGAACTGGCAGTGAGTTGGGGGGAGTGTGAGCAGTGTGGAGCTCCCACGGTCAGGAGGAGAACCAGGTGATCTCCCCCCCCCCACCAAAGCTTTTGAAATTACCCCCCCCACACACACCCAGCCCCCCACCCAGCCCAGAATTTCTCACGCGTGGCCATTAATCAACACCAATAACGCATCTCCGGCCATTCACAAACTCGGTAGCATGGCTAATCAGCGCCGTGAGCAGAAAGAATACCGTGCGTAAACAACATTACATTGTGCGTCTCATACAGTGCCGGGCGCTGGTGAGTGGCTATTGTAGTACAGCACTGTGGAGGCGAGGGTTGGTAGATCACGCAAAGATGTTGGTCATTTGCCATGGGAGTCGTCGAGTTGCCTGCCACAACCCTGCCTCGGCAAGAGGACGCGACATAGCGAACGTGGACTCCCGTCTGTTCCATCTGTACGGGATGGAGCGGTGGTTCTTGACCTTTACTGCAGCCTTGCGCCGCTTTGGTTCTCAACGTATTTTTTCTTATTATGTTAATAAATTCATAGGTTTGACGAAACAAAGTAGTTGTAACTTACGCGCCCGTGTCTAATTTGTGTTTTCGATTATTTGCCTTCTAATACAAATCTGGCCGTGTCATTTACAAACTGAGTACGACGTTTCGCCAGTTATTACAACTAGCTTCATCAGGCGACAGCCAGATTTGGGGAGAAACCCCACCTGTTTCGTTCCTTATATAGAGGCGTAGATGTTGTGGCTTGGCTCTCCAACACACCGGTTAGTGCTGTACTAGTGACGAATTGGCATGTTCTGTTTACGTGACAACCCTTACTAGTTGGCTGTGTCGGCTGGTGGCGGGTTTAACGACACATTTATATATTTACGCGATCTAACCCCAAAAAACCCTCTATTATGGATAATGATCGCGAAAGCCTACGTGTTAAACTTCTTTCGCGCCGTACGTAGCCAACCGTGCTAATCGGAGGTGCAGGGGGAAGGACAACAAACTTAAACACGCAAAAAATGTAATCCTAGAGCAGACTGTCGTCCAATCACAGACCTCCTTGGGTGTCTAATGATTCAATATGAAGGGCTGCGATTTCTTTAACGTGAAAATACTTTAAATAAATGTAATTACTCACAGACAAAAAATACTCATCGAGTCTCAAGTTTTTTTTCAGGAGGGTCCTTTAGTGTTCATGTCGTGTAAGGGATTACGGTGAAGGATTGGGTTTAGGGGTTAGAGGTAGGGGTTAAGGATGGAGTTTAGGTTAAGGGTTTAGAGTTATAGGTGGGTTTCGGAGTTAGACCTGGAGGCTGGATTTAGGGGTTAAGGTTGAGGTTGGGTTTTCCGTTCGGTGTTGGGTTTACGGTTTAAGAGGTGAGTTAGGGATTGGAGTTTAGGTCTATTGCTTCTGGGTTAGAGTTTTGGCCGGAGTATTTTTATTATTATTATGATTTGGCGTGCGGTGCGTTTGAGACCCAGATTCGTGGAGTTGGAGCTCGCAAAAAAATCTGTCACCGCTGATGGATCATCAGCTTCCCCGGGGTGGGGGGCAGTGAGCGGTAGGGGGTGGGGGGAGGGGTCGGGGGGGGCACGGCGTGAACGCGGATCCATTTCCCCCCAAGGTTGGGGTTCGGGGAAGTTGAACCTCACACTCAAACTCTTTGGTTCTTTCGGTAAAGTCACGTAGGTGTAAAATAATACAAAATGTGGTTTATTGTATTCTATACCTACGTGACTTTACCGAAAGCTTCAAATCAAGATTGAACCTCACACTCATTTGTTTTTAGTGCCACGAATCTGCGTCTCGGCATTTGTGTTTTTCCCCCCCATGGCTTGAAGCCCCTTTGAGGGGGGCACTCCGACAAACATCGTGACCCATGCCCGTTGCTTTGTCTTGACGGTAAACCGACGCATCAGACGAGATGTACGCGAACGAGTCTTGACTTGGCTCCAGGAGGCTTCATTATCCCCGCAGTTTGAACGTCGCCAGCGCCGCAAGATAAAAGGCATGACCGTGCCAAAACAGAGGTCACTCGTGGTTTGGCGAGGTCGCGGAGACAATTCTCGCTTCAGGAGACGGGGGCAATCGGGGAAATACGCCCAAACACAATAATCACCCGTATAGCCTTAACATACTGTTGGGGCAAGTGCTGTTAGCGAGCGCATATGAAGGTTGGCGCGGCTCGGGTAGCAAAACAACATAAACATGGCTCTAGAAATGCATTAGACTGGCTAATTCCCTTTAAATAATTTCTTATGCCAGATATATGTCGGTCCCTCTGCAAACCGAGCACCCAACATGTCAGCACTGTTCAAATCCACTCATTGCCTAAACATTACAATGCGGAATCCTACTGTAAGTCTTCACAATCCATGGGTGGGAAAACCCCGATTTTTCCAGCGGCAGGCATCGGGTTTTTTTCTTTAATACAATTAAACCCGATTTCTGGGAATGAAAACCTGGTTTAATGAATACGAAACTCTGATCCAAGGCTTAGGCTGCTTCCTCGTCGGTGCTGCTATCGTACTCGGGGGGGCCGTCGGGCACAGGGTAGTCGTAGAATGCGGCGAGCAGGTTGGTCTTGATGAACACGAGCTTCTCCTCCACAATCGTGGGCGCCAGTGAGTTCTTTAGCTTGGAATGGATGAAGCCCATCGTTGAGAAGTTGGCGAAGTGCGGTTCTGCAATTAGAACCAATTCAACCGGATTTCTCCCAATCTCAGATGATCGGGTTTAATATAAAAAGACAATTAAACCCGATTGTAAAAAACCCGACTGTGACACCCTTGTCACAATCAGTGTATGGTTGTTGTTGTTTTGTTTTTTCCCTTGTCAAATTGCTGTTGGCATCAGGTCTCGGGGACAAAGACTCCACTCTTTATCGGCATCTGATCAAGAGTCGATTCGGATCACTCGCAAAGCAGGGGGAATTGGTAAATCTACACGAACTCGTTTGCCCCACCCCGAGGCCCTCTGCCGTCGTGTCGATCAGACCACGCGACATTGGCATTTAGTTCCTTGAACACATCGCTGCTGTCAATGCCGTCATGCGCGCAAGAGTAGAACTCCGCTGGGGAGGTAGGGGGGTGGGTGTTGAGTTGGGTGTAGGAGGGGGGCACTGGCGCCCCCTGGTGGACACGGGCAGTGAAGTGCACGTGGCCCCATGTCAAGACGCGATTCCACGAGAGGTCACCAGAGTGCAGAATCCGATTTTATTATTTAACTCACTCCCGTCTGTTGTATCCTCAAAACATAAATCTTGTAACTCAATTTGTAGCCACTTCCCAATGTGCTATCGACTGCAAACTTGAAATAGCTATGTCATCTTCTTGGTTCTTTCGGTAAAGTCACGTAGAATGGAAATAATAAAATAATAAAAATAAAACATGCAGTCACGAAAGCTTTAAATCGAAATTTAGCTGTCATACTGATGACAAAACTATATCCCCCCCCCCCTCAAATGAGGTCAAAACCATATTTCCATTTTGAAAATAAAACATGCTTCAAATCGCTTTAAACTATCGGACCAATCAATTTCAAGGACAGTGCATATCATTATCAGAGTTATCTCTTTTTGTTTGCATTTTGGACTGCTTATGTTGTGGTTACTGCAAACATGATCCCTTGTATAAAGGTGTCAGTTTTGGTGCCAGATAAAAGAGTAAAAACCTATTACTACGCTGGGCACTGCAGAGCGACTCGAAAAAATCCAAAACACATTTTTTAAACATTTTACACGCTTTTATTTAACTTACTATGTTGTCGTATCCTCAAATCTTGTAACTTAATTTCAACCGTATTTCCAATGTCGTATCGACTGCAAACTTGGTATAGGTATGTCATACTGATGACAATACTATATTCTATCATTGAAAATTAAAAATATATTTTTAAACACTTTTTATATGTTATGTTTCGGCTTGGGTCTAATTGTCCACGCTCAACTCACGTTGCCTGTAAATCACCACGGTCCCTTACGTCACGGCAAGCCTCGGGGAGCCACTCCGAGGGGCACATTTCATGAAAGCGTGTTTTTTATTAAGAGGGTTTTTGCGTATCCAGTTAAGTGTGTCCTGGCACTAGCTTCAGTGTGTCCAGGCACTAGCTTCAGGGTGTCCAGGCAGTGGCTCCAGGCAGTGTGTCCAGGCACTAGCTCCTGGCAAGTGTCCAGACACCAGCTCCTGGCACCAGGTCCAGGCACCAGCTCCAGGCAGTGTCATGGCACCAGCTCTTGGCACCAGGTCCCAGGCACCAGCTCCAGGCAGTGTCATGGCACCAGCTTCAGGGTGTCCAGGCAGTGGCTCCAGTCAAGTGTGTCCAGGCACTAGCTACAGTCAGTGTGTCCTGGCACTAGCTTCAGTGTGTCCAGGCACTAGCTCCAGGCAGTGTCCTGGCACCAGCTTCAGGGTGTCCAGGCAATGGCTCCAGTCAAGTGTGTCCAGGCACTAGCTACAGTCAGTGTGTCATGGCACCAGCTACAGTCAGTGTGTCCTGGCACCAGTTTCGGGGTGTCCAGGCAGTGGCTCCAGGCAGTGTCCAGACACCAGCTCTTGGCACCAGCTCCAGGTACCAGCTCCAGGCTCCATTTCCACACGTGACCGCGCGGTGCCTCACGGGAAGCGGAGAGGAGAACCAATCAGGACGCGCCATTTCCACTTTGACAAACGCGAGTCGCCCTCAGGGCAGCTCTGCGTGCGTCGCTTGATTTGCCGAGACGCGCAAGAGGCGCCGGAGCTGCCCCGGGGGCTGCGGCAGTAACGAAAGCTCGCGAGTCGGGGAGCACGTGTAGGAGAAGCGGCCCTGTCCACGTGTGGGTGAGTTGGTAGTTAAGGAGCTGTAATCATCTTAACTATTTGTACTTTCTTGATTTGAAACTTTTGCGACTGCAGGAATCCATACTCTTTGGTTCTTTCGGTAAAGTCGCGTAGGTAGAAAGTACAATTTTTAAACAATATTTTATTGTATTCCTTACGTGACTTTTGCGAACGAACCAACGATAATATCATTTATACTTTATTTGTTTTCTTCGAACGAGTTAGAATTCACACCAACCAGTCTCAATCCACTGCTGGATTATCTCACGCCGGTCGTAGATTCGTTCGGTTGTTGTGTGTCTCGGCGCGGGCTTGGTGAAGATGAGTTGAGCTGGGAAACCGGCCCCGGGTTCGATTCCCGCTCACGGCCACCACCAACGCCAGTGATGATTAATATGAACAGGAACCTGGGCCTCCTCTAGGTAGACTCGGCCTTAAACGGGTACTGTACTTGTTGCGGTGTGCAAACGTTACCACTGGGGGAGACAAAGGCGGCCGGGCGGTGGTGCCGGCCTTAATAGGTGCTCGCTAACAGCACTTGCCCCTACAGCCTGTTAAAAGCGTGATACGGGGGGGGGGGTCTCTTAGTTGTGTTGAGTGTTTCCAGCAGTGATGATGATCAGTATAATGCCGTCCAAGTGGTCCACATGTCTTGTGACCCCCCCCCCTCTTCCCATACACTTCTCAAAAAACCATTTTCGTTAAAGGTTTAAAAACAAATGAAAATGCAAAGTAGGGGGTAAAAAAAAAGTTTTGGGGTCAATTAATTGTGGGATCACAAGACATCTGGACCACCCTGCACATCGCTCGCCACTGGTGTTGTTTGTTGTTCGTGGCCCGGAAAATCTCCGTGTTTGCTGCTAACCTCATGGGGTTATTCGCCCCCAACCGTGACTCGTGAATGCCCCCCTTGGCTTTGTCCAGGAAGGAGGGTCACGGCGCATCCGAGGGAGGTTTGTTACCAAGTAATTGAAATGAACAATTAAAGTCTCCGTGTAAAACTGCAAACATGGTTCGGGCCATCGACCACTTGGATTCCGAGATTAATATCAGAATTTGTTTAGGCAGGAAGACTTATGGACTCTAAAACTAATCTAGATTTAAAGCTTTCGTGACTGCAGCAATACATGCTCTTTGGTTCTTTCCGTAAAGTCACGTGGGTAGGTTGCCCAGCGCGTCATTCATTCGCGGTTCGAATGCCGCGGCCGCCCTGTACAGGGCATAGAGCGTTGCTCCCTCGCATGCGTGCGTGGGTTTTCTCAGGGTGACCCACTTCTCCCCCCCCCCCCCCACCACCACGTGTATAATAAACACAACTCGTCATTGGTTGGCTGAAAACATCTACAAATTTAAAACCTCTGGAAATAAGTCCTGAGGCTCAGTGCGGCTCTCATTCATAAATAGGACAAACTGTTATAAATTGGTCCCGAGATGAGTATTTTATACGAAGGAGGAGGCGTCATCACAGCGATACACTTCACTACTCCAGGTCACAATAGTCTGGCTCAACTACCTGAATGTAAAATTACAGAGTTTGCTCTACTTGACTAAACTAAACTTTATTTTACCAGGTAAGGCCCACTGAGCCATGTAGCTCTTTTCAGAAGCGACCTGACCACCATGAATGATTCAACGAAGTGGCTTATCGTCACGTGGACATTTATAGCAGCCAAACACTCTAAACGCGTGTTGTTGATTCTGAATGTGGAGGTAAAAACCGGAAGACGTGCAGAGAAAACATTTCACGTGACCACAAGGAGAGAGACATCGCAAACTCCAAATATACAGCAGCAGGCGTCAGGGTCGGGATCTAACCCCCCACCTCCTGTACACCAGGCGAGGTAGTTAACATCTCCTAGCCACCGTGATGATGATGACAGAGAAAGACACACGAACTCCAAATATACAGCAGCAGCAGCAGGCGTCAGGGTCGGGATCTAACCCCCCGCCTCCAGTATACCCGGCGAGGTAGTTAACATCTCCTAGCCACCGTGGTGCCCCTTGTTTTGACCTCACGAGTTTCACCCAGCGGAGTCGCGTTAAACGGAGCCTGCTGGATTAAGACGGACGCTTGTGTTGCGACCGAAACGTCGACATCCTTAAGTTCACAACAACCGGTTGAATTTGTGTGAGCGCCCTATTAATGGCTCTGGACGATGAAGATGCTCCTGGAAGTAAAGACGCGCCCTAAATTTTAGGACGATGTTGAAAAGAAGCGTTTTTTAACAATCAGAAAAGACGGTATTCACTATCGAGTAGCCCCCTCCCTTCAGGAAGAGGAAGATTATGAGCGCGCTGCTCTGAAATGAAGAAAGATGTCTTCTGGAAGGTGATTCCGAACGATTTGGGTGAAATGGAATGTGTGGTGCGCAACACGTGAAGAAAAGAAACAAGTCCGTTGGTGCCATTGTGGCCCCAAAGGAAAAACGCGTCACCGACGACGTTTCGGGCAATGACCCATCCTCATAGCACGTTATTTTATGTGCCACAAATTTTTAGCGCCTGTAATTATCTCTGGCACATAATTTGTATTCGCTAAGAAGAAGGGCCATCGCACAGTGTTTGGACTAATGCAAGAATTGTTTTTTTTTAGATTAAAACAGGTTCCTACTGAACGTAATGCAACAACTGCGTGGAGCCTTCTCGCTGAAGATGATGATTATTAACGAGGTTAACCCGCCGTTCAAATGTAAAACACTAAATGCTCACGCGCTCCCCTTAAAACGTGTGTCTGGGCGACGTTGCAATTCCGTTTTGTTTTTGTTTCCCGTCAGCGAGATGGCAACTCGTGGATGGCAGGGTGGCCGGGGAGGACGTGGGAGCTTCGGAGACCGGGGTGGTGGAGGTGGCGGCTACCGAGGGAGAGGAGGCGGCGGCGGTGGTTTTGGTGGACGAGGAGGAGGTGGAGGATTCAGGGGGAGGGGTCGTGGAGGATTCAACAACTATGACCAGGGACCACCAGAGGAGGTTATTGGTACGTCGATGGTTCAAACGGAAACAAATGAACCTTGCGTTCGTTCGATTCCGCTGCGATTTGAGAGGCTTAAACTGGTGCACTGATTCTTATATTGTAAGGCAAACCTCATGATTGTTATTAAACATGCTTTTAATGTTGTGGTCATTGGACATTTGATGAAAGCTGGAAGAGCCCAATGAGTTATGGAGCTCCGTCATATGTCTCCACCCTTCTCAAGCTGGTCGGCAAAGGCAGAAAACACGAATAAATAGTACAAATAAATTAAACAATCGTAGATAAACTAAACGGAATCATGCTATTTTAGAAAGAAGTTTGCCTGGCTGGCTGACACACAAGGTGACGTCACCGCGCACAAAGACGTCATCCCACAGCGTTTAGCCGGGGCCGTGCGTCGTGCTGACGTCATGCCTGCTCCCCCACCCCCCGCCCACCCTCCACCCCGGCCGCGTATCCCACGCACGTGCGCGGGCAGTGCGAGCTACATAGACAACAACAAAAATTGACATTCATTCCACAATTTCCTTCGGCCGCTGCGATCCTAATGCAAACTACGTATCGGGGAGAAGTGTTGCCGCTCTCACCCCACCTGCCTCCCCCACCCCCCGCGTATTTACCAAAAATGCTTTCTTTGCCCGAACAGAAGTGGGACATTATATGCACCCGTGTGAAGATGACCTGGTCGTCAAGTGCACCACACACGAGAACAAGGTGCCCTACTTCAACGCCCCCATCTACCTGGAGAACAAGGAGCAAGTGGGCAAGGTGGACGAGATCTTCGGGCAGCTACGAGATTTCGTATCCTTTATTTGATTTGTCGTGTTCCGTCGGCCGACTGACGCCCGCGCTCGCCGGCCCACGCTGCGACCGCTCTCGCGCCACCGGTACAGGGACGGAGGCCATCGATCAAAGAGGAACCTCTCGTGCTAAGAGAGGAAAAAAAACACACTCTTAGGTTTTTTCGGTAAAGTCACGTAGGTAAAGGTGGGACCGTCACAGCTAAAATTACTGCATCAAGTTAAAATTACTGCATCAATTTTAGCTGTGACGGTCCCACCTGATGACGGAGACTTGTGTTGCCTTTGAAACGTCGTGATTTATAATTTTATTTCCATTATTCAATTGACTTTTAATTTTCTTTTTTACCTATGTGACTTTACCGAAAAAAACCTAAGATTATGAATCCTTGCAGTCACGAAAGCTTCAAATCTAGAAAAAAACACAGCTGGGCATTAGAATGATTGAGATGAGATGTGCGGTGCAAGGTGCTTTGAGTTCCCAAGGCATTAAGCGAGCCTTACTGTCTAACTGCACATGCAGTTGCTTATCTGTATATTTTTTAGCGTGTGGATGACTCATTGCGAAGTGGTTCACAGAGGCAACGCAGCGTGCGATGTCTAGGATGTTTGTGTATGTGTGGTGTTCCCTAATCCGGCGGGGAGAGATCGTGCAGTGGTTAGCACACTGCCACAAACCCGACGACCCGTGTTTGATTCCTGCTCGCAAACAATAATAGCGATTTATTTTAATCGGTCTTGGGCTTCCCCTGGGTCGACTCGGCCTTGAATGATCAGCACTGGGGGAGACAAAGGCGGTCGAGCGTGTGTGCTGGCCACCCACCCCCTCGTATGCCGTGCCTGCCTTCACAGGTTACTCGCTGACGGCACTTGCCCCAATAGTCTGTTAAGGCTCCACACGGAATCTTTATCGTCGTCTTCCTTAATTCGTGCTGCAGTATTTCTCCGTCAAACTCTCGCAGAACATGAAGGCAAACTCCTTCAACAAGCTTCAGAAGGTGAGCGTTCAATCCCTCCGTCGCCGTCTCGTGTTGAGTCGTTTGAGAGTCGTGCCCACATGCTGATGTATTTTTCACACAATTGTTGAACGGATCTGAAAAGCTGGTCTTTTGTTTATTTAGAACATGCATGCTTTTGTAAAATTTTTACCATTTGTAAAATTGTAATGTCGAAGGTAGTGTCATTATATAAAATCCTCATTCTCGTAGTTTAGACTTATTTCGGTGGAACTTACAGCACGTGCATTATAAGCCTTAAAGATTATAACTTTGCAATGGATATAAGACATCGTGCCAGGCTTACACTGAGCGAACCGTTGCTCGGAGAACTTGGAAGCAGTCTTTACTCTTCCAAACGGATGTACGGCAAGGCACAAAACAACACTACAGTAATGATGTGTACGCATCTAAAAGTGACGTGCACAATTAACCAAGTTGTACAGAACTGACATCGCAATCATCGGAACGCCAGGTAAATTTGCATCGTACCGCGGCAAAACTAGACCGTGCCAAAAAATTTTCATTTTACTGGGTAATGCCCACTGAGCTATTTATCTTTTTTTCAGAAGCGACCTGGCCACAAATGATAGCTCAACGAAGTGGCTTATCACGTGGAAATGTATGGCACCCAAATACTATAAACGCACATTGATTCTAAATGTGAAGGGAAAATCCGGAAGACCCGGAGAAAAATCCACACAACCACGGGGAGAGAGACACGCAAACTCCAAATATACCGTCAGTGTCGGGATAGAACCCACAAACACTTGTATACTGGGCGAGGTAGTTAACATGTTGCCACCATGTCGTCCTGACGATGCCCGATGGTGCCGCGACTTTCGTGATCCACGTGGCGGCATGCGCCCCACTGTGGCAGGGGACGTGTCGTAACGCATGAGTGTCGTCGTCCCTTCCCCCCCCCCCCCCCCCGCTCTGGTAGCTCTTCATCGATCCGGCCAAGCTGCTGCCTCTGCAGCGCTTCCTCCCGCGACCGGGGGGCGAGCGCGGAGCGCGGGGAGGTGCCGGCGGTGGCCGAGGCTTCAGAGGCGGTCGGGGAGGAGGCCGAGGAGGAGGAGGTGAGGGTCGGGACGTTCACTCCAGCGGCTGCCACTTCTCACTCGCATCGTGGCGTTTCATTTTTTAAATCCTTTATATTAAGTTCACTTGCTTGCTTGCTTGTGCGCTTACGACCGTGCAAATCTTTCGGTCCTTTTTTAACCCAATTCCCGTGATCCAATCGAGCTGACATTTTGCACACAGACTCGTTGTGCGTGACAATTGATTTTCGTGAAAAAAAATTCCTAAAATGTTCCACTTTTTAGGAAAAAAAAATTCTATTTAATTTCAAATACCAATGTGATCAAAATGAAACTCTTACTCAAGAAAAACAAAAATGAATAATAAAATAAAACCGATGCCACGCATATAAAGGATTTATAGTGAAAAACTTTGTTTTTACGGGTTAATTTTTTTATCGATCGGCTTCTCAAGGATAACGATTCGTATGTGTGTACAGTCTCTTCTCCTGTAAGGCGAATTGGATTTAACGCGATTTTATGAATTTGGGAACACGTTTTTTTTGTAATGCAGATTGGATAGAACGCAATTGTGTGAACGGAACTACATCGCAGCGTGAGTCGGAGTAAGCGGTTTGCAGGGCTGCCTCGGTGTAACATCACACGAGGCGGGATGCTGCTGGATGCTTCTAGATGCCACCCACGCCCCTCAGTCTTTGTTCGGCCTGCGTACGCATCTCACGTGTTATCGTGGACTGTGCTTTAGCCAATTTATATTGTTTATTATAACGCGATTTCTCCATAACGTGGTGTTCTTCAGGAACGCAACTAGGACCGTGTTATAGTAGAACAGACTGTATGTATGTATGTATGTTGAACTTCTTTCACACCATACTTAGTCAACCGTGATAATCGGAGGCACGGGGATTTGCATTTACAGGGTACTCCGTCACCTCTTTATCACTCTGCTGTTACTACGAGCATGGTTACTGTGTCCCGTGGTTACTGTGGTCCATGGTTACTGTGGTCCATGGTTGTTACTGTGTCACATGGTTACTGTGTCCCGTGGTTACTGTGGTCCATGGTTACTGTGGTCCATGGTTGTTACTGTGTCACATGGTTACTATGTCCCATGGTTACTGTGGTCCATGGTGGTTACTGTCTTCCATGGTTACTGTGTCCCATGGTTACTGTGGTCCATGATTGTTACTGTGTCACATGGTTACGGTGTCCCATGGTTACTGTGTCCCATGGTTACTGTGTGCCATGGTTACTGTGTCCCGTGAGCAATGGCGATGGAACGGCAAACACCGAAAGCCATTTGCTGAATTCGCAAATACCAGAATAAACGGGAGTGTATGAATACGTTTTTAAAGACGAGATTTTAAAATGTCCATTAACTCGGAGAGATCCTGATATCCAATAAGAGGGAGAAGAACATTACATATATAAATTAGGCAACGTTTCGGGCAATGGCCCTCCATCATGGCTGCTGTCGGGTGGATGATGGCAGCAGCCTTCACGCGGCCCACCCTGCTGAGTGAGAAATGAATGCGGCGCGACAGAACGCCGATCATCGTTCATCGTTCTCCCGGTCTCCGAAGCGGCAACGCAAGCCACCGCCGCCGCAGTCGTTGTCGGAGTTGCCTTTGGAGTGCCGCGTGCGATCATCACCGCGTCGCGCGGCTTTGTTGTTCCCTCCCCCCGCCCGTCTTGTTCGTCGCTATAGCAGGCGGCTTCCGTGGGCGAGGCCGTGGCGGCGGAGGAGGCTTCCGTGGTGGCGGACGCGGTGGATTCGGGGGCGGACGAGGCTTCCGGGGTAAGTTTTGACGTGCGAGTTTCGACGTCCGTCGACGCGAGCGCACGCCGCACGCGCGACGTTGTAGCGGCAGCGCTCCGTGTAGTGCGACGCCGTTGTGCGGACCCGCCGCTGCACTCAACACCTCCGTGCCGTCGTACAGGAGGCCGTGCGGCTTCGGATGGCCGCTCGTGGTCGCGCTCCGGTCGACGTAGTCGCCGTCGTGCTATCGACGGCTTTTGTCGAGACGCCGTGAACTAAAAAATAGAAAAGCTCGAAGCTCTCGTTGATAAATACTTTCGGCGCTGATGAAGGTTAATCAACGCCGGTGGCAAGTCGGCGCCGCGGAAGGCCCGTAACCACGCCAACTGTGTGCCCAGAGCGCTCTTTCGTGGCCCTGGTTGTTGACGTTGATGTATTTTCCTTGCAAAGCAACTTAGTCACTAACTGTATAACCTTAAATGCAGCAATACACCGATTTACGTCTTCCGCATTTCACGCTGTTTCTCAAATTCGACTTGATTATTGACTCTGCTACCCGATTTTGTTTCACCTCGACCCCCACACTCTCAGCCTCCGCCTACCACCTTGTTAATCGCTTTTATTGTCGCTTTAATATTCGTCGTCGCACCTTTGAGGAACTCATCCCCGACGTAAACTGGTGTATCGCTGTACGTCAGAGGCGACGTTTTCGGCAATATCCCTTCCTCGAAAGACCCAACGCAGAAGATCTCTGGGTTTGATCTTCCACGAAGCTCATGGTCCACCCTAAACTGCATCCACACAAACTATGGCAGATGCGGATACCTGATGCTCAAAAGGAAAATAAAAAAAACTCCAGTAGTGTGCCACTGTGGTCATCCAGAACAGACCGTACACCGTATAACGACGCAATGCACCGATCCACAAATACGATGGAGGCATCACGGCGATGATGTACTACTCCGCTAACGCCTGACACGGTTATCTGGGCTGACCACCTGAATGTGAGATTGTAGCTGTTGCTCTGCATCTACATCACCAGCTGTATGAAAAGAAGAAGATAAGAGTGTGAGACCTTACTTGTTTCCAACATGGGGCCTTGAGAATTATAAAAAAAAAAAGTTTCATGACCATCTTTTTAAGCGGGCATATGAAGTTACACTAATAGTTGTTCCCGACTAACAGACAAACACCCTTTAACAATCAAAACATGTTTACTATGAAATAAACAAATTTTTAATAAATAACGTTGCTGCCACATTGCATTGTGGGAAGACGAGGCGCTCCTGGGGACAGTCGCCACCTCCGTAGGAGGAGATCAACTGCCCCCACGATTCCTAACGGTGGATACATCTTGAGAATTGATGTACACACGTGCAGTAGAACCCCCTCCTAACGACGCTAATTGGTTCCACGAAACGGTCATTAAGTGATTTTGGTTGTTAAGCGAGGATAGGAAATGCACGTCCAAGGCTTAATTTGTTCCGATAGCATCGAAAGTTACCCTTTGTCACCCAAAAAACGTACTTTTTTATATTTAAACAATGGATATTAATAGATAAAGATAGTAACAACATTATAAACACAATATTAAAATAAACATACTTTGTCAATGCATTAATTTATATTTACTGTACCTACAACAGCCCGTCGTTAACAGGGGAATGGTCACTAAGCGAACACATTGGGCTCTGTCGAGGCACTACACTACTCTACATTATACACTACACTATACACTACGCTCTACACTATACACTACACATTGGGCTCTGGAGGCCCGTCGTTAAGCGATTAGTCGTTAGCGGGTGCTCATTAAGAGGGGATCTATTGTATATGAGACTAGAATAAAACTAAAGCTAAAAGGAGTTAAGGTTTGTCTTGCACTGTTCCCGATCTGATGAGCAGTTTTAATCCTCGCCTGGTATACAGGAGGTCGTGGGTTCGATCCTGACCCTGATGGCCGTATATTTGGAGTTTGCGGTGTCTCTCCCCGTGGTGGCGTGCTTTTTTTTATCCGGGGCCTCCGGTTTTTCCCTCCACATTTTAGAATCGACGTGCATTCAGAGATTTGGCTGCTGTAAATGTACACGTGATAAGCCGCTGCATTATCATTTGTGGCCAGGTCACTTCTGAAAAAGCGCGATAACAGCTCAGCCAGAGCCTTACCCGGAACGATAACACAAAATAGTTTTTGGTTTCAATCGTTTACGTTAATATTTTACTCATTTGAATCTTTGAATTTCTATTCCAGGTGGAAGTCGAGGACGATAAGCGGACCCACGCACATCAGGGAGAGGTCGGGAGGGGTGAGGGGGGGGGAGCACATCGCCGCCTCTGCTCCCGCCCGACTTCGTGGAATGCAGCTTCTCCTCTTCGCTCTTTCCCCTCGTCGACCGTCGACCGCCACCGTTGGATTTCAGCGAGTCCGTGCCGTGGCACCATGGGGGGGAGTGTCTCTCGCTCCTCCGACTTCTTGTCGACGAGCGAACGAACGTTCACACGGGGGCCCGAGGTGGTTTTCTTTTTTACGTTTTGGGGTTGCCGCGATCGTTTGACCCCCGTCCTGCCCCGCCCCAGAAACTGCCGCGCGCATCTTAAATTAAGTATCGTGCCGCCGTGTATAAATATTCTTGCTCATCGCCGTTACAGAATGCTCTCGTATCCATTTACTGCGAACTTTAAACCGACAATAATAAAAATAAATGTTTTGAACGTTTTGTTTGCCTTTAACAGTTCTGAACTTGTAAATTAGAGCATCCTTTTTCTGTTTGTATAATACTTTAGTGGCAGCGACCCGGATGTGACAGCCGAACCGACTGAGTTCAGATAAGCAGAGGGTTTCTTTGACGCACTATGTCTGTGCTGCGTTCGTCCGTGCCTGAGCAGCTTTAGCGGGTGATTTTTCCCATCTTGTACCCGTGGTGCGATTCACTGGTAGCAACATACCTATACCACCACCGCCGCCGTGTTGCAGTGCCCATCAACCAGACTTTCAATCCAGAGGTTGCCGCTTCGATTCAATCTCCCGGCACGGCAGTTTGAAACGATTAGTGCGAGTTTATTAAAATCTGCACCCACCCCCCCATCAAGATCTGTCCACCCAACAGCATAAATGGATACACCATGTTTTGGTGGGGTAAAGTGTGGGTGTATTACCTTCTCTTCCAAGACCTCTAGCCTGCGTGGAAGAGTAGGCCAAAATATATCCTATCCTGCCAGCAGAGGTATCGGCTGCACCTTTACCAGCGTCTTAAGTCACCGATTCTTAACTTTTTCTGCAGCCAGCACCCCTTTGGTTAATACACACAGGTTTGATCAAACTAATTAGTTGTGCTTACGTGTTTGTAATTAGTTTTTTTGATTTGCCTTCTGAAAAAATCTGGCCAGGTCTCGCACACCACCAGAAAGGGCATCTCGCGCTCCCAGGGGGTGTTTGCACCCCAGGTTAAGAACCCCCACCACTGCGGCTTAGTGGTTCAAGTTCATGTATTAGGTATAGCCCTGTGAGCCATTCGGCTCTTGAATCGGGTGCAACCGCAACAAACAAAAAACAAAAACATGAACAAAAAAACATCTTAAAGTGAATATGTGACTGAGTGCAAACAGAAAATCCAAGAAAAGACAGCAAAATATTGCAGAAAAAACACCGTACACCAACGCTGTGTGCAAAATTCCCAGTGGGATGCAAGTCAAACAACAACAACCACAAGACAACTTAGATTAAGGCCATCAGTCTAACTCTGTACTACAACCAACAAACATGGCAAAACCAATACACTTTTCGAATCACCAAAATAAAGCCATGAAAGCAATGAAACAGTGATCATAGGAACTATAACGGAATTTTCAGTGGTGGGTGACCTGTGGCCCGCGGGCCGCGTGCGTCCCGTGGAGCCCTTTCTCGTGGTGCCTCTTGGTCTCGGTATGTCGCTAGGGGGTGATGTGTGGGGTCCCGATTAGCACCCACGCACGATGTCAGCCTTGCGGCCCCACCGAGGTGGTGAAGGAGCGATGCTCGTGTGGCCCCCACCGACTCGTCTGGGTTGCCCCTCTATGTTTTTAAGAGCTTAACCCCGTTCCCGATGACGTACGTGCGTATATTTGGCACTCGCATCGTACGTGTACGTCATCGGTGTTTGCTTTTTCGATGACGTTCGTTTACGTCATTGGAACGAAATCGGAAGTAAAAGGCCACGCGGGAAGGGGCGCGTGGCACAGATTGGCGCCGGCTGTCGTAGAGTGGCGATCCTGTCGCGGTTCTCTGCGGTGAGTGCAGCGTCTTGAAAAGCAGCAGCGCTATGATTCTCTAAAATTATCGCTCGCCAATTGCACGCTCCGAGGTTCAGCGGTGAACGGGACACCCACGCTGCAACTTGCAGGCGTCTCAGAGCGGGAAAGGTTAATTTGTTCCTGAGTATGTGAGCAGGATGGGTATTCAGAGAGCTGGGCCCTGATGGTCCGGCATGTGCAGATGTTTCTGCCGGTCAAAGCAAATCGTATCTTCGTTTCTTGGCACCATTTTTCAAGAACAACGGTGCTGGAAAAATCCAACTTTTTCAAGGTCCCCTCTTTCATCCATTGTATTTCCATGCCCCTCTCTCAAGGTGGCCGTGCATCGTCTTCAGGTTTAATTTTTTTTCGTTGGAAAGTGAAGACGGCGAATGTTATTTTAATCTTTTGAAATAAAAGAACCACAAAAGGCGATGCGTTTCCGTTGTCGTGAGCAATGGGGTGACGGTGATTCTCCATTAGCGACTTGCACTGTGGACATTCCACATTGCCACTGGCAGAGCCAGTGGGGGGGGGGGGGGGTGGCACGTGCCCCCCCCCCCCAATGATCATTGGGGTTTATTAGTAATAAATCGGCATTTTGCGACCCCCACTGCCACTGTGTAGCATATTACTGTGTGCCAGGGACTCTATGAGATGATAGGACAATAGTCTGAGTCCATAATTGGCAATAAGTGATGGCAAAGCGGTTATAAGTGACTCAGAATTGTGCGAAGTTGCGTTTATAGTCCACGACTTCCCTGAAGGCACACGCGTCAAATAAAAAGCAAGGTACAAGTCCTTACTAACAACTATCATTTTTCATTGTTGGAGGGGTTGCCCCCCTATCTGAAAATTTTGGCATTGCACATTGCCATGTCGGGGCCAGTCGCAATCAGACCAGCACTGCTAACGTCCTACAAAACGATACTTGTTTTATTAAACCTCCCCTCCCACCCCGACAGCGAGGGGGGGTAGGAGAGGGGGGTGGGGGAGGGGGGTAGGAGAGGGGGGTGGGAGAGGGGGAGGCACCCCCCCCCCTCGTACTGCCTCTGTCCACCCAGCCGAGTGGCTTTGCCGCAGTCGGTCGCGTGTTTTGGAGCAAAGCGTGGGTCTAATCTCGCTGTCGCCTTGAAAGTAAAATATATAATAGGTGACGTTTTGGGCTCTTCTTAATAGCACAGATTTTTTTTTATTGGAACCCTCGCATATTTATTTATTTTAAAGGCCACAGTGCTGTTATGACGAATATGTTGAGGTTGTTTGTGTTGATTGTGCGCCACTTCCAACGCAGCAGCACCAGCATCAACAGAATTTAAGTAAAACAAAAAGCGCATACGTTCACAACACTTCCTTACCAAAATAAAAAATAAAACAGACATTTAAAAAATATAGATTCGAAGCTTTCGTGACTGCAAGGAATTACTCTTTGGTTCTTTCGGTAAAGTCACGAAGAAAATAAAATCAAATAATAATAGAATCCGACGTTTCCATTGAAACACAAGCAACCATCAGCAGGTAAGAATTAATGATTAAATAAAACAACATGGTAAACTTAGAAACACAATGCAACACAACACAGAGAGCCGGACAACCCAACAGCCAACACCCTGGCTGAGCCACGCTTCCTCCAAAGAAGGACAAAAAGAAAAGGAATTTAAAATATATATTAAAAAGTAAATTTCTTACACAATCCATCAGCCGCACGGGCCTTCTAGGGAGTGCACAATTATTCCAGCAGCATGAATTCAAGACGAGAAAAACCCCGCAGCGACCCGCAAGTCTCTCATCGGCAGAGTCAGGCTTGCTGCAATCAAGTTCAAGTTCATTTATTAGGTAATAGCCCTGTGAGCCATTCGGCTCTTGAATCGGGTGCAACCGCAACAAACAAAAAACTAAAACATAAACAAAAAACATTAAAGTGAATATGTGACTAAGTGCAAACAGAAAATCCAAGAAAAGACAGCAAAATATTGCAATACTGGCGATGCTACGAATTCATCTTCTTTGTTCTTTCGGTCCCGATCCCGACCCTGCAGTCACGAAAGCTTTCAATGGAAAGATGCTACGGATCTTCCGCATTACCATTCTCGATAAGGAGGCTTCATTGCAGTCCACCCTGCCGCCCCCTGTGGTTCAATCGGAGCACAGGCGGTTCGCATGAAGCAGCTCGGCTCTGCCCCCTTGCTGTCATCCACCTGACGAGCCTCTCGCTCCTCCACCATCAGCAGCAGCATCAGCAGCCTCGCCTCTGTCTGCCTGTGCTGTGCTCATTTCCAGCCTCTCCTCCTCCTCGTCCCCAGCCACGCGTTGCAGCTGCGATGAAAGCTCAGCAGTCAACGGCGCTGGTGTTGCTTCTGTGCCCGGCACTCATCTCCCTGACCCTCTGTGCCAAGGTACTTGTGAGTGCGTGGTGCATTCGTGGTGGCGGCCCATTGACGGGGGCCCGAAGGAATTATTTTAGGGGGTCCAGAGCCCTTCCTCTGCCCCCCCCCCCACCATACGCACACTTCGGATTTGTAAACTCCTAGCGAGATGACGAGGGACAGAGATGAAGGGCATAGAGATGTACTGCATCGAGGGTGTCACGGTGGCGAGATGTTCACTATCTCGCCTGGTATACAGGAGGTTGCGGGTTCGATCCCGACCCTGACGCCTGCTGTATAGTTGGAGTTTGCGTGTCTCTCTCTCATCATCATCACGGTGGCTAGGAGATGTTAACTACCTCGCCTGGTATACAGGAGTGCGTGGGTTCGATCCCGTCCCTGACGCCTGCTGCTGTATATTTGGAGTTTGCGTGTCTCTTTCTCTGTGGTCGCGTGGATTTTTCTATGGCTCCTCCGGTTTTCCCCTGCCACATTTAGAAGCAACATCACGCGTTTAAATTTCCACGTGATGATAAGCTACTTTGTTGAGCTGTGATTTGTGGCCAGGTCGCTTGTGAAAAGAAAGCTATACAGCTCAGTGGGCCGTGTACAATAAAAAAGTGTATTTTTATATATTGTACAAATGGAAATAAATTAGTTAAGCGAATAGCTCAGTTGGCTTCAATTGGTAAGATACAACAACAAAAAATTAGTTTTAATAGTAGACGTTCGATAGAGATGTATTAAAATGAAGAGATACGGATGAGATGCAGATGAGAGACGTTTTGAGATGTGGACAAATAGAGAATATATACAGATGGGAAAAGTAGTGAGATGCGAGAGATGTAGACGAGACAGATGTATCGAAATGGACAGACGAGAGACACGGGAATGAGACAGATGTAGACAAGAGAGGGACAATTATATTAGAGTTTTGATACTCCTACTGATGCTCCAGCTGTTGTGGAGTGACTCATGCAGCCAGCTATGGCTGCAGGGTTTGGTGGTACATGTTGTTTATGTCGTTTATTGTGAAATGTCGGTCACAGTTTCTATGATCAGTGTTACATTGCTTTTATGGCTTTATTTTGGTGATTTCGAAAACGTTTTTTGGTTTGGCCATGTTTGTTTGTTGTAGTACGGAGTTAGACTGATGGCTTTAATCTAAGTTGTCTTGTGGTTGTTGTTGTTTGACTTGCATCCCACTGGGATTTTTGCACACAGCGTTGGTGTACGGTGCTTTTTCTGGAAGACTTTGCAGTTTTTTCCTATATTTTTCTGTTTGCGCATAGTCACTTTAAGATGTTTTCTTGTTCATGTTTAGTTTTTTGTTTGTTGCTATTGCACCCGATTCAAGAGCCGAATGGCTCACAGGGCTATACCAAATACATGAAATTGCAACTGAAAGAGTTATAGAGAGTCAAACGAGATCCGAGCGATACAGATGTGAGACGTGAGACAGACACAGAGATGTCGCTGGACCAGAGGTCGCAAACGGGTTTTGATTCCTTACCCGTACCCGGCCGCACCAGGGTCGCAAACGGATACCCGTACCCTACCCAATACCTGGCTACCCGTACCCGGCCGGGTACGGGTAGGGTACGGGTATCGGGTACCTGATTGCGACCTCTGGGATGAAGCCATGTTGCAGGCGCGGGTGGGTTGATTCTAGGAACTTGAATTGTGAGAAGAGACAAGACGTTGGGAAATGAGTGACAAACGGTGACTCACCAGTGACTCACGGTCTACCCGTACCCGGCCGCACCAGGGTCGCAAACGGCTACCCGTACCCGGCCGGGTACGGGTAGCCGGGTATCGGGTATGGTACGGGTATCGGGTACCCGGTTGCGACCTCTGCGCTGGACGAGATTGGAGAGATGCAGACAAGAGGGATGTGATCGTCTCAAATAAATGGGATGGGGAACCTTTTTTCTGCCAAGGGCCATTTGGATATTTATAACATCATTCGCGGGAAATACAAAATTATCAACTTAAAAATGTAGCCTGTTATATTTGGTCAAACATTTAATCAACTCACTCCTAATGTGATGGTTGGAACAGACTAAATTATTTCGCGGGCCTCATACGGCCCGCTGGCCGGACATTCCCTACCCCACTCTAAATGATGGTTTAATTTTTTTATGCGCGTTGGATTTTATGTTTATTCAGACCTGAATTCGAGCGAACATTTGGTACGTCTCTTTTACACGCTTTTATTTAACTCACTCTGTCTGTTGTTGTTGTTGTTGTCGTATCCTCAAATCTTGTCACTCAATTTTAACCCACTTCCCAAAGTGGTATCGACTGCAAACTTGGTATACTTATGTCACACTGATGACAATACTATATTCTATCATTTAAAAAAATTAAACCATCTTTTTTATATCTTATCTTTCGGCTTGGGTCTAATTGTCCACGCTCAACTCAAGCTTGCCATAACCCTTAGGTTATAACCCTTAGGTTATGGCAAGCTTCGGGGCCACTTCCTGGAGTCGTGGAATTCTGCCATTACTCGTACGGTACATTTCATTAAAGCGTGTTTTTTTTAAAAGTATGTTTAAATATTAATTACTTTTGTATCAGCTGCTTGGGGAGCCTTAAGCTCTATGCCAAAGCGCCACCTCCGAGCACTGGATAGAGAAACTCGCAGACCAATTCCGCTCGCTGCTCTTCCCCCCTTCTCTCTCTCTCCGTTGTGACGAATGTACACGCCTGGAATAATTGCTCATAACTACATTTACAAATACACACAGTATCAGAGGTCGCAACCGGGTACCCAATACCCCGTTTGCGATCCTGGTGCGGCCGGGTACGGGTAGGCCGTGAGTCACTGGTGAGTAACCGTTTGTCACTCATTTCCCAACGTCTTGTCTCTTCTCACAATTCAAGTTCCTAGAATCTACCCACCCGCGCCTGCAACATGGCTTCATCCCAGAGGTCGCAATCAGGTACCCGATACCCGTACGGGTACGGCCGGGTACGGGTACCCGTTTGCGACCCTGGTGCGGCCGGGTACGGGTAAGGAATCAAAACCCGTTTGCGACCTCTGCACAGTATGTCGATATGAATAAAAATACAAATCACGCCGTTTCAAGTAACGACTAGAACATTCCATGGATGTGAGTTTACTCGCTGGCTTGGGGCGGTGTTGGCCGACCCTTTTTTTGTTTGTACAAATGCTGGAAAAAAAACGAAATCAATGTTTTGGTTGTTTGCTTGTCCCTGTGCATTTAAAGGCCTTCAGATAAAGTTTGCAAATAAGAGCACAGATTAGGGGAGGGGGGGAATATATTTGAGGGTTTTTGCAAAAAAATAGTTACAGGAATTTGATTCGGCAGAACTTTTAGTGAAAAATAAGCAGAGACGTGAAACGTGTTACTCATTGACAGTCACGAGGCTCATCACGTGGTGGATCCCAGGAGGATGGCGATGGGGTTGACCTAGAAAAGCGGTATTGTATTGGTATTCAACCGAGGAAAGTATTTTGATTTTTTCGTTATTTGAATCTTCTTTGCACGGTTGATGTTCATGTTAAGAGTATTTGGCTGCTATAAATGTCCACGTGACGATAAGCCACTTCGTTGAGCTATCATTTGTGGCGGTCAGGTCGCTTCTGAAAAAGAGCTACATAGCTCAGTGGACCTTACCTGGTAAAATAAAAAGTTTAGTTTCGTCACGTAGAGCAAACTCTGTAATTTTACATTCAGGTAGTTGAGCCAGACTATTCTGGCCTGGAGTAGTGAAGTGTATCGCTGTGATGACGCCTCCTCCTTCGTATAAAAGACTCATCTCGGGACCAATTTATAATAGTTTACCTATGTATCATTGAGAGCCACACTGAGTCTCAAGACTCGTAATTTTAATTGAAGTTTTAAATTTGTAGATGTTTTCAGCCAACGAATGACGAGTTGTGTTTATTATACACGTGGTGGTGGGGGGTGTCACCCTGAGAAAGCCCACGCACGCACGCGAGGGAGCAACGCTCTATGCTCCGTACAGGGCGGCCGCGACATTCAAACCGCGAATGAATGACGCGCTGGGCCACCGCGTCATTCATTCATCACCGCATCATTCATTCATCACGCATAGTCCAGCGAAGGACCGTTGCGGCCGTATGGGGGAGGAGGAGTGGGGGGGTAGGGGTTCGCTTTGTCCCGCACATTAAGAATCGCGGGTGCATAATTATAATACTTTTTTTATCTTAATTGCAAAATGCTGAAAATACATTTTCAGTAGTTTGGGCAGGGGGCATTGCACTGCCCCCCCTCCCCCGCAAACTCCGCACCCAATGCGTTGCGCCCGACAGACAGTGTGTGACCTCTTGCGACAGCGTTCGCATCAACTGATCCTGCCTGCCATACAACCGGGGCGTGTCTCGTCGATTGATTTCTGTGATCCACGGATGGCGAGGGGGGGGTGGAGAGGCGACCACGAGAGAGAAGGGGACGGTATTCCTTTGAAGGGGGAGGGGGGGTCGCAGCCCCCCGCCCCCCCCACGCCAAACGTCGACCGCCAAGTCGAAGTGAGCACGCAATTTTTTGCCGGCAGGAATTTTTCGCATCCAGACGGTGGGCAGCCGTGGGTCCATAGAGTGACAACCACGATGCCACCGGGGGGAGGGTCACCGCCCTCGAACCTAGCGGTTGTGTGGGGTGGGGGGGAGGAGGAGGGGAGGGTTGGTGGTGGGTCTCTGCATTGAGGCTTTTGTCTCCACCTTTGAGCAGAAGAAGTCTCCAGAGAAGGCAGTGACTCGGAACGCGACCAACGCAAGCACTCCGACCACGACGCAGCGGACGGACGTGGCACTCACAGCCGCCAAGAAACGCGGTCGGTAAAACAAAACAACAGTTAAAAAACGCCACTGGCCGCAATCATTGAATCGTAAATTCCACATATTTGGTTTCAAATGTTCAGATTTGTTGTTGTTGTTGTTAAGATCTATCAGGGGGAGGGGTTGCCACGGAGAAACGACACAATCAGCAGCGACGGATGAACAAATTTGGGACCGAACCTAACAACACGCCCCAGTATTATTTGGGTCTTTCGATAAAGTTACGAAGATAGGTTCAAAGAAAATAACAAAAAATAATATAAAAAAAACTACGACGTTTCGATCGATGACGAACGCTTGTGTTGCGATCGAAACGTTCTAGTTTTTTAAATATTTTTTGTTATTTTCTTTGAACCTATCTACGTGACTTTACCGAAAGACCCAAAGAGTATCAATTCCTGCAGTCACGAAAGCTTTGGGTCAAGATTTATCACGCCCCAGTGTTCGCGTGAGACCGGATCCACCTGGCGCACGCGTGGGTCACATCTTACTTTCCGGAGCACCTCGTCAATGCGGCGAATAAAAATTCGTGGCAAATTGTCACTCTCGCCCCAGGAACGTGACGTGAAGAATTTTATGTTATCTCTCTCTCTATCACATTGTGTGATCGTATGAATTAATTCTAGATTTGAAGCTTTCGTGACTGCAATGATTCATATTCTTAGGTTTTTTAGGTAAAGTCACGTAGGTAAAAAATTAAAATTAATAAAAGTAAAATAAAATAAAAATCACGACGTTTCGTAGGCAACACAGCTGTCGGGCTGTGACGGTTCCACCTGAAGACGGAAGCTTGTGTTGCCTCCGAAACGTCGTGATTTTTATTTTATTTTACTTTTATTAATTTTAATTTTTTACCTACGTGACTTTACCGAAAAAACCTAAGAATATGATCGTATGAAACAAATAGACATACGTGCACGTGGCGAGTGGGCTTACAAGCCGGCCTTCCACCCACCGCTAGACCACTGAGGGCCCAACCAATCTTCCCAATCTGGGACTCCCGGCTCTACGTCCTTGTAAGGGCGAGTTCCGAGGAAGCCAGAGTTCAGACCCGCACCTTGGCTGGGTCGGGTCAGGTAGCCTCCCCTAGGGAAATTGTAGCCGGAGGACCCCAGAGCGTAGCCAGAGTAGTGTATCTAGGCTGTGTACGTAGGCTGTGTACCTAGGCTGTGTACCTAAGCTGTGTATTTAGGCTGTGTACCTAGGCTGTGTACCTAGGCTGTGTATCTAGGCTGTGTATCTAGGCTGTGTACCTAGGCTGTGTACCTAGGCTATGTCGCGAGGCTGTGTACCTAGGCTGTGTACCTAGGCTGTGTACCTAGGCTGTGTACCTAGGCTGTGTACCTAGGCTGTAACAGAGTATCAGGACTGCTGGAGTGTTGTATTGTAATAAAGAAGTTACCTCTACAAGTGTCTCCGGAACCCATTACATTTGCCCTTTCATCACTCCGCTGGTCTGGTGGTCAGTGCGAGGTGGGTGGGGGGGTAGCTCAAGAGCAGTTCAAATCTCACCTGCCACTGATGTTAGCCGTGACCGAGAGCATGGACACTGCCTCATGGGTGGAGTTTGCGGGGGGCCAACGCGCCCACCCCCCCCAACTGGACACCTTTCATAATAGAGGTTAGATCGCGTAAATATATAAATGTGTCGTTAAACCCGCCACCACCAGACACAGCCAATTAGTAAGGTTTGTCACGTAAACAGAACGTGCCAATTCGTTAGTAGTACAACACACCGCTGTGTTGGAGAGCAAACCCACAACATTTATAATCGGAGTACGACGTTTCACCAGTAATTACGGCTAGCTTCATCAGGCGACAGCCAGATTTGTGCATGACTCCTCCTGTTTTATTCCTTAAATAGAGGGCGAGATGTGATGGCATCACTTGTGAGCACTTCTTGAGTGATGTGGGGAGCGGGGGGGGGGATTAATAAATGCATATAAATTGCAATGAGTATCCATTGCCTGTTGGGTTATTGATATGGTCAATCAACGTACATTATGCAAGCCTATTGTAGTTTACAATGATTACCAACTTTCAAACATAGCCAGCGAGTGTCAACGTTTTTCCAAACTCTTGAGGGTACATCGTCTGCTGGACATCAGACACGAAACTACTAACTGTTATATATAGATGTGTTTGGGTGAATTGTTTACATTCCCTGTACTTGCACTACTATCGTGTTGTTGTCCTGTTTGTTGTAATATTCTTACCCAGTGCCCCTACTGGACATCAAGGGGGGGGGGGGGGGCGGGGGTCAGACATTTATGACGATGTGTGACGAGGAGGGGGGGGGGGGGTGAGAAATATGACGTCACATCAAAATGCGCAACTTTAAATAAATATAGACAACACGTTCTACTTAATTAAATAGACTTTTTAATGAATGTTTTTTCCTACAACATCAGAGTGCAGCGCCACATTGAATACGCACTACAATAACAATAGTTTAAAGCGATTTGAAGCATGTTTTATTTTTTTTAGGGGGGGGGGTAGATCTTTGTGACGTAATATTTGAGGTGGGGGGGGTCTGACTTTTTGTGACGTCGTGTGACTCGGGGGGGTGGGGTCAAAAATCGTCCAAACTCGCGTGACGTCATTTATGGACGGCCCCTAACTCCTGAGTTGCGATCCGCGTGACTGCGCTACAGATGTGAATAAGGACGTGGATTACCAGTGCCTCGCTGAGAAGCTCACCCTCCAATCCTGTGACAAGGTAAAGCATCCGGTGAAGGCCGGCAACGTCTCAATATCTAACTCAGATCATGCCTCCAGTAAGTCACGTGTGATTTCTGTGTGGCCACCCCAACTCTGGTTCACCCCCCCCCCCCCAACACACACACTCCTCTCTCTATATATTTATATTTCTATATCTAAATCAGCTCAAGGCTGCTGTAACAAAACAGCGAGTTAACATGAATAATCTCATCTTCTTGGTTCTTTCGGTAAAGTCACGTAGAATGGAAATAATAAAATGATAAAAATAAAACATAATAAAATAATTCTCACGACGTTTTGGCCACATTTTTATTTTATTATTTCCATTCTACGTGACTTTACCAAAAGAACCAAGAAGATGAATCCCTGCAGTCACGAAAGCTTTAAATCGAAAAAGTAATAATCTCATTAATCTTCTCGCACACTTTGTCTTGGGTCCGTTATATCTCTGTCTTGGCTGAATCTAACTCCATATCTTATCTCCATCTCTCGCCAGCTATCTGATTTCACAACACCTCCTGTCTCACCTGGGGGGGCTGAGCCTTCAACTGTTGGGCAGCTGGGGGGGGGGCGGTGAGGAGGTTAGGGGGCTGAGCCCCCCACCTCCCCACCCGACTCCCCCCCATCACATCCCCATCACTACTGAAGGCTCACCTCACCACGCCAGCATTTCCTGACACTAAGGGTCCATCCATTTTAGTACGTCCGCAAAAATCTGTCAAAACTTGACCCCTCCCCCCCTCCCTGTACGCACGCGGACTTTCTACACCCCCCCCCCCTACCTGCGTACGTACGCTTGACAACCCCCCCCTCCCCCCGAATCCTATAGAACGGCCGATATTTAATCCACGCAGAAACGATCAAGGATTAATAATATTAACGTGTTTAAGCAAACAGATAGTCCACACCCTCGGACTATCAAACTCATTTGAAGGCCCAAGTAGACAAATTATTATCGAGGCTTCAAGGCTTCACCCCCCCTCCCGTTTCCTATACGTACGCACATTGTCAGTAGCCCCCCCATACGCATTTGGGTTAACCCCCTCCTCCTCCATGTGTACGTACTAAATGGATGGGCCCTAACGAGGATGCGTTTTTAGAATTGTTTTTTTTACAAAACGGAGCGCTCCCCTCTAATGGAAGAAGGACGACGACGATGACGACGACGCATCTTTGTCGCGAGCAGGTGCCCTGCAAGCCGTGGCAGAAGTGCGTGAAGGGGCAATGCCTGTGCAAGCCGGCTTACAAGTGTCCCAAGTTGAGGCAGCCTGTCTGCTCGCTGGACAAGAGGAACATCCCTTCCTACTGTCACCTCAAGAGCTCCGAATGCTTCAAATACGTGAAGGGCTTCTCTCACTTCGGACAATGCGCCGACAAAGGTGTTGTTGTTGTTATTGTTGTCATTGTTGTCATCCCGGGATTGATTTACTTGTTTAGCGAATGATGACAATTTTTTTCGAGAATTGTTTTTTTACCCTTCTATCTGGCAACAAAACTGACACCTTTTTTTACAAGGCGTCATGTTTGCATAGACCACAATACCTGCAGTCATAATGCAGGTATTGTGGTCTATGCAAACATGATTCCTTGTAAAAAAGGTGTCAGTTTTGTTGCCAGATAGAAGGGTAAAAAATAAATTATCATATTTTTTACTGGCAAATGAGGTTCCAATGGTGACAATTTTTTCATTACTTACACGCGCGACTTTTACACACGCTGAGAGCACCAGGTGCACAAAGGAAATGAACAATTGACCACGTGTCAACCCGACAAAGCCGCCACGCCACTGTGTGCGTGTGCGCGCGTACAGGTAGTCCTCGTTTAACGCGGCAGGAGATGCGTTCCTAAAAAGTTGCGCGGCAAACGAAAGACAATTTCCCCCCCGTAAACAATGACAACGATCAAGTCTGGCGAGAGACGGTGAGCCACACTACGGCACGTGCAGCGAGACGGCGGGGCAAACACCTGAGGGTACTCCGCCGCGTCACTGCCTCGATCCGCATACCGCATCACTCCGCTTCGCCCAAGAAAGTAGTTCGTCGTCGACTGCTCAGAAAGCGCGTTATAACGGAGCGCGTTCTGTGTTATAAAGGGGCGTGTTCAACGTTGTAACGGAGCGCGTTCTGTGTTATAAAGGGGCGTGTTCCACGTGATAACGGAGGGCGTTCCGCCTTGTGCTAAAAGTGTTCCCGGAATGAAAGAACCGCGTTGTAGCAGAAAAGGGTTGTGGCGTGGGCACAGGGCGCGTTAAGCGAGGACTTTACCGTATCGTGCTTTGGTACAATTTTTTGACGCCAACGTAGTCTGCGACGTTCGGCGTTTTGCGATGCGACCTGCACGCTCGGGGCTATCTAAGAATGATCGTAAATTATCACCAGATCTGTGTAAACTTTATTGCCACCGGGCACGCGAGTTTTTGGAGGGTGCGTTGTGCTTTCCGGGAGTGTCCCGTAACTCGACGGATACCGCTTCGTCGACTCCGATGCAGTCGTTAAAACGGAGCTTTATTTGTTTCACCTCTTTGCAGAAGTTTCAAATATTATCTTCACGGAGGCTCCGGATGGGTACAAGTTCGTGCAAATGGTCGTCGGAGGAGTGCCGATGCAAATTTCTGACCAGGATTGGAGCATCACGGACGCAAATGTGGCCTGCAGACAGATGGGGTTTCCGCTGTACGTGCACAAGACAAAGATCCCCCCGTAAAGCCTTAACAGACTGTTAGGGCAAGTGCTGTTAGCGAGTAGCACCTATGAACACCGGTACGGTACACGAGGGGGTGGGTTGCCAGCACTACCAGCACTACGCCTGACCGCCTTTGTCTCCCTATTGGCGATGTTGACACACCGCACCAGATACTCATTTCCGGCTGATTCGACCTACGGGAGGCCCAGGACCGGTTCAAATAATGGTCGTGAGCAGCAATCGAACTTGGGTCGCCGGGTTCATAGCGCAGCGCGCTAATCGCGACACCCACCACTCCCCGCGCTGTACGTGCACACAAACACACACGCATACCCCGCACTCGAGATGAGATGGAACAGATGGAGTCCACACTTTGCTGTACCGAATTCTCCTGGCAAGCCAGGTAGGGTACGGGCACCTCATGGATGCCCACGGGAAGGGAGTTTCACAACATCTGTCTGCGATCCTGCAATCTCTCATTTACAGCTGTCGTGGCTGTGACGGTACCACCTGAAGACGGAAGCTTGTGTTGCCTCCGAAACGTCGTGATTTTTATTTTTTTTATTTTATTTTACTTTTTAATGTTTTTACCTACGTGACTTTACCGAAAAAACCTAAGAATATGTCTGCGATCCCCCAACGTGCGTGGCCACTGCCATGCGGATAACTCTTGCGATCTTCTTGGTTCTTTCGGTAAAGTCACGTAGAAGGGAAATAATAAAATTATAAAAATAAAACATAATAAAATAATTCTCACGACGAAGCTGTCTTCCCGACAGACCTGTTCTTCACCTGAGGACGGCTGCTTGCGTTGTGGCCGAAACGTCGTGAGAATTATTTTATTATGTTTTATTTTTATTACTTTATTATTTCCCTTCTACGTGACTTTAGCGAAAGAACCAAGAAGATGAATCCCTGCAGTCACGAAAGCTTTAAATCGAAACTCTTGCGATGGTGTGTGGTGGTGGTGTGGTGTTAATTCTAGATTTGAAGCTTTCGTGACTGCAATGATTCATATTCTTAGGTTTTTTCGGTAAAGTCTATTTTTAGTCTTAAGCCTCACCTTACCATATTAATAAAAGTATGTGGCCCTTGCCCCACCACCTTCTCCAACCATTATATAAACAGAGTGGTAGCTTCTGCAATCTCTCATTTACTTGATACAGCTGTTCGTGGCTGTGACGGTACCACCTGAAGACGGAAGCTTGTGTTGCCTCCGAAACGTCGTGATTTTTATTTTTTATTTTATTTTACTTTTTAATGTTTTTTACCTACGTGACTTTACCCAAAAAAACCTAAGAATATGGTGTGGTGTTGCTACCCTTTCCCCCGTCGCCCTGCCGCGTGCGTGCGTGCGTTCGTGACGCAGGGGAGCTGAGAAGACGATGATCCTGGGGTGCGCCGACTCCGACGAGCAGTCGTTCGTGACGCACGTGCGATGCAAAGGCTTCGAGAGCAGCTTGTCCGAGTGCCATTACAAAGTTGGTGACGGAACGCAGGGGGAGGATCATTCCTGCAGAGCAAAAGTCGCCGTTAAATGCAGCGCGAGCGCACGAGGTTCGGTGATTCGTGCTGCACTTTACAAGCCGCACAGAATCAAATATTTTTAAATACTTTTTTTAAAAACCACGCTTTAATGAAATGTACTATCCGAGCTGCCCCTTCCCATGCCCCCTTCCCCCATCGCCCCTCCCCTCCTTCCACATCCCCCGCCCCTGGGCGTGGCTCCCCGAGGCTTGCCGTGACGTAAGGGACCACGTGGTGATTTACAGGCAACGTGAGTTGAGCGTGGGCAATTAGAGCCGTTAAAAATATTGTTTAAAAATATTTATTTTTTATTTTCAATGATAGAATATAGTATTGTCATCAGTATGACACACCTATACCAAGTTTGCAGTCGATGCGACATTGGGAATACGGTTGAAATTGAGTTACAAGATTTTTGGATACGACACATACAGAGTAAGTTAAATAAAAGCGTGTGAAAAGTTTAAAAATATGTTTTGGTCCATTGGAACCTCCTTTGCCAGTAGCAAAATATGATAATTGGTTTTTTACCCTTTTATCTGGCAACAAAACTGACACCTTTTTTACAAGGAGTCATGTTTGCATTGACCACAATACCTGCGGTCGGAATGCAAACAAAAAACACAACGCTGATAATGTATGCACTGTCCTTTTGGCGTCATCTGGTCCAACACCATGTGAGACTAGGCTCTAAGAAAAGCTGTCTCGGGTGTGGACCAATCAATTTCAAGGACAGTGCATATATTATCAGAGTTATGTTTTTTGCGGGGAAAGATCAACAGCGGTTGCCCAGTGGAATATCCTCAGCCCCTGCCATAGGAATGTGGACTTTCCACCACTGGCTTAGGGCTGTAAAACAAAAGATGGGGCAAACATCGCCTGCTCGATTGCTCAATTGAGCAGCAGTAAAACCACCGCGATTTTAATTTTCGATTTAAAGCTTTCGTGACTGCAGGGATTCGTCTTCTTGGTTCTTTCGGTAAAGTCACGTGGCCGAAACGTCGTGAGAATTATTTTATTATGTTTTGTTTTTATCATTTTATTATTTTCCTCCTACGTGACTTTACCGAAAGAATTAAGAAGATACACCGCGATTTTGTTTATATATTTGTTTTGCTTACCCCGCATTCCGTCGCAGCGTGCGCCGGCGACTCCTTCACGTGCGTCAACGGGAAGTGCATCGACGAGGCGAGGCTGTGCGACGGCTACAATGACTGCGGCGACCTGAGCGACGAGGTTTGCTGCAAAGGTGAGCGCACGAAACTCGCCTCGGTCACAGAGCGCCTCCGATTGGCACGGTTGCGCAACGTGCGGGGCATCGAGCGTTGCCCCCTCGCCGGCGGGTGGGGATTTCGCCGGGTGCTCCTGCGTGGAAAATAAACACAGTGCGTCATTCGTTTACTGAAAACATCTTGACATGAATTTTGATTTAAAGCTTTCGTGACTGCAGGGATTCATATTCTTGGTTCTTTCGGTAAAGTCACGTAGAAGGGAAATAAAAAAAAAAAATATTTTATTATTTCCCTTCTAAGTGACTTTACCGAAAGAACCAAGAATATGAATCCCTGCAGTCACCACGTAAGAAGGGAAATAATACAATAATAATTATTGTATTATTTCCCTTCTAAGTGACTTTACCGAAGGAACCAAGAATATTTTTAATAAAAAACCTTCAATGAAGGACAACCCACCCCTCCCCGCGCCTCCCTGAAAATGTGTCGTATGACTCAGTCTGACTCTCTTTGATAAATAGGTAAACTATTATAAATTGGTCCCGATATGAAGGAGGAGGCATCATATAGATACACTTCACTTCTCCTGGCCGCAATAGTCTGGCTCGACCATTTCAATGTAAAATTACAGCTTTTGCTCTACATGACTAAACTAAACTTTTTATTTTACCAGTTAAGGAGGCCCACTGAGCTATGTAGCTCTTTTTCAGAAGCGACCTGGCCACAAATGATGGCACAACGAAGTGGCTCATCCGATGTGGGAATTTATAGCAGCAGCTAAATACTATAAACGGCGTGTTTCTAAATATTGAAGGGACAAACCGGAGGACCCGGAGAAAAATCCACACGACCACAGGGAGAACATGCAAACTCCAAATTTGAAGTAAGGCGTCAGGGTTGGGATCGAACCAATGACCTCCTGCTTACCAGGCGAAGGATATAACATCTTGCCACCACGAGCGAAATTATTTGCCCTGCTTATTAGTTCCAGAATTTGGGTTAAAATCCAAAACTTTTTTAAAAACCTGGAGAATGTGGCCCTACATCCAAAATTTTGGATCATGGGAAATAAAAGCATTCCATTCAGATAAATCCGAAAATATTACGTCAAACCTTCCACGGCGCTGATCACGTGCCTTTTCTCGCTAAATCGTGCCATCAAATATTGCCAGAATAAGTCCACCTCGCTCATGTTTATTGAGTCCAGGGCACCAATCGCGACATCAACATTGTCTGTGACAAAGGTAAAGGTGTAGCCCCTGCAATTGCTTGCTCGAGCCACTGCTGGCGTAAGAGCCTCCACGAGAGAGAGAGACCATCCATAGGGTATTTTGGCCTAATCTTCCACGCTGGACAAACGGCTTGACAGGTTGGAGTACCCACACTTTACCCCACCACACGCGTATCTGCCGCTCGACTAAAAAAAAAAATGTTTCAACTGCCACGCCATGAGATGAGATGGAATCGAACCAGCGACCTCTAAATTGTAGGCGCAATGCGCTAACCATGACACCAAAGGCTACATCCGTACCATTTCCAGGACCGCAGTGTCTACTGCGTCCGTAGACTCTACCGGGAGTCAGACTCGAGGAAGGCTCAGCCGCGAACCGAGTGAGCCCCATCTCAGTAAACGTGGGACGTTGGGCCAATGTTGGTCTAACGTTTCCAACCGCGGCCCAACGTTACCACATTTTATGGCGGGTAGAACTCGACGGTGATCTCCCTCCCGAAGTTGCGACATGTGTCGGAGCAGAGCGCGGGACAGCGACGACGCGCCGAGTTGGCCAGGGGAATCTCGTCGCTGGCTGACCGTCGTCACCACCACAAACCACCGCCGCCGTAGCTTCTCGTTATATCCTTCATTTATTTATGGTGACTTGCTCACATTTTCTATATTTTATAACTTTATCGTTGTTTGTTGTTGCAACTTGCTGACCTGACCCTACTGGGCATCTGTGAAAAGAGCTTCATAGCTCATCGGATTTTTTTCAGGATAAATCTTCTGTTCGGTAGGGCAATGTTTACATTCCGACCAGGCGGCATTGTCGTTGGCGTATTCACCTTGCCATCAAAAAATATTCTAAGTTCAAATTCCTGTCGGGGTGAGAGGGGAATCTCATTGGCTCGCCGTTGCGCTCTCTCCCCCCCCCCCCCCAGCGTGCAAGAACGACTCGCTGTGGTGCAGCACGGGGATCTGCGTGCCGCGGGCCTTCGTGTGCGACGGAGAGAACGACTGTTACAACCGCGAGGACGAAACGTCGTGCGGTCAAAGCGATCACGAGTCGAACACAGGTACCGGCAGATGTGTCCCTCAACGGAGCGCGCGCACACGTGGGTTGTGTGGACTGTGCTACGTTGAACCTCCGATTTCAACCAGTTTACACAACAAAGGCTCATTCCTAACAGCGTGCTTCAGCCGCACCGAACCTCACAATAATAATATCCAGGGCCTACCTTGGCTCCTCCCACCCTCAACCAGTATATATACAAGGACTGTTTACTTGGAATTTCTCTTACTTGATACAGCTATCGTGCTGTGACGGTTCCACCTGAAGACGGAAGCTTGTGTTGCCTCCGAAACGTCGTGATTTTTATTTTATTTTTATTTTACTTTTATTAATTTTAATTTTTTACCTACGTGACTTTACCGAAAAAACCTAAGAATATGAATCATTGCAGTCACGAAAGCTTCAAATCTAGAATTGAATATAGCTGTCAACCCACACGGGGAAAAAATGGTGTTTCTTTTTTGGTGTTTTCTCCCTTGTGATGGGACTTGGTAGGATGAACGTCGAGATTTTTAAGGGCACAGGGTGACCAATAAAAAAATAATTCGGCCGAAGTTGGAAAACTGCTGCTGTCATATCTGCCAATGGAGTACCCAGTTCCTGCATGACTGCCAGAGGTCGCAACCAGGAACCCGATACCCGTACCCTACCCGATACCCGGCTACCCGTACCCGGCCGGGTACGGGTGCCCGTTTGTGACCCTAGTGCGGCCGGGTACAGGGAGACCGTGAGTCACTGGTGAGTAACTGTTTGTCACTCATTTCCCAACGTCTTGTCCCTTCTCACAATTCAAGTTCCTAGAATTAACCCACCCGCGCCTGCAACATGGCTTCATCCCAGAGGTCGCAATCAAGTACCCGGCCGTACCCATACTCTACCCGTACCCGGCCAGGTACGGGTAGGGTACGGGTACGGCCGGGTACGGGTACCCGTTTGCGACCCTGATGCGGCCGGGTACGGGTACGGGTAAGGAATCAAAACCCGTTTGCGACCTCTGATGACTGCACGTGATAGAATTCAGGGTGAAACGGTGAGGGTGATTGATGGTCCAGCACTCACCTATTCACTCCAGGCACTCGCTCCCTCACCAGCAGCCAGTTGCCTCCTTATCACTCTTATATCGCTACCACCATGGTTACAGTTCTCATCAACTTCACTCGTGATTTTACACCCGTGTTGAGGAGGACTTGGTCAACCAGCCACTGACTGTTTAGTCTCATCCACACGGTGTCCAACCAACACACTGCAGGTCACAACAACGCACTCGTTCACCCACTCACTCACTCACCATACTGCAGATCACAATAACTCACTCACACTCACCCACCCACTCACTCACCACACTGCAGATCCCAATAACTCACTAACGCTCACCCACCCACTCACTCACCATACTGCAGCTCTCAATAACTCACTCACACTCACCCACACACTCACCCACCCACTCACTCACCACACTGCAGCTCACAATACTTCTCTTGCTGCTTCTCCCCTCGCACTTATTGAATGTGAGAATCATTATCAGGTCGTTATTGTTATTATAATAACCATCGTTCATTAAAGAGATGTGTTATACTGCCATCCATTCCACCTTCAATAGAGCTGTTTGTTGTTGGCATCTCGGCGGTTTGGTGCCTGTGCTCAGCAAGTGATTTCTTTTTTGACCCGATGAGACCTCGAATTTTCTCGGTCACGAGCTCAGCTCAGTTCACATGCAAGGTTGTTGTTGTTGTTGTTTTTGTTGTTGCAGAACTGAAAGGTGTACTGCGTGGTAAGAAGTATTCTTTTTCTACTTTTGTTTATTTCTAAAATCGAATTTAGTTTCTCTCCTGAATTGTGTCAATACCACGTGTTATAATAGGAAAGCATATTTTTTTTTTATAAAAAAAATCGGAGTTATATATATATCCCTGTACACGATTGTCTTACGCTGGTGTAGGAGGCGGTGCACTTATCTGCTTCAAATTTGTGGCGTTTTATTATCGGCACACAAACAAACCCCACCGAGAAGTAAGACGCGCCACCCAGCCCTGCCCCCCCCCCCGCCCTCTCCCCCCACCAATACTTGAGTGATATTATAATTAAAAACAATGATGCAGCTCCCGCTTTTACATGAGTAAGCAAATCACAGCAAGATGAGTTTTTGCACACTACGGGCAACACATTTTCTCCAGTCACTGCCTTAAACCCGTTCAGTGGACCGAGTGGAACAACAGAATAAGCGGCTAAATACAGACTGAGTGGTACATAGAACACATTCCTGCGGAGGGAGCTGGTAGGAACGTTGGGTTGCTCGGTCAATGGCCAGGGTCAACGGCGGCGTGGTGTATTCCGCAAATATGGCCGACTGTGAGGGCGGGCACAAGCCGGCGTGAGTAGGTTAAACGTTGAGTTTTATAAGGGCACCACAGGGTGACCAGCCCCTCCCCACCCAGCCCCTCCCCACCCAGCCCCTCCCCACCCTCCCCACCCAGCCCCTACCCACCCTCCCCTCCCCACCCAGCCCCTCCCCACCCAGCCCCTCCCCACCCATCCCCTCGATCCCCACTCAGCCCCTCCCTGCACGACGGACGGACGGACACAATAATCCCCTGTGGTCTGCTGTAACCAGGAGGTTCCTACCAGTAAAAGGTGGCTTCTAGACCGAGTTGCATTTAAAATCGGTGGCATATATAAATTTCCACCGTTCTCTTACTCTCTACAGGAGTGAGCGAACACCTGTGCTTGTTACAAGTGGAAATCGTTATTGTAATAAGAAATGTGAAGGATAAATAGTAAAATAATAAAAATAAAACATAATAAAATAAAAAATTCTCACGACGTTTCGGCCACAACACAAGCAGCCGTTGTGTTGTGGCCGAAACGTCGTGAGAATTTTTTTTATTTTATCATGTTTTATTTTTATTATTTTATTATTTCCCTTCTACGTGACTTTACCGAAAGAACCAAGCAGATGAATCCCTGCAGTCACGAAAGCTTTAAATCGAACAAGAAATGTGAATGTTTAACGTTCATGCTCTGTTCGTCTCCCCCGTCGCTGAAGAGAGAGCGGAGGTCACGAAGGCCCAAGAGCTGATCTGTGGCAACTCGACCTTCCAGCCGCACGCCCCTCCTCCCGGGAGAGTACGCAGACTCATCGGCGGCAAGAACGCCGAGCAGGTAGCGCTTTGCGAGCGCGACGCATCTCTCCTCCTCCGGGTCACAAAGGTCACGGACGTCGTCTTGGATGCGAACTGGAACGCCGGCGAACAGAGTGGAATGACGCGGGCGTCGAGAATAAAAACCTCGTTTGCCATTTCAAACGTTGTCGTGCCTCCTGGCTTTGACATTCCTCATCCTCCACCCCCTCCCCCCCCTCCTTCTCTAAGACACTGGTGTGACCACCAACCGCACGCACATCTCCTCCACGAAATGGAGAATTAAAGACAAGCCACGTTGTGACTGTGGCCATGGCAACGCAAACAATGGTCTTTATAGTAAACCCCGTAACAGCAGGCGTTAAAGATCTCGCAATGCCATTCACAAGAACAGGCCGTTGTGTGTCCGCGTCAAGGTCCACATTTGCCCAAGTTTGAAAGTTACACCGCAACTTACTGATTTGGGATTACGCAGAGCAGTCATTGTCCCCCTACTGGCAGGCTACTGCTCCAGGTCACTCGTGCAAATGAGACCATATCCTGGTCTCTGGAGTTCCCACCTGGCGAGACAGAAATAAGCCAGAAACGTGAAACTTGAGACGTCGTCCGCTTCTCTCAGTCTCCAACTCCGGGAGTTCGTTTTTCGTCAGCTGCTCTGTGGAAAAAGCAATGGCTCTTGATCACCAAATGTCCGCTGAAATAATCATTCACCTTTCTATTCCCCTTGTGAAACCCACCTTCATTTTTTTCATGCGGTAAGGGTCAATTTCCGTGGCAAGCGGCGGTGCTCAAAGAAAAGTTCGTTTGGACGTGCGGCGCCGTGTACCTGGGCAGTCACTGGGTGCTGACAGCAGCGCACTGCGTGGGGTGAGTGATCCCAAGGCATTTCCCCTATAGCCCCCCCCCCCCTGTGAAGGTGTTTCCCACCCCCTGAGGTCTGTTCCACCTGCACAGGAGTCTCTTTTCCTTCTCTCTCCTCTCTCTCTCAGTGGCATGAACAAAGCACGTTCAAGGATCATTTCCTGGGGCGATGGGGCTTTCGTCAGCGCACCTCTCCCAAGCTTTGGAACTCTTCGCCTAATAAGACTCTCAGAATCGTTCGCAATATTTAAGTCCTGTCCCTGAAAACACTTATCTAAAGTGGCCTTGACCCCACCCGCCTAGTTCTGGCCGTTTAAACTTCAGCAGGGCCGTATTATCCAATAGGCACCGTGTATTTTTTTGTTTGTATCATAAAAAATAAAAAGTGAACATCCTTTTTAAATTTCATCTGGCCAACTGCCAAATCGCTGTCTGTGGTGCTGACTTTAGGAAAAACCGCCACTTTTTTCAAATTTTCTTGCTGTGGATTTCACACCTGATGATTGCTTGTGTTGCAGTCGACACGTCGTGATAATTTCTAATTGTTTTATATTTATTTTATTTTATTATTTCCCTTCTACGTGACTTTACCGAAAGAACCAAGAATATGAATATCCTTTTTAAAGTTGCGCCATCCGATACGATAATCACGGTAAAAATAAATTGTTGAAGAAACTTTCGCTTGTAATAATTTTGAGGGCTACCTTGCTTTTTTTTGTACAACCATTTCAATCTAAATCTGCTGATCTGCGACACACAGCACGCGCGCTCCCATCGAATTAGGGCACAGATTAAATAATGAGCGTACCGGCAGTCATGACATCTGTCCAGCGGGTGGACGAAGTACCGCGTGAAGCAAGCGAGTGGCGGTAGTCACATGGGGCAGCAGCAGTATCAATTGTAGAGAGTTATCACTGAAGGCCTACGAAACAGAAGTGCCGAGGGCCTTCAAGAACCTTAATCTGGCCCTGCCCTGCAGGTTCTGTTTATTTCCTGCATCTCCATACACCCTGGCGCATTGGCATCTACGGATGAAATGCTCCTTGCAAATGTCAATGATTATTATCATGAATTCTAGATTTGAAGTCTTCGTGACTGCAAGGATTCATATTCTTTGGTTTTTCGGTAAAGTCACGTAGGTAAAAAATTTAAATAAATTAAATCACGACGTTTCGGAGGCAACACAAGTTTCCGTCTTCAGGTGGAACCGTCACAGCAAAATTACTGTATCAAGTGAAGGCTAAAAAAAATAACCAAAGAGTATATTATCATGAGCACGTGCTTGTGAAGTGAAAATAGTTTCTCTTTATGTGCCCTCGTCAGGGTTTAATTTCTCACTCGATGTTTTTTTCTCTCTCGGAAACGCCGGCATCGCGCGTTTCATGTGATTTGGCGCGTCAGATATCCGCTGTTCAGCTCTTATTAAATAGAGTTCATCGTAAAGACAAGGAAGTTCAATGATGAGCGCTATTCTTTGACGACATCTGGTAACCCTGCGCACCATTCACACATTCATAATAAAGTTTTTTGGGTTAGATCACGTTAGTGTAGTGTTGTAAATTTAGGCCACTTTATTACAGTTCGTTACATAACACTTGTTAGCTAAGCCGAGGATTTGCCGCCCGTCGCTCGTTCGCTCCCTCACTCGCCGCGTCCTTATCCTATTCACTACTCGCCCCGTTTCACCCCTCCCAGCTGCCGTGTCTCGCTGTCTCAGCGGGTCGATACCACGGTAGCCCCGGGGGTCAAGCGTGCCGACGTACGGACTGCGCTTACCCCTAGCAACCCTATCCTAGCCTACCCAGTTCCACACAGGACTACTCTCAGCCTAACTAGCTTGGCGGGTCCGACTTCAGCTTCTCTCGTCTTCTGTCTTCATCAACTTCACTCTCGGGCTCATTTTGCCCGTCTTATATATCCCTCGCGACCCCTTCCGGAACATTCTCTAGAGGACCCTCTATGATTGGTGGATACTGGTCTTATCAAATGCCGGTCCGACTCCCCCCTTGTTTACCCCAACAGAATTACCCCAACGGTCGTCCTGACCTTAGCTGCTCTCGAAATCCCCCCAATGATGTTCACCAACCGCCTCTTCTGGCCACCCAGCGCGGACATGCAGTCGTTCCAGAATATGCGCGCGTTGAACCACTACATCAGTATAAATGTGTCATAACCCTCGACCACCCGACACAGCCAGTAAGGTCTGTCATGTAAACAACGATTAATTACGACTTCATACCCACCGCTGTGTTGGAGAGTAAATCCACAACAATACATATTTGAGTACGACGTCTCGTTGGAAATGACATCCAGCATCGTCAGGCGATTTGCCAGAATAGTGAAGCAATCCACCTGCGTCCGGTCTTAAATAGGGCAAGATGACGTCATCACTTTCGCGACTTCCGTGTTAAACTGACGATTCACACACGTGTGTGCTTTGCACACCGCAGCACACACCACTGCAGCATCCTCGCGACAAAATAAGATGAGGCACATGCGGCTCCGTGCTCCTCTTTAGCAGTGTACTGTGCTGCTATCCCAGTGTGGCTCAGCTCTGGACTTAAAGCTTTAGTGACTGCAGGAATTCCTATTCTTTGGGTCTTTGAGTAAAGTCATGTAGAACAACAAAATTAACAAAAACTACGACGTTTCGATCGCAAGCAATCCTCATCAGATGACGATTGCTTGTGTTGCGATCGAAACGTCGTAGTTTTTTGTTCATTTTCTTTTGTTCTACGTGACTTTACCGAAAGATCCAAGGAATATGAAACATTTTTTATTTTATCAGATAATGCCCACTGAGCTCCTTTTTCAGAAGCGACCTGGCCACAAATGATAGCCCAACGAAGTGGCTTATCACGTGGAAATTTATAGCAGCCAAATACTTTAAATACTTACAGCAGCCTAATACCTTACACCGGGGCGGTGAATGCCAACCATGCTAGACGACTGCGTGTTCTCGCGAGTTTATTGGTAGGAACCTCCTGGTTCCACCAGCCCACAGGGGATTATTGTGTCCGTCCATCGTGCATCCAAAATTTTGGAGGGGTGGGGCTGGGTGGAGAGGGGAGGGTGGGGAGGGGCTGGGTGGGGAGGGTGGGGAGGGGCTGGGTGGGGAGGGGAGGGTGGGGAGGGGCTGGGTGGGGTGGGTGGGGGGTGGGAGGGGTGGTGCTGGGTGGGGAGGGGCTGGTCACCCCGTGGTGCCCTTATAAAACTCAACGTTTCACCTACTCACGCCGGCTTGTGCCCGCCCTCAAAGTCGGCCATATTTGCGGAATACACCACGCCGCCGTTGACCCTGGCCATTGACCGAGCAACCCAACGTTCCTACCAGCTCCCTCCGCAGGAATGTGCTTTGAAATGAGCTGTGGAGGGAAAAAAACCGGAGGACCCTGAGAAAAATCCACACGACCACGGGGAGAACACGCAAACTCCAAATACTATATACAGGCGTCAGAGTCGGGATCGAACCCACGACATCCTGTATACCAGGCGAGGTAGTTAACATCTCGCCACCGTAACAATTCTCGCATAAAATAACAGCCCGGGATTAATTCTTCGCTCGGTATTTTCCGCAACGCTGCTAAGCTGTCTTGGAGTAGGACATCTGTGCGAAAGAGCTTCATAGCTCATCGGATTACTCCAGTCTAAATAAAAAACATACACAAAATAAGCATACGTTATCGTACCCTCTATTCATGTAATGTTATGAACAGGTTTATAAACAAACACATTCTCAGGACAACACAATGCGAGATGGATGTGGCTGGGTGCCAAAGCAATTCCCGGCACTGAGTTCTGGCCTGAAATGAAGTTGCTGACCACATTCTCATTTATTTTTTTGGGGCGATTAGATTCGGACGTGCGAACATGCGCGTCCGTCTGGGCGAGCACTCGCGCAACACGAAAGAAGAGTCGCAAGACAGCATGTCAGTGGAGAGCGTGACGATCCACTCTGGCTACAACGCCAACACAAACCAGCACGACATTGCGCTGCTGAAGCTGCGCATGTACAACCAGCAGTACCAGTACTCTCGGTACGTGTCACCTGCCTGCCTGCCGCGCTCGCCGCTGCAGTTCGAGAGGCATCATACGTGCTACGTGTCGGGCTGGGGCACTGCTCGTGGTGAGTGTTCGGTTTGGAAATGTCGCGGGCAACTTACGCGCACGCTCACACACGCCGCGGTGCTAAAAAGGTAAAAGTTGCCGTGATGTGAATTGTATTCACGATAGGATACGTTACGATATCAATTTCGCGGTGTGGCGATTATTACGATAAAAAATCCTCCCGTGATTTTGTGCAACGATATTTTGCGTTGCCATGTTGATGATGCTTTGTTTTGCTGCACATTGGGTGTGAAGGATCATTGAAGTTCTTCAACTGCAGTTCACACAACATAAGCACACCACGCGTCCTCTAATCGTTGCAACTTTAGCACATATAATGCACGTGCTGTCAGTTACACGAGACATGATTGAACAATTAAATAAGCTGCTAAAATCATGACGTCAAAACCACTTCACGGTAATTTACTTCAGAAAATATTTTACAAAGTGCTATTTTAATTGTTAATATTAAAAAATAAATTACCGAGAACTTTCATAATGATCTATGCTTGTTACTTCGTAAAAATTTAGTTTGGAGATGTTGGTAAAAAATATTAATATTATTTACTTCGGAAAACATTTTACAAAGTGCTATTTTAATTGGTAATCTGTTGCAATCCACAAAAATGCCACACGAAAGAAGAAATTCCAATGGGTTTTTTGTTTGCCGAAAACTTTAATTATCTTCGTGAAATATTTAGTAGGGGAATATTGGTAATATATATAAACGAACAATGAAATCACGACAAAACCATTTTTTTTACCCACATTGCAATTGGCATAGGCTTGGTATAGCGTGACACGTCGTGTTCCCACATCGCGACAACCCCCAATAAGGAGTGGTGTTTAATATAAAACATCTCCGCTTTGCGAGATTTAGCCAGTTATTGCCCTGGAGGTTTCAGTTTCAGTTTATTTGGTATAGCCCTGTGAGCCATTCGGCTCTTGAATCGGGTGCAACCGCAACAAAACAAAAACATGAACAAGAAAACATCTTCAAGTGACTATGCGCAAACAGAAAATCCAGGAAAAGACAGCTAACTCCGTACTACAACAAACAAAACATGGCCAAACCAAAACACTTGATGAGCCGACACACGCTGAGACGCGTGGTTCAAAACAAAGGCTTTAGAGAGAATTTATCTTACTTGATACAGCTATCGTGCTGTGACGGTTCCACCTGAAGACGGAAGCTTGTGTTGCCTCCGAAACGTCGTGATTTTTATTTTATTTTTATTTAATTTTACTTTTTTTAATTTAAATTTTTTACCTACGTGACTTTACCGAAAAAACCCAAGAATATGAATCCTTGCAGTCACGAAAGCTTCAAATATAGAAAAGGCTTTAGCCACCAGCGATTAAACCGGATTCTCAAGTGTGCCGAGTTAACGGTCTCAGCTCACCGATGACTGCACAACAAACAACACAAACAAACAAAAACTCCATCACATTGAATTTGAGTTTGCGTTTGATTTGTCCAAATTCCAGCCAATTTTAAATATCAGCTTGGCTCGTTCAATGAAAATTACCCCCGGAGGTTACCCTGGGTGGCAGGGCGGGTGGGAAAGTGCCGCTTCACGATGTGTTGACCACAGGCCACGTGTAGGAGCCTCAGATGAAGCTCTGTAACAGCTCCGTGTGGCCATTCTCGAACGCGATTGATCACACTGCTCTGCATTAGATCCAAATGGATATTTTGTCTCATTGCATGAAGTCCAGAGCACAATTGGGATTACAAACTGGGGGAAAGAAATTTTTTTTTTATTACTCTCTTAAAAATCCATTACTCAATGCCTCATTGTGGAGGTAATGTCAAGGAGGCTCGTGCCATAGTCTTTTAAGGGACCTACTACCAGAATCTCTGATGCTTAACTCCACGAAAAAAGTATTGTGTTAAAATATGCATTCAGAAAGTTACCTTAGTGTCTAATAATAGATTTTGGGGGTGTCATTCCGCACAGATAAAACGCCAAGTGTTGTTTCATTTAAACAACGTATCTGACCCAAAAATCACTTTTGAATGATATTGCCCACGCAGGCATGTATGTTAAACTTTCTTATCAGTGCCCGATTCTCTCCCGTCAGACTTGCAGTCGTCCAATAAACACCCCGATGTCTTGCGCTGGGTTGACGTGAACCTCATCGCAAACTGCTCCAAAATCTACAATCAGTACTTCATGGATGGGATGGACTGCGCAGGTAACGGAAGTTTTGTGTCTTGCGTCCAGTGACGGCGCTATGCATAAGCAATCTAAGAAAAAGTTTAGCACCCCAAGCGTCTTAATTGCCCCAGCTTCATGACAAAAAATTGGGGTGAACCAAATATCTCGAAATCCAATCATAATCAATCATAAATGTAGCAATTATAAAACACATTTTTTTTTATTTAGCCGTTGCAAACTGCATGGAATAGCAAGACTTGGGTTTGTCTCCCACATAATCTCATTAACGATCTGCAATTAGACATCATCTCACCCTGCCACCATAAATCATGCTGGATAATATTGGCCTGGTAAACCAAAAGGCTGATGGGACTAAAGCACATTTAATTAAATTACATTGAAACCCAGAACAGAGTTCTGCCCATATTTATTTGCCTTTACCAACAATGCTCTACGGCAACGCGTAACGAGTTTTGTTTATACGGCGAAGCTGTTTTTAGTTGAATGGACGTGTTTTAATCGCTTGCTTAATCATACTTAAAGGCTACGATTTTATCACAGAGGTTCCCCGACTGTGGTCATGTAAATGGTTAAGATGAACAAAGTATGAAGTGCAATCTTGGTGATGTCACGTGTCTAGCCGTCGCGCTGCTTTCAGATGTGCTTCTGCGGCCGTCTGGAACGCTCTTCCTTCTGATACTAGGAAGCCACTGGAGCTATCCACTTTAAAATCTAGTTTGACAACGCATTTCTTTAGAACTGCTTTATGTATTTAGTTTGTTGTCCTTTCCCCGCACCTCCGATTAGCAGGGTTGGCTACGTAAGGTGCGAAAGAAGTTAAACGTACATGTGATTCAACGATTCCTTTAATTTCCTTTAAGTTCAGAGCAGGCAGGGATAGTCTGCTACAAACATATTCCGTGACATTTCCGTGAATGATTTTATTTTTTTAAATGCCCCCCATACCTTGCCCATGAATTTCACTCAAGATTTACCGCGTCCAAACCATAGCTTGAATTCTAACGCTGCTTATCCCCCCCCCTCCCCACGTTGACGAATTACTCCGGTTTGGTGGTTACCGCAGGGAAGCACGACGGCTCGGCGGACACCTGCGACGGTGACTCCGGGGGTCCACTCGTCTGTTTCGACAACGGCGGAAAGGCGTACGTTTGGGGTTTGGTGAGCTGGGGTGATGGCTGCGGAAACGTCGATCGCCCCGGTGTCTACGCCAAGGTGGCATACTACCTTGACTGGATCTTGCAGCACACGAGCACAGATCTGTTTCCGCACTACTGATCATCTGCCCAGCCCCTGCTAAAGGCTCGTAATGTACGTTGGACCTATCTTGAGTTGAAGCTTTCGTGACTGCAAGGAATCCATATTTTTTGGTTCTTTCGGTAGGTAGAAATAATATGAAATGAAACAAATCACGACGTTTCGATCGCAACACAAGCTGATGACGTCCGCTTGTGTTGCGATCGAAACGTCGTGATTTATTTTATTTTATTTCTAACTATGTGACTTTACCGACAGAACCAAAGAATAAGTACGTTGAACCTCTTTCGCACCGTACGTAGCCAACCGTGATAATCGGAGGCGCGGGGAAGGACAACACAACCTTAATAAACTACTGTGATGATCATAGTGGTGGTGGTGATCATTCTGTTGAGCATTTCACCTTTGGAGGTTAAGAATGACTGTGTCATGTACCCCGGAGTTTCTGTTTCCTCCCCCCCCCCCTTTAACCAAGGTCAGGCGACAGGTTTGTGGACAATGCAGCTAGCCTGACAACCCAGATCAACCATTGCCCTCACATGACCCCCCCCCACCACCACCACACCGTATGGGGAAAAAATATAAATGCAGAAATAACAATTTTACATACTCTTTGGTTCTTTCGGGAAAGTCACGTAGTTAGAAATAGGATAAAACTAATCACGACGTTTCGATCGCAACACAAGCGTTCATCATCAGGCGTGTTGCGATCGAAACGTCGTGATTTATTTGATTTGATTTATACCCACGTGACTTTACCGAAAGAACCAAAGAGTATGGATTCCTGCAGTCACGAAGCTTCAAATCAACAATTTTAGCATTTAAGGTCATTGCATCCTCGGTGGGTTGACGCGGCACGGCGAGACTAGGATACATCATACAATGTTCACGATAATCGAATTGTCCGTTTTTGCATATTATAGTCTTATCGCGTTTGTCACTTTTTTGTTTTGTTCCTATTTGAACACATGACAAAATGTGCTCGAAATAGCAAATTCACAATGATTAGAAATGCAAGTGAATAGCTGCAATGTTACCCTCCAAATTGAAATGATTGGCAAAAGATTGCCGGGACAGATGTACGGCGCAGTGGCTCGTTTCATTAGTTGTGCAAGTTCACTTGAATTCTCTCACGTATTTGCCGTGCTGCAAAAGGGTCATCGATTGTAAAGTCGCAATGTATTTGAATACTTATTTGGAGTAGACTGCAGTTTAAGGAGTTTTAAGGAAGTTTGATTTGTACTGGAAGTACAAAAAAAGTAAAAAAAAGTCATACAATGGAGATGTGAAATATGATTACAAAGTTACGGGGAGGTTGATATCGCATTAATCGTTCGATTGTGAAAACATAGTACTGTATCGTGCAAATTTACAATGCATAAAACCATACTTATTTGCCGTCGTGTATAATAACCCAGTCTTTTCAAATGGAGAACAAATCATAAATAGAGGAATTACGGCATCACGGACTTGATAAGTGCCAGGAAATTGTGGTACTTTCCCAATCCTCATGCATGTTGTGATTGCTTGTTTAACAATGACACCAAGTAGCAGCAGCAGCAGATCACAGTTCTGTTCATGGTTCAAAATAAAATATGACGTTCAAAACTGTAGCGAAATAAACAATCACATCTACACCCCTAACAGAACCTGGTTTGATTTCTGCATTAAAATAACACAGAAGTTGCATTTGTTTACATTGTGCACCGCATATCATTCCACATTGATTGACAGGTACTGGAACATCGGTGGTCAAAAGTGAAAAGGCTTCTTGTTAACGTTTACTTCATTTTGGCCGTTTGGGCATGACCGTTTGCTTAACTAATTTATTTCCATTTGTATAGATAAAAATTAACTATTAACTGTTTTTGATTTAAAGCTTTCGTGACTGCAGGGATTCATATTCTTGGTTCTTTCGGTAAAGTCACGTAGAAGGGAAACAATAAAATAATAAAAATATAAAACAATAAAATTCTCACGACGTTTCGACTGCAACACAAGCAATCATCATCAGGTGTGAAAAAAACACTTTTTTCAAATTTTCTTGCTGTGTTTTTCACACCTGATGATGATTGCTTGTGTTGCAGTCAAAACGTCGTGAGAATTGTATTGTTTAATATTTTTATAATTTTATTGTTTCCCTTCTACGTGACTTTACCGAAAGAATCAAGAATATAAACTTTTTATTTTACAAGGCCCACTGAGCTGTCTAGCTCTTTTTTCACAAGCAACCTGGCCACAAATGACAGCTGCAAAGAAGTGGCTTTTTTACGTGGAAATGTATTCTCTAAAACGCGTGATGTTGATTCTAAACGTGGAGGGGAAAACCTGAGGACCCGGATAAAAATTCCATGCGACCATGGGGGGAAGAGACACGCAAACTCCAAATATACAGCAGCAGACGTCAGGGTCGGGATCGATCCCACGACCTCCTGCATACCAGGTGAGGTAGTCAACATCTCGCCACCACGGCACCCCCAATAAGAAGCTGCGTCTTTCAAGCGAAATCGTTTCACTCAGAAACTTTTAATGTTGTTCCTTCTCATGTTCCTTTGATTTCCAGACACGCGCAACACATTAAATTAAAATAACCAAACATAATCAATGCAGGACCCTCCTGCAAAGTATTGAGATTCAATGAGACTTTCAGAACCAATCATTTATTTATACTGCAGGAATCCGATGAGCTTTCAAGCTCTTTGTCACATGTCCAGTCGGGGCGGGTAAGAACGTGACAACAAGCGGTACAAAAATTAACCCGTAAAAACAAAGTTTTTCACTATAAATCCTTTATATGCGTGGCGGCTAGAGTCCTCTCGTCCTCTGGCTTGAGATGGCTGCCACCTATGGGTCAGATGAATGCCTGCCACCATTAAGCAATTGGTAATTAAATATAATTTCTTTTTTCCTAAAAAGTGTAAAATTTTGGAAAAAAATTTTCACGAAAATACATTGTCACGCACAACGAGTCGATTGGATCACGGGAAGTGGGTTAAAAAACGACCGAAAGATTTGCACGGTCGTAAGCAAGCAAGCAAGCGAACTTAATATAAAGGATTAAAAAAATAGGATAGGAGTGTAAAGTACAATAAAGGTAAACAAATCACCCAAACACAAATACCGCACTAATCCATCCCCATCCTACCCGACAAAGCCCACTGAGGTATCAACTTATTGTTCAAAAGCGACCTGGCCACAAATGATAGCTCAACAAAGTGGCTTATCATTTGTGTGGCATTTATAGCAGCTAAATAATCTAAAGAGTCAAGAATCAAGACGATTCTAAATGTGGAGGGGAAAGCCGGAGGAGCCGGAGACAAATTCCACGCGACCACGGGGAGAGAGACACGCAAAGTCCAAATATACAAAATATACAGCAGCAGCAGGCGTCAGGGTTGGGATTGAACCCACGACCTCCTGCATACCAGGCGAGGGAGTTAACATATCCTAGCCACCGTGATGATGATGAGAGAGAGAGAAAGACGCAAATTCCAAATATACAGCAGCAGGCGTCAGGGTCGGGATCGAACCCACGACCTCCTGAACACCAGGCGAGGTAGTTAACATCTCCTAGCCACCGTGATGATGATGAGAGAGAGACACGCAAACTCCAAATATACAAAATATACAGCAGCAGCAGGCGTCAGGGTTGGGATTGAACCCACGACCTCCTGCATACCAGGCGAGGGAGTTAACATCTCCTAGCCACCCTGGCGCTCCCTTTAAGTAAATAGAAATACAAAAGTTCAAATTGTATCATTAATTTTCCCAAACTTTGGAAAGGCATTAAAAAAATAGGGAAAAAAACACCAAGACGACACAAAGTCCCGTAATACAAATTGTACGTTAAAATGTAACTCTCGATACATCGTTTCAAGATTGCATTTACAAATAACATTGGCAAATGTGATGACGAATATCGTTGAATGGCATTCTCTAATCGATAACGCGTAACGCGCGATGCGATTCTTTAATCGATAACGCGTGACGTACGATACGATTCTTTAATCGATGACGAATATCGTACAATGCCATTCTTTAATTAATAACGCGTACCGTTCGATACGATTCTTTAATCGGTAACGACTAACTAAGGAATCGATCACGTGCAGCCCCCCTTAGTCAAGTGTTGTTGTTTCGTAGCGCCGCATCACGTGAGCGGCCGTCGCCGGCGATTAGAATCCCCAGCGCGGATAGGGGTGGCCACGTTCAGTGAACGAGGGGAGGGGGGATGGGGGAGTGGGCAGGAGGGGGGGAGTGGGGAGGGGGGATGAGGGGGGAGTGGGGAGGGGAGGAGGTGGGGGTGGGGAGAGGAGGGGGGGAGGGAGTGGGAAGTAGGGGGGAGTGGGAAGTAGGGGGGAGTGGGGGGGAGGGAGATGTGGGGAGTAGGGGGGGGAGGAGGGGGGGAGGAGGGGGGGAGTGGGGAAGTGGGGAGGAGGGGTGGGGGGAGTAGGGAGTGGGGGGGGGAGAAGGGGGGGAGTGGGGAGGAGGGGGGAGCAGGGAGGGGGGAGGAGGGGGAAAGTGGGGAGGAGGGGTGGGGGGAGTGGGGAGGAGGGGGGGGAGTAGGGAGTGGGGGGGGAGGAGGGGGAAAGTGGGGAGGAGGGGTGGGGGGAGTGGGGAGTGGGGGGGAGAAGGAGGGAGTGGGGAGGAGGGAATAGGCTACTTCGACCTATCCGCTCTACGGAATCCAAACAGCTGCGAGCGCATCACGTGGTGTGACGGGGTGCCCCGGCCCCGGAGCCATGGAGGCGATCGGCATCGACGAGGAGGACGCTGGCGGCGCTGGCGGCGCTGGGCCGAGCGGGGACCAGACGGCGGGTCGGGACCCCGACTCCAACCGGGACTCGTGCAACTCGGAGGACTCACAGAGTCGAGGGGCAGCAGCAATCGCCGGGATGGCCACGGCCGAGTCGCAGCCCGCGTCGTCGCGATCTCCATCGTCGTCGTTGTTGTCGTCTTCCTCATCATCATCGTCGTCGTCGTCTTCATCATCGTCAACATCTGCAGGAGCTGTTGATGGCGCCAGCCGTGTTGACGCCGTCTCCTCGCCGCCGTCAGCCTTCGTTCCCCGTGGCTCTCCTCCCTCGCCTGCTCCCCTCATCATCTCCGCCGTGCCTAACCACGGCCCTCGGCCTTCGGCAGGGATCCGTAAGTCTAATAGTTCCACAGAGCCACTTGTTTAGATATCTCGACTGTGTGTGTGTGTAGGGGGCACAGGTGGTGCATCAGCCAGTCATCTCGGTCAGTCGACCCGTGGCACCTGCTGGGTCTGCCCCGTGACCTCCTCCTGCCAGCGGGTGTTCGACACTTCACGTGATAGCCTCAAGGTGCACCTAGCCTGGCACAAGCGTCGTGGTGACGTCACCGCCACTTAGTGGCGAATGGTTGTTGTTATAATAATAATGCCGATGACTGGTACCAGCGGTGTCAAGATCGGCCTCTGTGGAGGAGGAGGCGGCTCGTGAAAGACGCTGTTGCTACTGGGCAGTGCCAGGCTAGGTGCACCGTGATGCTGCTGGGAAGTTGGAGGCAGTCGCCCTCCAACAACAACGGAGGGCGGAGGAGCGACGCTCACAACAGCGGGCGGAGCGCCGGGTGGCTAAAGCACAGCAAGTTGGCACAGTAGGGGGGCACAGGTGGTGCATCAGCCAGTCATCTCAGTCATACTCTATGTTTTTTCGGTAAAGTCACGTAGGAAAAAAATAGAAATAAAATAATAGAAATATTAATATATTTAATATATTTTTATTTATTTTTATTTTTTACCTACGTGACTTTACCGAAAAAAACCTAAGAGTATGAATCCTTGCAGTCACGAAAGCTTCAAATCTAAAGTCATCTCAGTCAACCCGTGGCATCTGCTGGGTCTGCCCCGTGACCTCCTGCCAGCGGGTGTTCGACACTTCACGTGGCCTCAAGGTGCACCTAGCCTGGCACAAGCGTCGTGGTGACGTCACTGCCACTTAGTGGCGAATGGTGGTTGTTGTAATAATGTCGAATTTCCACGCTCGAAATGCCAAGTGGGTCACCAACAAACGACGCTGCTGAAGGTGTCCCAGAGAGGTTGGGACGCTTGTGGGAAAATATCTTCACGGCTCGTCTGATTCCTCGTGTATAGATACAGATTCTGATGTCCGAAGACGTTTATTGGATCGATCGATGTGCTGACTTGCAGGGCGGGGTGGGAATGTCACCACTGGTAGAGCGGTGCGAGATGTCGACTGCCTCGCCTGGTGTGCAGGAGGTCGTGGGTTCGATCCCGACCCTAATGCCTGCTGTGTATTTGGAGTTTGCGTCTCTCCCTCATCATCACAGTGGCTAGGAGATGTTAACTACTTCGCTTGGTTATGCAGGAGGTCGTGGGTTCCCGACCCTGATGCCTGCTGCTGCTGTATATTTGTGGTTTGCGTGTCTCATCATCATGGTGGCTAGGAGATGTTAACTACTTCGCCTGGTTTGCAGGAGGTCGTGGGTTCCCGACCCTGACGCCTACTGCTATATATTTGTGGTTTGCGTGTCTCATCATCATGGTGGCTAGGAGATTTTAACTACTTCGCCTGGTGTGCAGGAGGTCGTGGGTCCCGACCCTGACGCCTGCTGCTGCTGTGTATTTGGAGTTTGCGTGTCTCTCTCATTATCACGGTGGCTAGGAGATGTTAACTACTTCGCCTGGTATGCAGGAGGTCGTGAGTTCCCGACCCTGACGCCTACTGCTGTATATTTGTGGTTTGCGTGTCTCTCATTATCACGGTGGCTAGGAGATGTTAACTACTTCGCCTGGTGTGCAGGAGGTCGTGGGTTCCCGACCCTGACGCCTACTGCTGTATATTTGTGGTTTGCGTGTCTCTCATTATCACGGTGGCTAGGAGATGTTAACTACTTCGCCTGGTGTGCAGGAGGTCGTGGGTTCGATCCCGACCCTAATGTTGCTGTGTATTTGGAGTTTGCGTCTCTCTCTTATCATCACAGTGGCTAGGAGATGTTAACTACTTCGCCTGGTATGCAGGAGGTCGTGGGTTCTTGACCCTGACGCCTGCTGCTGCTGTATATTTGTAGTTTTCGTCTCTCTCTCTCACCGTGGTCGCGTGGATTTTTTTCCGGGTCCTCCGGGGGTTTTCCCCACCGCATTTAGAGTCAACGTTGCGTCTTACGAGTATTTGGCTGCTTGAAATGTGTACATGATGATAAGCCACTTCGTTGAGCGATCGTTTGTCATCGCCAGGTCGCTTCTGAGAAAGAGCTATACAGCTCAGTGGGGGCTTACCTGGTGAAAAAAAATAGTTTTAGTTTAAGAAGCGGATAGAGAAGTGAGGCGTGACCTGCAGTGCGTAAATGGTTTCCTTCCACGTTTAAGTGAAATACCCAGAACTCGATGAGGCGATTCTGAATCGAACACATCGACATTCTTACCACACGTGTTTTCGCGGTTGTGCCGCTGCTGCTGCTGCTGCTTCAGCGCGTGGAGCGAAACGTCGGGACTTGATTCCGAACAAAACACGCGGTAACAGCCCGGGAAGGGCACGTGGGAGAGAGCGAAATTGACGCAATTAGTAATAACCGCAAACTAGAAAGCACAAATTGTGTGAAAATCGATTGCAGTTTGCCCAGCCTTTGTGCACAGTAGCATTAGATTGCTTTATGTTGCATTGCCTCAACCGGTTGTAATCCAAATGTCTTGAAGTAAAATCCATCATTTATATTCAACACGTCATGTATCCCGAACGCGTCAACTGGATTGCAGACAGTTCCTCCCATTGGGCAAACCCCAGCCACAATATATCGTCGTCATCCTTTTAATGCACAAGTATAAAGACTCATTAATTTTCCGAATGCGACTGATTGTATCGTTGGCACCGGCTCACTAGCTTGCTGCCTTCCAGCCTATCTGCTGTGGTTCCTTGGCAAATCGTGAGATACAATTTGCACGACAGTCGACGGATCTATAAAACTAAAACATTAATCTATGCGAGTGTCGATTTTTAAACGGAAGATATAGCAATCTGTCAATTTTTTGTTTTTTGTGGGTAAGATCACGTAAATATAAATGCGTCGTTAAACCCGCCACCACCCCACACAGCCAATTAGTAACGACACATACACATTTATATTTACGCAATCTGACCCAAAAGATGGATTATATTGGTCGCGAAAGCCTACGTGTTAAACTGACAGTAATCTGTATTTTTATGAAATAAGTATTCTCTAGTGTAACAAGTAGGCTTTCACGACCAATATTATCCATAATAGAGGTTTTTGGGTTAGATCGCGTAAATATAAATGTGTCGTTAAACCTGCTACCACAGAATGTGCCAACTCGTTCCTAGTGAGTAGTTGTCCACATACCCCTGGAGCCCTTTCATTGATCCATCGCTGGATGAAGACTTTCCCCTTGCCATATCAGGCAGTGGAAGTTTGATCATCATATTCCACCGTTCTGGTCCGTACCAGTTGGTGAAGGCAGAGAGCATAACAGAAACAGAATATTTATACCGGTAGGAACCACCTGGTTCCACCAGCCCACAGGGGATTATTGTGTCTGTCCGTCGTGCATCCAAAAATGGGAGGGGTGGGGCTGGGTGGAGAGGGGCTGGGTGGGGAAGGTGGGGAGGGTGGGGCTGGGTGAGGGGTGGGGCTGGGTGAGGGGTGGGGCTCGTCACCCCGTGGTGCCCTTATAAAACTCAACGTTTAACCTACTCACGCCGGCTTATGCCCGCCCTCACAGTCGGCCATATTTGCGGAATACACCACGCCGCCGTTGACCCTGGCCATTGACCGAGCAACCCAACGTTCCTACCAGCTCCTTCCGCAGGAATGTGTTTTGTACTGGAGGAATCCGATGAGCTATAAAACTCTTTTTCACAGATGTCCAGTAGCCGCAGGTAAGAAGGTTACGACAATGGAAGCATGTAACTGCGGTACAACAACGGATTTTTTTGCACTGATGGGGTGCCGCAGTGGCGAAATGTTAACTCCTTCGCCTGGCATACATGAGGTCGTGGGTTCGATCCCGACCCTGATGCCTACTGTATATTTTGAGTATGCATGTTCTCCCCGTGGTCACGTGGACTTTTCTCCGGGTCCTCCACATTTGGAAACCGTTTAGAGTATTTGGCCGAAACACATTTCCACATGATAAGTCACTTTTTTGAGCTATTGTTTGTGGCCAGGTCGCTTCTGAAAGAGCTATATACAGCTCAGTGGGCCTTACTTGGTAAAATTAAAATAAATAGTTTAGTTTTTTATTTAGTTAGAGTACAATGCAAGCACTCCTGAAAAGCTGCATTGAAGTAATTTTTGTGCTAATAATAGTGTTTGTGTGCACACACACACTAGTTTTCAGGTGGAAGTCACCACACACATTTGGTGTCAAGCATACTTGGTCTGTAAGGAGGCTTGCAAGAATTCGGTGACATCATTGGGGCCCTGAAACTGCTGCAGCTCCTAGTCCTCAGGGCTCAGCAAATAGCAGCAGCCCAATCTTGCCCACTGACAAACGCGGAACCTGTGTGACAACATCAAGCTGTAACATAGAGAAGGGACAGACTCGCGTGTTAACAGCCGGGTGCTTTGAGTGGCGGATTTGTGGAAGAAAGACGCCACGTGGTTCCGCAAAAATAATATTGACTTGACTAGGCACGGTGACTATGCACTCCTGTGATCCAGCGATTTAGAGGCAAGCATTGGTGGATTATGCAGAGACTGGAAGACTGCTACCCAACCTCCTGGTCCACTCGGTGGTAAGAGCATCGCTGGATGTATTGCAGATGCTAAGTCTTAAGACCAGAGTAGTTGAACAGGAAAAGGAATGAGTTGATGCGCAGTGGATTGCTGCTTCAGTGCCTCTGTTGTGTTTTCAGAGTTCACATTAGTTCACTACCCTTTGGTCTCGCATAGAGGCTAATAGACTCAATAGAGACCCACAGGCTCGCGTAGAGTTCACAGTGGTTCAACGCTGTGTAGTTGATGGTTTGGCCGTTGTTTCTGCATTCACACGCCACGCTTTCTTGGAATTTCCACTTGTGAAGGTAGTAGTGGTCGGATCTGGCTTGAGATTTACTTTTTAAATTTCATGCAGTTCATTGTTTTCCAGGTAGAGTGAATCCCAGGGGTTCCTTTTGCGGGATCAGTGATGGCAGGCAGGTGGTAGTACAGCAAAAAGGTTCCTGGGATATCTGTGTATTTTAATAAAAAACCATACAACAATGTGTGTATGTACGTTGAACTTCTTTCGCACCGTGCGTAGCCATCCACGCTAATCGGAGGGGCGAAAAACAATGTGTACAGCATGGTCCGGAGTTCGCTACGGCTCCTGACTCTTACCACACCCCGTGCATTGACAATGTCACGTGGCCGTGCATTCTCGTTTTCTCCGTACCCTTCCAGTGACACGCGCTCGTGTTCTCGTGTTTTTTTGCGCAGGATTCCGAGACCCCATGACCCTGGAGAGGCTAAACCTCATGAACATGGCCAAGCTGAGCATCAAAAGTAAGAGCATGTGAGGCGGCTGGGTGGCTCGTGATGTTCGCGTATCCTAATTTTTTTAAAGTATCTCCCTATACCTCACCCCACCCTACCCCCAGCGAGTCGGATACGCAACATTGTGTTGTGTTTGAAATTCATATCCGACTCCAAAATCTAATCACTTTTTAAGTGCACTTTGTTATTCATGCAAGGCTGTCACGGCGGCGTTATGTTTCACGGACTGGTATCGACTGCATTAGTTTAGTGAGGAAAAGGTTCCCTACCCCCTGTTATGAGATCAGACTAAAGGGGGTCGTAGCATCGACTAGCAGTGTCTGCAGGAATTTTACTAAATAACTTGGCCGGCCGCAAGTAGCGTTCATAAATGATTTGCGGATAATTCACCCATTGTTGGTGGCACTCTGCTGTTTACCACTTGCCACCGATGCCCCCAGGGGCCACACACAGAGTGGAGTGGGGCACTGGGAGGAGGAGGAAACCCAGAGTGTCAAGGGATATTTGAGCGAATAGAACAAGAACTCTCCACGTTCATCACGGATATGGTTGAGCCTGTTTTGGATTTGGATTAGAGACCGCCTCCTGGAATACCGGATGTTGTTGGCTTTGGCTGGTGTGCGGGCAAGCGACGGCAGTACAGTAACGGATACTTGCATCGATCTGTGCGGAGTGTTTAGTGTTACCGCATACCAGTGTGCATGGGTTCTCTCCATGTACTCTTGATTTCCTCCCACGTGAAGTCAAGCAGGTATTTATGACAAAGGCTTGAATTTCGGATTAGAGACCGCCTCCTGGAATACCGGATGTTGTTGGCTTTGGCTGGTGTGCGGGCAAGCGACGGCAGTACAGTAACGGATACTTGCATCGATCTGTGCGGAGTGTTTAGTGTTACCGCATACCAGTGTGCATGGGTTCTCTCCATGTACTCTTGATTTCCTCCCACGTGAAGTCAAGCAGGTATTTATGACAAAGGCTTGAATTTCTGAGACTTTCCTGCCTAAATTAAGTCAGAAGCAAGGGCTCGGTCAACAATAGGGGCGCCACAGTGGCGAGATGTTAACTGCCACGGTGGCGAAGATGTTAAATACCTCGCCGGGTTCGATCCCGACTCTTGACGCCTGTATAATTGGAGTCTGCATGTTCTCCCTGTGGTTGTGTGGATCTCTCTCCAGGTCCTCCGTTTTTCCCTCCACACTTCAACGCGCGTTTAGAATATTTGGCTGCAATACATTTCCACGTGATAAGCCACTTCGTTAAACTATCATTTGTGGCCAGGTCACGTCTGAAAAAAAGCTACATATCTCAGTGGACCTTACCTGGTGAAATTAAAAATAGTTTTAAATAGGGAAAGGGACAGAGTTCCAAACGAAAGTGGCTTCATCTTGTAACAATGATACCAATAAACACAATTGGTGTACGTGTCAATTTATGAAGACGAAACAATGAATTGAGAGCGCGTTTCAAAGCCAGTTCGACCCCGACACACAGCTTCACTTTCAGGCAGGGTTAGGAAGCCAACAGCTCATAGGCCAGATAAGGCCCGGAAAGTAATTTTGTATGGTCCCTGATCAGATGAAAAGGGACAGTTAATTCTAATAGCTCTGCATTAGGCATGTGATGTTTAAAACGCACGGTGATTCTATGAATTGTATGGTTAAACAAGCCCCAACAAGGTGTGGTATGGCCTTCATGTGGCAGTGGCCTGACAAAGGGCGTTTTGCTTTATAAAGAAATTGTTTTTCATGGGTCCTCACATGACCAGTCAAATCGGAACGTGCCGCGCGGTTTGAACGTTTTCGTGTGCCATTCGATTCGATTGCTGGCAATGATACTGGTAGGAACCTCCTGGTTACACCAGCCCACAGGGGATTATTGTGTCTGTCCGTCCGTCGTGCATCCAAAAAAGGGAGGGGTGGGGTTGGGTGTAGAGGGGAGGGTGGGGAGGGGCTGGGTGGGGAGGGTGGGGCTGGGTGGGGGGGTGGGGCTGGGTGGGGAGGGGCTGGTCACCCCGTGGTGCCCTTATAAAGCTCAACGTTTAACCTACTCACGCCGGCTTGTGCCCGCCCTCACAGTCGGGCATATTTGCGGAATACACTACGCCCTGGCCGTTGACCCTGGCTATTGACCGAGCAACCCAACGTTCCTACCAGCTCTCTCCACAGGAATGTGTTACTTTGGAGTCGATAATCGATTCCGTGTAAAGGACTGTTGGAAAGTCTTCAATCGGACAACAACCCTGTGGTTAACCTATGAATCAGTGCATTGTCGTCTATTCGTTAGACTTTACCCCTCTGTCACTCGACCCCTACACCCTAGGCCTGATTGAGGCGGCGTTGGCACTTGGCAGGAGCCTCGACTCGGACTACGCGCCACTGCAGCAGTTCTTCGTCATCTTGGAGCACTGCCTGAAGCACGGCCTCAAAGGCGAGCGCGCATGCCCCCCGCCCCCCATGACTACGGCGAGGCCGAGTCCATCCGCAGGACAATGAGGCCTGCGATAACTTCCTTCCACTGAGGCTGCACAGCCTGACCACGTGGGCCGCACTGTGTCCCAAACCGGTGATGGATGCTGCTGATGATGTAGCCGATGGCGATGCTGCCGTTGTTGCTGACGGCGATTGTGGAGTGTGTGTATGTATGTATGGGCAGTCCTCGGGTTACGAACCTAATTCGTTCCTGAGACCCGGTTCGTAAGTCAGAACACAAATGCACTGTATTTAAATGCCCATTAGGTAGGTGTTATGAAACGTGTTGTGGTTCAACAAAAAGGGAAGCATTGTTCAACTCATAATTAAGAAGAAACATTTACATGTAACTGTTAAAAGATCCTGTATGGTAGGAACATAAATAGGAAATAAAAACCGAGTTTTACTTTCACATACCTTGAGTCCTGATGCTAGCTTGTAGGCTCAAGGGGGGCAGTGAGTCACCATAATTGCACAACAACAACAACAACCGCCATTCGCCACTAAGTGGCGGTGACGTCACCACGACGCTTGTGCCAGGCCATGTGCACCTTGAGGCCACGTGAAGTGTCGAACGCCTGCTGGCAGGAGGTCACGGGGCAGACCCAGGTGCCATGGGTCGACTGACCGAGATGACCAAGATGATTGCACACACACAGACGCACACACAGGGCACGCGCGCATGCGCTCGCACAGACACACACGCCAAGGCACAAACACCCCAACGACAACGATCCCCCGTGTAGCCTTAACAGGCTGTTGGTTTAAGTGCTGTGAGCGAGTAGCACCTATGAAGGCCGGCACGGCACACGAAGAGGTGGGTGGCCAACACCACGCCTGGCCGTTTTTGTCTCCCCAGTGGTAATGTTTACACGCCACACCAGGTACTTGTGTTGGCCGTGAGCAAGAATCAAACTCAGGTCGCTGTTTTCGTAGCGCAGCGCGCTAACCGCGACGCTACCATGCCCCCCACACACACATGTACGCATGCGCACTCACGCACGCAAACACTCACTCCGAGCGCGAGGCCTACTCGTTACACCTCGTGGAGGATCGCTTCTCTGAAAAAAATAGTTCCGCGGTTCAGTTTGCAATTGAGAGTTTGCATTTTAAGTCGATGTAATATAATTGTAATATTTCATAGAAGCTGCTTCGTAAGTACGGGCGTTCGTAAGTCGACCGTTCGTAAGTCGAGAACCCCCTTACGTTGAACTTATTTCACACCTTCTTGGTTCTTTCGGTAAAGTCACGTAGAAGGGAAATAATAAAAATAAAACATAAAATAATTCTCACGACGTTTCGGCCACAACGCAAGCAGCCGTCCTCAGGTGAAGACCAGGTCTGTCGGAAAGACTGGTCTGTCGTAAAGACAGCGTCTGAATGACGCTGTCTTTCCGACAGACCTGCTCTCCACCTGAGGACGGCTGCTTGCGTTGTGGCCGAAACGTCGTGAGAATAATTTTATTATGTTTTATTTTTTTTATTTTATTGTTTCCCTTCTACGTGACTTTACCGAAAGAACCGAGAAGATATTTCTTCCTTGTTTTTACTAACGCTTGCGCCGTGCCGTGCTTTTGACAGTGAAGAAATCTTTCCTGGGCCAGAGCAAGTCCTTCTGGGGACCCCTGGAGTTGGTTGAGAGGCTCTGCCCTGAAGCGGCCGAGATCGCCGTCAGCGTCCGTGACCTCCCCGGATTAAAGTGCGTGCTGCTTCAAATGATCATTAGAACAACAACATTTGATATTCGTACAATTCTTGTCGCGCAACCCTATCACAGGGGCACGATGTTTCACTGGCGGATATAGCCTTCCGGCAATTGGGACGATGTTGCCGTGTGGTTTTACCCAATTCGGTAAATTGCGAGTAATTTAGCACATTTGTATGAATGTGCGTTGAACTTCTTTCGCACCGTGCCTAGCCAATCGTGCTAATCGAAGGTGTGCGGGACAACCTTGATGGTGGCACACACAATAGCCTAGGCTTTTTTTGTTAAATAACGTCAGATCTTGTAACGTCCACTGTGAACCAGGCTGCTACGTATTTACGGTTAATGCACCGGCAGTATTAACCAGGCTGGCCGCAGGCCCTTGAACCACGAATTTCCGCAACAAGCGGGCAAACTTGCTATCTCGCAGTTACCTCGGTGGCCTCTTGCCTGGTTGTGCAAAATTAATGGAGCGGTCGGAAATAAAGGGCACCATTGATGGATTAACAGACGTTGAGGTTAATGGGACGAGGAGAGGAAATTTTCAAGCGGAGCGGTGTGGGAAAATAAGCAGCAAGAGAAGCGTCGTGACGTACAGCCTGGCGGTTTCAAAACTGCATGGGATGAGACGAAAAAAGGCAGTTCTGGTAGACCGAGTCCCCAACGCGGGTGGAGAAATCGATGAGAATGAAATTCACGGGAACAATAACCGTGGCAGTAACGATGGAAGAGTGACAAGGAGGTGACTGACCCACCGTTGAGCGAGTGACTTGAGCGAATCGGTGACGGTGCCGGATCATCAATTTTGACGGGCTGGACCATCCATCACCCAGACTGCTTTACGTCAAATCCTATCGAGCGCGGTGGTCGATGGGCGGGGATGCAGAGCGTCTTCGTTGTCGTCTGCGTCGCTGTTCGTTGGGAGCAGGACTCCAGTGGGCAGGGGCCGGGCGTGGCTGCGACTCGCCCTCATGCAGAAAACGCTCTCCGACTACATGAAGGCTCTCGTCGCACGCAAGGACTTGCTCAGGTGAACCGCGTCTCTTCGTGTCGCTGTGTTCGACAACGACGAAAACCCGTTGGCATTTTGATCAGCTCTCGATTACCAGCGGTCGCGAAGTTTGCCACTTGCTGCAAAGGGCAAGTCCAGCGGCTGCCCTGAACGTGGCCACTTGAGTTTGATTCCCAGGCAGTGGCTAACATCCGTGGCGAATGATATCTGAACAAGCCCTGGGAACGCTTTTTGCCAATCAACCTGCATTCACCAGCGTGGTGAAATACGGTCAATTAATTCCCACGACTGACAGTGGACTGACAGAGTGCTGTAAAATAGTAGCACTTTCCTCTGGTTAAATGTGGGTACTTTTCTGATTGTAGAATGTGTAATTTGTGTTTGGTTGTGTGTGTGTGTGTGCGCGTGTGCTGCAGTGAGTTTTACGAGCCCGGTTCACTGATGCTGGAGGAGGAAGGAGCGGTGATATCGGGGATGATGGTCGGACTCAACGTCCTTGACGCCAACCTGTGTATGAAGGGAGAGGACCTTGACACACAGGTCTCACACGCACAACTAAGACAAACATCCCCCGTATAGCCTGAGCAGACTGTTGGGGCAAGGGCTGTTAGCGAGCGCTTATGAAGGCTGGCACGGCACATGAGGGGGTGGGTGGCCAGCACCATGCCCGGCCGCCATTGTCTCCCCAGTGGCGATGTTCACACACCACACCAGGTATTCATTTAAGGCTGAGCCGATCTAGGGGAGGCCCATCACGGGTTAAGATAATTGTCACTGGTGTTGACGTGAGTCTGAATCGAAGTCGGGTCGCCGAGTTCGTAGCGCAGCACGCTAACCGCTACACACAAAGACACGCACACACACACGTATACATGTACACTTCCATTATACAAAGATTAAGACAAAGATTCCCCCGGATGGCTTTTACAGGCTGGAACAAGTGCTGTATGTATGTATGCTGAACTTCTTTCGCACGTAGCCAACCCTGCTAATCAGAGGAGTGTGGGGGAAAGACAATAAACTAAATACAAAAAGCAGTTGTAAAGAAACGAGTTTTCAATATAGATTTAAAAGTGCATAGCTCCAGTGACTTCCTAATATCGGAAGGAAGAGCGTTCCAGACGGCCGCAGAAGCGCATCTGAAAGCGCGTAGATGCACAAGTGCTGTTAGTGAGCGCCTATGAAGGCCGGCACAGCGTACGAGGAGGTGATGTTGCTAGGACCACGCCTGGCCACCTCTGTTCACACACACCAGGTACTCGTTTAAGGCGAAGTTGACGTAGGGGAGGCTGAGGACCAGTTCAGATGCCACTCACCACCGGTGTTGCGTCACGGCCCGGAATCGGAACGCGAGCAACTGGGGCTTGTAGCGCAGTGTCCTAACCACTACGGAACCGCTGCCGAAACACAGACAACGTACAGCATGACGCAAACATTATCTTTGGTTCTTTCGGTAAAGTCACGTAGATGAAAAATAAAAAAAATGAAGGAAAAAAATGAAAATAACTCAATTAAATCACGACGTTTCGGAGGCAACACAAGCTTCTGTTATCCGGTGGAACGGCCACAGCAGAATTACTGTAGTGAGTAGAGAGAGCTCTTTGTGACAAGCGATTATGACGCAAGTGAGACACAAAGGACAACGTGTGGATGACCTGTGACATTAACTTGTTGTATTTTTTGTTGTTGACACTCAGGTGGGAGTTATAGATTTCACCATGTACCTGAAAGATGGATCAAGCAGCGATGATAATGGGTGAGCACATGTACCTGATTTACCATGTGTGTGTGTGCGTTCTTATACTTTGTTTACCATATTCTCCAGATTATTATGTGCACACGTAACTTGTATTACCACCACAGCGACTTCCACCGTTGTATGTATGACCGCTCCACCAGCAGATGGCAGCTGGTCATACATAGTAGACTCGAACCACATACACGCTGCCAGTACACTCAAATAACATATTAGCTTGCAGTAGGTTCGAACCACATACACGCTTGCCAGTAGACTCAAATCACATAGCAGCTGCCAATAGACTCATCACATACACGCTGCCAGTAGGCCCAATTCACATTCCAGCTGCCAATAGACTCATCACATACCAGCTGGCAGTAGGTCCAAATCACATTTCAGCTGCCAATAGACTCATCACATACCAGCTGGCAGTAGGCCCAAATCACATTCCAGCTGCCAATAGACTCATCACATACCAGCTGGCAGTAGGTCCAAATCACATTCCAGCTGCCAATAGACTCATCACATACCAGCTGGCAGTAGGTCCAAATCACATTCCAGCTGCCAATAGACTCATCACATACCAGCTGGCAGTAGGTCCAAATCACATTCCAGCTGCCAATAGACTCATCACATACCAGCTGGCAGTAGGCCCAAATCGCATTCCAGCTGCCAATAGACTCATCACATAGCAGCTGGCAGTAGGCCCAAATCACATTCCAGCTGCCAATAGACTCATCACATAGCAGCTGCCAGTAGGCCCAAATCGCATACATGTTGCCAGTAGACTCGCATCACATACCAGCTGCAAGTAGGCCCAAATCACATAGCAGTTGCAAGTAGACTCCAATTGCATAAAAGTTTTACCACCACGGAACCCCTCGGCTCACCTCTGGATAGCGCGCGGCCCCCAGCTGCGGAACGCAACGACCGCGCACAACATCGGCAGCTGCTGAGGCTGCGGGTGGCTCCGTTGTTCATAAGCATTTGGCCTTGCTGTTCGTTTTGAATTCCAGAAACGCCAACATGACTGCCGTGCTGGATCAGAAAAACTATCTGGAGGAGCTGAACAGGGGATTGAAGTAAGACGCTGTTCACTCCTGCGCAATCTTTCGACCGCCTCGGATAGCACTCGGTTCCCAAAAATCGTCGTGATTGTTACGCTCGTTCGCCCGGTAAAGCCTCGCCGAGCCTCATGGCTCTCTTTCTTTGGGGTCCTGCCAAGTACAAAACTAAACAATTTTTTTTTATTTTTCCAGGTAAGGCCCACTGAGCTACGTAGCTCTTTTTCACAAGTGACGGCGCAACAAAGCGGCTTATCATCGCATGGAAATGTATCGCAGCCAAATACTCGAAGCGCATGTTTCTATGGAGCGACGATTGCTTTGCATAATCCCAATTGAGTCGCTTGCGGGTTACTCGGCGGGTTGATGAAGTCGGAAGGGGGGCGGGGCGGGGGGAGGGGGGGTGGCCCTTGGTGGGTGAAGTGAGGTGGGGGGGAGGCGGGGGGGGGTTGGTCCTGGGACCGCTTTAGATATCACTCGGCCCGATGGAACCGTTGTGAGAGATCCGACTCTTCGTATCCCAGTGCCCAACCTACGCGCCACCACCCCACTTGCGTAATAATACACGCGGCAATGTTTGCAGCACCGCTTGAGTTTGCACGACAGAAAAACAGATGCACGCTTGCAGTGAGGGAGTGGTCACATGGTCTTCAGGGCAGTCACATGGTCCCTCGGGCCTGTGAAGGGGCGTTTGGTAATTTGCAGCTCTCAACTAGATTGTTTTTTTGTTGTTGTAATTTTGTACGTTTTTGAAAGATTCTCATTCAGAAACTATCAGACTCAAAGACCAAGTCTTTATTAGTCCAACAGTATCATCGCAACTTAAAGCTTTCGTGACTGCAGGAATTCATATTCTTTGGGTCTTTCGGTAAAGCCACGTAGATAGGTTATTGTCTTTGAACCTATCTACATCATCGACATCATGGGACCTCCTTTACTAGTACCAAAATATGAGAATAGGTTTTTCCCCTTTTTTCACCATTTGAGACGAGGCTCAAAAGAAAGCTGTCTCTGGTGTGGACCAATCAGTTTCAAAGACAATGCATATATTATCAGAGTTTTTTTTGTTTGCATTCTGACCACAAGTATTGTGGTCAATGCAGACATGATTCCTTGTAAAAGGTTTCAGTTTGGTGTTTTAACATCTTAACACCTGTTTTGTTGCCAGAAAAAAGCGGAAAAACCTATTCTATAGCTTCGTAACTTTACCGATTAGACCCAAAGAATAGTGTCATCGCAGTTAAAATGCAAGGCTCTTGTTAATGCGTACCACATAAGTAAGGACTATACATCGTAGAATTTTTTTTTTATCATCAACGACAAGATAAGCGTTGCATCCCCCTTAAAGTCGAGACGGTACAGGAGGTTTTGCCGTTGGGATGAAATAAAAATCCACCGTGGTCACGTGGACAATCTCACTTTTGTTCAGCGTCTCCTTGGGAAACCTGCAGTTGAAAGTGGAAATCCTGGAGAAAGTCAACAAGACCATGGTGGAGGAGGTGAGTCTTCGTAACGGCAGCCGCGCCGGCTTCCCCACCCCCGCCCCCGCGTGTGCTGGGCAGCACGTGGGGTGTGCTGCTTGTGACGCATGCTGCGTGTGCCACGTGTGATGTGTGCTGTGTGCTGCGTGTGCTGTGTATGCCATGTGTGATGCATGCCGCGTGTGGCGCTTGCCGAGTGTGGTATGTACCCTGCTTGACACGTGCTGCGTTGTTCCATGCGTGCCGCGTGCCGCGTGTGTCATGTGACCTGTGAGCCGCGAGCCGCGTCTGCCACGCGTGTAACGTGCCACGCATGACGTGTGCCATGTGCCCTGTGTGACGCGTGCTGCGCGACAGCTCGCCGTGGTGAAGCGTAACGAGTTGGAGCTGAGGACCGAGGCGGAGAAGCTGCGCTCGGAGAACGCCACGCTCGTGGAGAGCACACACCGTAAAATGGAGGCACGCCGTCGCACGAATACGATTGGTCCATCGAAAGATGTTTCGCATTTAAATATCGATTTAAAGCTTTCGTGACTGCAGGGATTCATCTTCTTGGTTCTTTCGGTAAAGTAACGTAGAAGGGAAATAATAATAATCACCTAAGGACGGATGCTCATACTTGTAATGACCGAAACGTGATGAGAATTATTTTATTATGTTTTATTTTTATTATTTTATTACTTCCCTTCTACGTGACTTTACCGAAAGAACCAAGAATATGTTTCATATTTGTCCATCGTTCTGCTTTGTAACTCGAGAAAAGAGCATTCTGCAAAAAAAATAGCGCTTGCCCCAATGGTGTACGCCACCTGCGCGGAGGATCTATTTACATCTTCTTGGTTCTTTCGGTAAAGTCACGTAGAATGGAAATAATAAAATAATAAAATAAAACATAATAAAATAATTCTCACGACGTTTCGGCCACAACGCAAGCAGCCGTCCTCAGGTGAAGAAACAAGTCTGTCGGTCTTCACCTGAGGACGGCTGCTTGCGTTGTGGCCGAAACGTCGTGTGAATTATTTTATTATGTTTTATTTTATTATTTCCATTCTACGTGACTTTACCGAAAGAACCAAGAAGATGAATCCCTGCAGTCACGAAAGCTTTAAATCGAAATCTATTTACATGCTTATTAGTCTGTGCAACGCGTCCTTGTACGTCACGGAGACGCCGCTGGCGTGTGCGCGGTGCAGGCAGTGCGAGTGGACATGGACACGGAGCTGCAGACATACCGGCATTCGCGTCAGGGTCTGGACGAGCTGTACAGCGAGGCTCGCAAGCAGCTGCGCGAGGAGTCCCAGCTGCGCCTGGTACTCGAGCGTGCGCAGACATTGAGAGAGAGAGAAAAAAAAATTACCGTTCTGATAGCTGACAGGCTTCGTGCTCATTGGAAGCAAATGATCAAGTAATACACTGTTTTTTACCCTTTTATCTGGCAACAAAACTGACACCTTTTTACGAGGAGTCATGTTTGCATAGACCACAATACCTGCAGTCATAATGCAAACAAAAAAACAATTATATTTTTTACTGGCAAATGAGGTACCAATGGTGTAAATGCTTACCCCGAGCTCTCATACTCTGATGGTGCATTGTCTTTGAGTTGTGCGCCTTTTGGCGTCATCTGGTCCAACACCATGTGAGACTAGGCTCTAAGGAAAGCTGTCTCGGGTGTGGACCAATCAACTTCAAGGACAGTGCATACATTATCAGAGTTATGTTTTTTGTTTGCATTATGACTGCAGGTATTGTGGTCTATGCAAACAGGACTCCTCGTAAAAAAGGTGTCAGTTTTGTTGCCAGATAAAAGGGTAAAAAAACTATTATTATAATACACTGTTTTTAACTGCATGCCTATACAGGTCATCATACGTCGATGGTGATTCACTGTGAGCATACAATAAGACGTATTGCGATTTCTTCCACCCAACAACGGCAGCATGTACAGGCATGGTGTGCATGCATAATGTATGTAGATTACCCTATGAATAACCCAACCGGTAATGGATAGGTATTCTAATTTATATGCATACATTAACCCCCCCCCCCCATCTCAGGCCTTTGCACCTGATTAGCTCGCAAGTGATGACATCACATCTATCCCTGGCTGTCTGCCTGATGATGCTGGTTGTTATTACCGGCGAAACGTCACAGAACTCGAATTGTAAATGTTGTGGGTTTACTCTCCAACACATCGGTGCGCTGTACTCGTAACGAATTGGCACGTTCTGTTTACGTGACAAACCTCACTAATTGGCTGTGTCGGGTGGTGGCGGGTTTAACGAGACATTTATATTTACGCGACCTAAACCCTAAAACCTCTATTACAGACACACAAAACCCGATCGTGTAACTGCTCACCCCAACATGGCATGGTGCTGGCCACTCACGGCTTGATTCTCATGATTTCAGGATTTTTACGAACCCAGGTAGGCTCGCTACCGGAACTTGCCCCAAGCGGTCTGTATGACGAGACAGGATATGTCTTTGTGTGTGTGTCGTCTGTAGGGAGCGGTAGTGTAGCAGTTAGCACGCTGCGCTACAAACCCGGCGACCAGAGTTCGATTCCCGCTCGCAGCCAAAAACACCCGTGACGATTATTTGAACCGGTCCTGGGCCTCCCCTAGGTTGAGTCGGCCTCAAATGAGTACCTGGTGCGGTGTGTAAACATCACCACTGGGGAGACAAATGGCATGGTGCTGGCCACCCACTCGCTTGTCTGCCGTGCAGGCCTTCATATGTGCTTGCCCCAACAGTCTGTTAAGGCTATACGGGGGATCTTTGTCGTCGACAGGAGGTGGAGAACGAGTTAGAGCTCCAGATCTCCATGAAGCAGGAGATGGAGATGGCCATGCGTCTGCTGGAGAAGGACGTACACGAGAAGCAGGACGCCCTCGTTTCGCTGCGCGAGCAGCTGCAGGAGGTCAAGGACATCAACATGGACATCTCGCACAAAGCGCAGGCATGCTCGCTCACTCACGCTCTCGCTCGCTCACTCACACTCTCGCTCGCTCACTCGCTCACGCTCTCGCTCGCTCTCTCGCGCTCTCGCTCGCTCTCTCACGCTCTCGCTCGCTCTCTCACGCTCTCGCTCGCTCACGCTCACTCACGCTCTCGCTCACTCCTAAATGCCCGCTCTCGCTCGCTCGCTCACTCACGCTCTCGCTCGCTCCCGAATGCTTTTGCTCGCTCTCTCAAGTGTCGTCTCACACTCTCGTTAGCTCACGCTCTTGTTCGTTTCCTCCCGAAATCTCTCGCTCGCTCACGCTCACCTGCTCGCTGACGCTCTCGCCCGCTCACACTCTTGCTCACTCACCCTCTCCCTTGCTCGCTCGATCCTCCAGCATGGCAGGCGCACGGCTGTCCATCACGAGAAGAGGCTTAAAACTACGGTCATCACGTGCTGTAAACAATTATTTACATTTGAAATTGAATGAGAAACTCTTCAGACAGAAGAGTGCCTATTATTACTCTTGTGAGCCTCAGTAACACCTGGGTTATCCCAGGTTGTCTCATATCCAAGCATCGACCAGGCTGAAATCTGCTTCGGGTCCGAGATCTGACGGGAGCTAACGCGTTCAGGGTGATTTGGATTATCGATGCCGGCTGACCGCCCGCCCGCCCATTCCCTTTGCACCGCAGAGTGCGGAGGCGCTGCTCAAGCAGAAGATGGAAGGCGTCCGTGGTCTGGAGGAGAGGAACGGACAAATGACCGCGACCGTCAAACAGTTGGAGCAGAAGTGAGTGGTGTCAGAGCGGGACAAAGTGTCACGGGTCCAGTTGGACCAGGGCACCATGTCAGACCCCCACCACCGACCATCACCACCCCCGTATGTGAACCTACTCCTGTCGTTTTGCTTCGTCCGATGGACTTGAAACCCCCGTGAGTGATTGGCGAACCTCCCCCCTCCCGCCCGCCGCAGGCTGCGTCAGAGCGAGCGGGAGAGACAGACGGCGGAGGAGGATGGGCGGAGGTTCCGGCAGGACTTCGGAGAGAAGATCGGAGGCCTGCAGAGACAGTTGGATGAGAGAGACAAGCAGCGGTGAGCAGTGCTGCCAACATACAAAGACAAAGATCCTCGTATAGCTTAACAGACTATTGGGGCAAGCACATGTGAAGGCCGGAACGGCACACGGGTGGGTGGCCAGCACCACGCCCGGCCGCCTTTGTCTCCCCAGTGGCAATGTTTACACACCGTACTTATTTGAGGCGGAGTTGACCTAGGGGAGGAGGCCCATGACCGGTTCAGATAATCGTCACTGGTTTTGGCCATGAGCTGGAATCGTACTTGGGTCGCCGGGTTCGTAGCGCAGCGTGCTAACCGCTACACTCGTGTGTACATTCGGACATCTCTTTTTTAACCACCTTAAACGCGAAATTTCCACCGACGCGCAATTCACTGACCCCCGAATTAAACTATCAACTATTTTATTTTACCACTTAACGCCCACTGAGCTATGTAGCTGTTTTTCACAAGCAACCTGGCGATCACAAATGATAGCTCAACGAAGTGGCTTATCATGTGGTCATGTACAGCAGCCAAATGCTCTAAACGCGTGATTTTGATTCTAACTGCGGAGGCAAAAACTGGACGACCTGGAGAAAAATCCACGCGACAACGGGGAGAAAGACACGTAGACTCCAAATATATCAGGGTCTGGACCGAACCCACAACCTCCTGTATACCAGGCGAGGTAGTTAACATCTCGTCACCGTGGCGCCCTAAAACCGCCCCCACCTCCTCCTCGCTCTGCTGCCGTCGCCCCTTCCCACCCGCCTACCAGGGCCCAGTTGGAGGCCGACCTCAAGATCGAGCGCGAGTGGCGGCAGGCCCTGCAGAAGGAGCTCCAGCGGGAGAAGGAGGCTGCGGCGACACTGCAGACCGAGCTGCGAGCCTTGCAGGGCGTCAAGCAGGTGCCGCCCCCGCCGGGCGCCGGCAATGCCGCGAGCACGCGGCCGGAGCGCTCCGCCGTCGTGCGGCCGTCGTGAATGAGACGACGCGCGCGGCTGTCGTTAATCGGCAGGGTGGGCGAGGGTTTCATTCCTGGCTGGGTGGGGGGCACCCTTATTCTGTGTGCAGTTTGTATGCGCTCCCCCCCCTTGTCTGCACGGGTTTCCTCCCGAGTTTTGCGGTGTTCGTCCATCCGACGTCAACTGGTATTGACCAAAACATATCTCTGTGTTCTTGGTTCTTTCGGTAAAGTCACGTAGAAGGGAAGTAATAAAATAATAAAAATAAAACATACTAAAATTTCTCGGACGTTTCAGTACGCTTGCGTTTGCGAAACGTCGTGACTATTTATTTAATTTTATATTTTATTAATCTCTTCAATGCCTTTTCAGAAGACAAAGATGAATCCCTACAGTCAGTCTGAAGCTTAATCGAAATTCTTGGATTGCCCTTTGATTTGTCCTGTGCATCATGTATCCACTTTTGATATTGTCTATTTTATGCAATCCATTTACTTGTATTTTTTATCTTTGTGTTCGCATCTCTCCATCTGTCTGTGTTGTACGTCCACTGTCCACCTGAATCTCCCCATGTCTCTCTTGTGACTTTGCACATGATCGCGTCACACTGTCTTTGTGTCGCTCTCACGCCTGTATCTCCGTTTCTGTTTCCGTGTTGTGTTTCAGTGTGTCTCCACCGTATCTGTCTGTGTCACTCCACGTGACTGTGTATCGCTCAACGCCTCTCTTGATATGTATGGTTCTCTCTTGAGTTTATCTGTGGCTCCATCTTCCTCCAACTTCACAAGACCCCAGCCAGTGAGGAGACGACTCTTTGAACACAAGTTATAACAACAATTTAGAGTTGTGATGCACACAGTATTTGTATAGTTTTCTGCCTCATTTGTGAAAAACTCCTAAATAAAAGTGAGCCTCGATCTTCCTTGAGCTGCTTCCCCGTTCGTGCCTGAATCGTAGTGAATGCCGCATCCCGCATCTTGCTTTGGCCATCTCTACTCGCTGTAATAATTTAAACTCGTAAGAGGGAATGGCTTCGAGGTGCGAAGAACCACAGACAAGCGGGGAAGACAGCCAGGCGGTGAGCCGACTCCAACAATTTCCCAAGCTCTGTGATCCCCTCTATATATGAAGGTTTTATCAGGGTGTTTACACGTGGACGGAAACGGGAGATCCTGAGAAAACCCATTCGTGCGAGGGGGAAACACTCTATCCCATACAGATGGAGCAGGCGGAGTCACATTTCACTGTCCCACCTTTTGACAAACCGGAATATGGCGCCGCAATTGTGCAATCCACCAACCCTTGCTGCCTCCACAACGCTGGTGGGAGCGAACGAGTGGTCGCGTGCGTAGCCGCCGCCGCCCTTCAGGCTGTCCCGATTCTCGCCCTCTGCCCTCCCCCAGGAGCTGCAGAGGAGCCAGGAGGAGAACCGGAGGCTGAAGGGCGCGTTGGACGAGCAGGAGCAGACCCTGCAGGAGCTCGGAGGAAAGCTGAGCGAGTACGACGGGCGAGTTCACGCCGACACGACGCCAGCTCGCACCATCGGAGCCCGCGCACACGCATACGCATGCACGCACACGCATGCACGCGCGCACACGCATGCACGCGCGCACACGCATGCACGCGCGCACACGCATGCACGCGCGCACACACACACAAAGATTCCCCTTGTCGCTGTTACACACACGCATAGCACATACATATTATTGTTTTTTTTTGGTAAAATAAAAAAAATCACGACGTTTCGGAGGCAACACAAGCTTCCGTCTTCAGGTGGAACCGTCACAGCACGCTTGCTTTATCAAGTAAATGTTATTTTTTTACTTTTATTAATTTTAATTTTTTACCTACGTGACTTTACCGAAAAAACCCAAGAATATGAATCCTTGCAGTCACGAAAGCTTCAAATCTAGAAATAGCACATACACTTTGGTACATACACACGCAGTCTTGTACACATGCACATTATACACATACATCACATAAAAGACAAAGATCTCCCATATAGCCTTAACAGACTGTTAAGGCAAGCGCTGTTAGAGAGGACCCATGAAGGCCGGCACGGCACACGAGGGGCTGTGTGGTCAACACCACGCCTGGTCACCTTTGTTTCCCGAATGGCGATGTTTACTACACACCGCACCAGGTACTCAATTGAGGCAGAGTCGACTTGGGGGAGGCCCAGGACTGGTTCAGATAATCGTCACTGGTGTTGGCCGTGAGCGGGAATCGAACTCTGGTCGCCGGGTTCGTAGCGCAGTGCAGCGCGCTAACTGTTACACCGCCGCACACGTATGCACACACTTTCAAAGGAACTTCCGGCGAGCGAACTTCAAACAGTTGGTTTTTGCAAACTGCGTTACAGGCTGCCCGTGCCAGGCGACAGCGAGGAAGATTTGTACATTCAAATCTAAGAAACCAGACAACGTTACCTGCACTCTTGTAAGCTCGCCGTCTAAAGTAACCGCGAATTTCCTGCCCGGTTGTAACGCGTCTCCCCGCTCTGCCGTTTCCCGTAAACTCCACGTTTAGATCAAAGTTGAAGATGGAAGACATCAAGGAGGTTAACAAGGCACTACAGGTGAGTCGATCTAACCTCACAGGGTCCTTTAATGACAGATCAGAATCGCCTTTTCAATAAGTGTTTTTTTTGTCATTGATATTCCTTGCGGACGATGTATACGCATTGATTCGTGAATGCAGACATTGGGAGGGGTGAATGGCTACATGCGGAGTTTTTTGGGACGGACCGATTATCGGCACGGACTTACCGATGTCGGCGTGCGACTGACGTTGTTGCAGGGTCAGGTGTGGCTGAAGGACCAGGACGCCACGAACTGCAAGCTCTGCGAAAAGGAATTCTCCATCTCTCGGCGCAAGGTAAATCATTCTTACGGTGTGGGGCATTAGATCGGAACCGGTTCCAGGCCTCTCTCCCCCTTCACCGACCCATGCTTTACTAGCGCGGTGGTTTCGTTTGGTCAAATAACCCCCACAGACCTGCCCTCCTGCAGCAGGGGATTGTAAGGAGGCTTTTAATGTTATTCTGACACACTTTTACCAACGAATGTCTCACCGAGTCTCATGACTGCCGCCAAGTTTTTTTGTTGTTGCAGTTTACACGTCGTACGTTCTCTCGTAGGGAATTGTTATCGTGATACCGTCACTCATAGTGGGGGGGGGCCCACTCTCGTGAGTGACGTCACGGGATCTTTAGCATCCACTGCGAAGCAAACGGCATGCTTATTTACACCGCGGTAATGAACTATAAAAACTGTTAAGAAATATATATTTGACCAGGTAAGGCTTGCTGAATTATGTAGCTCTTTTTCAGAAACGACCTGGCCACAAATGATAGCTCGACAAAGTGGCTTATCGTGTCAATTTATAGCAGCCAAATACTCTAAACCAGCGGTCCCCAACCTTTTTGGCACCAGGGGACCGGTTTCGTGGAAGACGATTTTTTCACGGACCGGGGTGGGGGGGTGTTCATCATTGGGTCTTTCCCCCTTTTCAAAGAAGCTCTCCAGCGACGTTTGTTTTTTACTCATTGTGGCTACTAGCGGTTAGCAGCTTGTGGGCTTACCACAACTGTGACTGAGACAAGTGCGCGGTGCGGGAAAGAAGCGCGGATGGAAGTGGTGAATAAGAAAATAATGGGGGCGGGCCACGCGCGGACTCACCGCTCTCACCTCCTGCTGCTGTGCGGCCCGGTTCCTAACAGGCCACAGACCGGTACCGGTCTAAACGCATGTTGATTCTAAATGTGGAGGGGAAAAACCGAGGACCCGGAAAAAAATTCACGTGACCACGGGAGAGAGAGACACGCAAACTCCAAATATGCAGCAGGCATCAGGGTCGTGATCACTCCCACGACCTCCTGCATACCAGGCGAGGGAGTTAATATCTCGCCACTGCGGTGCCCAATAACGAAGGCGGCGGCGGCTCGATTCAAGCCACGAACCTTTGCTTTAAGCGGGGGAACTCGCTTCCACCAGGCCACGTTGCAGCCCTGTACGCTATCCAGGCAAGCCTGCGTGTGGTGCAGAGCGTAACAGAGTGGCGTAATGCAGAAACCTAACTTTTCACCTTCCCCCCCCCATCTCTCACCCCGCCCCCCGTCCTCACCCCGCACCCGGTCGGCATTTAAAGCACCACTGTCGGAACTGCGGGGAGATCTTCTGCAACTCGTGCTCGGACAACGAGCTGCCCCTGCCGTCGTCCCCGAAGCCGGTGCGAGTGTGTGACCTGTGCCACGCGCTGCTCCTGCAGAGATACTCATCAGGCGCCGTCTGAGCTCACGCACACACGCACACACGCACGTACGTACGCACGCGCCCACGTGCACACATGCCATACGCATACACACAACCGCAGTCGGTGATCTATCCCTCCGCTTAGCGGAACGCTGCTAGGTAGTGCTGGTCGTCCGGGGCATACGGATCGAACGAACGTGTACATGTCGCGGCGTTGCCTCTGTCGCTGAGGCGATCGGATCCGGTCGAGTTGACCATCTGGATTCGCTAATTTTAAACCGATTAATCGCCCCGGTGTAAGGTATTTGGCTGCTGTAATTGTCCACGTGATAAGCCACTTCATTGAGCTATCATTTGTGGCCAGGTTGCGTCTAAAAAAAGAGCTGTATAGTTCACTGGGCCTTATCTGTTAAAATATAAATATTTTTTTTTATAGTTTTTAGGAATGAAACTGGGGCCAATTTCCCTACCACTTTGTAGCCCGGAACCTGGGCCTCGGTGCAATTGCACCACCTACACACTCGCGATAGCGAGCTATTTCCGGGGCATGCGCGGTGTGTGAATATTGGCTCGCGTGACCCCGTCAAAGCTACCTAGAGGCTTGTTGCTACCTTCACCGCCGTTGGCAAAATAAATGTTCGGATATAACCGTGAACCCGAACATTGATAATTCTCCGAATCGCGAGTGAGGCAAACCGTTACGTGTCCGTGTACAAGTCAACGGTTGAGGCAGGTTCTGTTAAGTCGGCGGTTTGCTGGTTCGAAAGAGCGTGGGGAAGGTGTTTACAACCCGAAGCCGATGGTGGAAATTCCACATTACTATGGCAGGTGTGAGTGAAGCTTTTGTACAACCACTGTTGACTTGACACAAATTGATATCCATTGAACAGGATTTTATCTCGCTCTAACCGCGGCCCCAGGTCATCCGGGTTGTAAGGTCGTGCGAGCCACCGCACCACTGCTCCCGACGCACGGCACCTGCCATTCGCCACCAAGTGGCGTTGAAGTCACAATAATGGGATTTGTGCCAGGCTTGAGGGCACTTTGAGGCCACCTGAAAAGTGACAGAGGCCTACCTACCGGTGGTAGATTGCTCATGGGACAATCCAGGTTGCTATGGGCTTTCGTGACTGGCAGATGCACCAAATACAATCTCAACTACACACACACACATCTACATGTATGCACAAGAGCTCAGCAGTGCTGCAGCTGAGCTACGGCTCTTAACACTGCTGGCATTAGTCCTAGCGCATTAAACTGAGGTGCCAATGATGTTAGTGTTTGTGCCCACACACGGGTTGCCACCTCTGAATTACAGGAAAATGACGGCATATCCCAGCAAGAATGTCTCATACGTACACAGAGGGGAGAACTGCACTTAAATGAAATGCCTTGGGTGCTGTATTTTTATTCAAATGACACTGGGGTCTTTTTTTTTAACATCCTGGGAAGACCACAGATAAAAAATACCAGAAATCTCACAGATGTACCAGGACAAATTCCTGATAATGACGTCCTGGGAAAACCGGGACAGGTGGCAACCTCTCGCCCCAACACGCCTGCACATGTTTGTTCTCGGCGCTGCGTGGGTGTTGCTCTTTGCTTTTTTGTTGTTCTGATCGTTCATCTCTCGCCTCTGCACAAATGAGGGGTTTAGTTGGGAGTCCCAGGACGTGGTCTCCTTCCTTGGTCCCGGCCGCTAGCCGCGGTGGGTGGGTAGGGTTGCGGATATGAGGGTTCGTTTGATTCCGCATAGTCCCTCTCGAGCGCGTGCCGTGCACGCAACGTTCAGCCAATGGTTATCGTCCGCGTTACTGACGCCGCTCCGTTTCGAAACTCGCGCGACAAGGAAGTCCATTCCACGGGTGCGCTAACAACCGCTGCTGCTACTACTGGCATTATTGCACGCGCGGTTATTTTGGCGCGATTAAAGATGCAACCCTACCAACAAACGGGTGTTTTTTTTTTCAAGTCCGAATCAGAATCTTTATCTTGGAGGAATCCGATGAGCTATGAAGCTCAAATTCACAGATGTCCAGCAGGGTCCAGGGTCAGCAAGTTACAAAAAATACAATGTGTACATACCTGATTAGGAATGTAAACAATTGAAATACATGGCAGTGAACCGTGCATACGAGAATTGATTGTTTGCGATGCCGATTATACGTGGTGTGAGTTTAGGCAGAGAGAATTAATACAAGTGTACGTGTTAGAAGAAGAAAAAAACGATCCTAATGAGATGGCAAAGATGACAAAAATATTCTCGGACCAGGACCCCAAATTTCTGATGATGAAATTCTCTTGGGGAATTATTGCACGGCTGGTTTCCAGACTTGTTCGCATGCTGACACCGTTTATGAAGCTTTGTTCTTGAGGTTGACCTTGCAATGACTTTTCAGGTCTACTCAAATGACACTCCACACCGATTTTCATACACCACCACTGCAGTCACGAGCTAAAAAAGTTACAGCAGTCACTCTGCAGTGATATCATTGGACGGGACATCTGAAAGTGAAGTCTTTTTTTTCTTCTTCTCCATTAACCAAGCTCCATACTCGTACAGGAGAGCCCACACACCGATGCGTAAATAAAAACACGAGCAGTTTTAGTTTTTTTCGGTTGCGTGTTTGTGTCGGCATGGGTAACAGCAAAGCGCAAAATTGCAATCTCAAAAAACCCATGGGCAAGCGGGAAGGCAACCCGACTGAACCTGTGCCAACAATTTGCTTGACCTCTGTGATCCTATATTGAGATGCTGGCCAACGCCATGAATGTCGGTTCTGTTAGGAGTATCTGGGGACTCCCGACAGCCGTGCCTCCACTTGCCGATGCTTACAAACGGCAGTCCCAGCTGTGGTGGGGGGGGGGGGGCGGAGTGTTTGCGATGGGAGTGCCTTGGTTGCATCGTGATGCTTAAAGCGCGGGGTCAAATGACTGAACTGATTTTCCACACGCTGAAGCCAATGCATGCAAGTCGTTGGGCCAGAAAAACAATGAATCTGAATTGTCAATACAAATCTGAGTGCTTTTATTATACAAATATAACAATCTATTTAAAATATATACGATTTAAAAATGTGTATTTTAATATTCTAAGTGTATATAGTAATTTACAGTGGTCAGTCCACTGCCGGATGACAGTCTCCCCACACAGCGGCAGTCATGAAATTGTTTGACCATACTTCACCATGCTGGTCAGTGCAAGATGGTGCATTAGTACCGGTTAATGTAATATCACTCTCCACCAATGTTAGCTGTGGCCAGTGATTGAAGCCTGCTATGCATACCAGAGCAGCCCCAAACCTTGCCCCCCAAACTTATACTGAAATAAAAACTATTCGCCAAGAACAAAGTAAAACACGCGATTATAATTTTACACGTTACCAATATGAAATGGAAAAGATAATTCGTGTTGTGGTGTATTTGCATGCGAGGGAGTTTTAACGTTCATTGGCTTCAGCAGTGTCGTGGGTGAGAGGACTTGTAAAGGATATTTTTATATGTGTATAAACTAAATGTTTATTTTACAGCATGCCAGGTAGAGGCTACGTGCGCCGATGCAGTCGTTTACCGCGTCGATGCTGATCCAAATGAGATTTTGTCCAGAGCTGTATTTTTTATTCGGAACGCCAACATTTTACAGAAGTCAAAACATCAACGCATGTCCACCGGGGTTGTGAATAAAGCTGCTTGAGACCATTTGTACCATCGTTGGCTTGCTAAAAATGTTTCTGTACAGTTGGGTCAGAAAAGATGAAAATTTCAATCTGTCACGTTGGTTGCTTTAGGTTTTCTGGAAATAAAATTTTGTAGTCGACTCCCGGAGTGTTTTAACATTTTTAACCATATAAAAACACCACATTGCAATAACCTTGGTTTAATAAAAGACAAGGGGAAACGGGGGGCTGGCTTCCAGCTGAAGTCATATCAAAATAATTGTTACGCCATCAACAAAGCTTTGCAAACGATACTTGCAGTATGTTGAAATACAAAATTAACACGTGATATTTTTCCTACAATTCCAATTGTGGTATGTGATGTCGAATCCATTTTAAGAAAAATTCTGAGTACCCTGTCACGCCCCGATCGGTTGCGAGAGGGATTTTTCAATGGATTTGCCGAGTCTCACCCAATACAGTAAAACCTTGGATTGCGAGCATAATTCGTTCCGGAAACGTTTGTAATCCAAAGCACTCGTATATCAGTTGTGATCACGTGACGCTCGGCAGACAAAGCGTATACACGTACTACTCGTATTGCAAGACCTCGCTCGTTAATCAAATTAATATAAAAAAAAATTGTGCTCGTCTTGCAAAACACTCGCAGACCAAGTTACTCGCAATCCCATTGTTTTACTGTATTTTTATTTTGTAGAAATGGAATTTTTCCAATTGAAGCCAAAACCAAATCGAAATATTGAGGTTTTTTGTGCAGTCATTGGCGTCCCCGGGGGGGGCTCAAGTGGCTGCCTCGTTCTCTCGAGCCACCCTAACCACCTCATAGAACTTTCTAGAAAATGTTTTTTTAGAACACTTGAAATTAACTACATTGTACAAACCCCAATAAACCAGAATAATAACACAGTAATTCAAAGACACAGGGCTCCCAGTCGATGCTCACCCAGTGGCCCCCTTTCTTGCCAAACTGCGGTTCAAACACAGACATGTAATGATGCACTTACCCATCAATATCGATTCTTCAGCAAACGATAGATTTTAAAAAAGCATGTGTAAGAACTTCATACAGGTCAACCCCCAAATATGGAAATTACATTTTATTACTCGTATGTTATGGGCTCACATTGTCATCCCTGTCACTTGTCGGAGTTACGTTAACCAGTATTAAAAATAAAATGTATCAAATCACTATTTTTTTTTTAGAATTGCCAGGAAGGCAGGAAGTAAATTGTTACGACTGATAGACAACCTCTTGTCCCAAACAAATGATATATTGACACCAAGAACTGACATCAAGGGGGTGAGTGAACAGTCCATGGCCTAACAGGGGCAACAAAAAATTGTGAACGTGTGACAATATATACATTGTGAAGTATTTACTCTTTTCAAAGCAAAAGGACTAACGGCAATTTCTTTACCGCCGCTCGCACCACCATTCCGCCTTCACTTTGAATGCCGAATCAACTCTGAACACTTTTTTCTACTTGCTTAAACAAGCATGAGTTAAAAATAGAGACCTCACCATTGGCTGCAAGCCTCTTCCCCCCTCCCTCCACCACCGCATGCCGACACTGGTAGCACCCAGACTCACCAACGCGTGGCACTGGAAATTGGCCAAGTCTCCAAGATTTGGGTTGGTCCACTATTTTGGGGACTGAGGAGGGGGCAGGGAAGGACCGACGGGACAGTTTCCAGCGCAGAGTCTGGTTGCTACCATCGACGGCCTGTGAGGGTGCGATGTGAGCATTATATAGCACCACCGTTGAGGTCTTGGTTTACTCCCATGCACATTTACTACACGTAATAAGTTTGAGCGTTAACCTGAAAAATGGTTACGTGTGGAAAATCCAGAAAAATATGGATACAACACTTAAAACTGAAGACGACACTTGCCAGGTCTGGCCGAGTGTGTCCACAACGAGGGAATTGAGGGATCGCTTGCCGGGAAAATGCATTATCCTGCTGCAATGCGCCCCTGAGTTGTGATCGCGTGTAATGCGGCCAGACAATTCTTCTAAGTGGGGATTAAAGCCTTGGAATAGTGGTGAACCAGATGCATCATTACCCTTCTCATGGACTAACATTGAAGAAGAAACAAGTGTCATCAGTCACTTTCTGACAGGGCAGACTTTTCCATCACAGGAAAGGCAGAGGATGGGGGGGGGGGCAGGGATAATTTCACAAAAACGGGAATGGGCCCTGTACCATGCTTAGAGGCTACGATACATTCGGGAAATTTTAGAATCGTCACCGGCAATGCATTTACTGTGCTGACCAACTGTGGCAACTCGGTACCAGCAACGGGCATGGAGTCTCATGGGATTTGTCTTGTCAATAAAAAACAATGTTGAAAAGTTTTTCAAGAGCAATGATTGGCCTACGTAGCAATGTCCAGTAGTCGTGTGACCATTCTGCAATGCGATGGCAGCTTACCATTTCTTGCAACAGAAATGCATCGTGGCGACCGCCACCAGTGTTGATTGCCAGCAATGACTGCCTCTAAAGTTGCCCCGGTGCATCACGGCTTCAAGGGCATGCGGAAAACAGGACAGCACTGAAAGAACGAAACGAGATAGCGTTGGGGCGCTTCTGTGCAAGACAAGAGGGGACCGCACTCACCCCCCACCACCACCCCCCCCCATCTCCTCGGCCCTGCAGCTCATTTACGATCACGGTCGCGATCCCGGTCACGGATCCGATCGCGATCGCGGTCGCGGTCCCTGTCGCGGTCCCAGCCTCCGCCGCGCCGGCTGCTGCTGATGCTGGAGCTGTAGCATCCCACGCCATTAGAGCCACCTCCTGGCAGATGATGGGGGGGGGGGGACACACGACATTGTCAACTTATAGTGATTTTGTTGCCAGATCCAGCGACATTTTAATTCCCCAAGTGATATTTTGTCAAAGCGACTAGCGGTAAATCTACATACACATTTGAACCTTATGGCGGGAACCCGTGGTCACATAAGCCCCGTTCTCTTGCATAAACACTATATTATAATGTAAACTATATATTATAATGTAAACATAATATTATAATGTAAACAAAAACTTGCTCTTTTTCACCAATGGGTTTGAAGGATGGTGGCAAGTGTTGTCTTGTTAAACTTCGCCTTTAAAACTGAAAACTACTTACCTGCAGTACCTCTATTTAAATACACGATCTAAAAAATAATTTACACCCCTCTGTCAATCGTCGTGTTTCTCTGTGGATTTGTGAACACACTTTGTAAACGGTACATAAAATAGTACGTGTTTTCAATGCGCTGTTCATATTGTAACAAGCGTTTATACCAATGTTACTCTACAGAGTAGTGGGTCGCCGCTCCTCTTATCCGCATGTGAGGACTATGGCTTAACCGCAAAAAAACCCATCTGCACAGATGCATACGACAAGAGAAGTATGATCAAACAGGAGGAATTAACGGTGCAACGCATCTCATCTGTTAAATATCTGCAGGTAATAGGATTGTCATCGATTGATCCTGGCTGCAGATATTGGTAGGTCACAAATAATAAAGCTAAGAGAGCCGTTTCACTGTATTATGCATAGCGTGATGACAAATAATGGACTTAAGTCGTGTAGGCAGTTTGAGCAGCTTTGGATAAGACTTATGATCCTGCCCATACCCGAGCATGGAGTGCATTCGCTTGTTCTGCTCTTCCGCGCATTCGTCCTCGCTACGCTTGGACGACAACAGAATGATCCGCGCCAGGTGGGTCGCGGCATTTATGTGCGCGGTGGGATGGAGTCGCCAAAAATAAATTACGATTTTGACTTCCGTTTATTCGGGTCCCGCCATAAGGTTCATTTCAAGAGCGTATTAAGCATTCTGTTGTATAAGTTTACTATGTTGTCAGTCAAGTAAAGTTACAGTCTTGCGATTGCTTGTTCGCAACACTTTTGGCAGGAGGAAACATAACATCGCCAACTGTGAATGGGTTTAAATTTGGTCTTCGTCAAAATCACAGTACAGCTAGGAAAATGGAAATAGCATGGTACACCATCCCTCTGAATTACCCCCGTTTTTCAAGGGCACGGTGTAGGTAGTGAGTGCACGCGTGCGTGTGTTTTTATGCCCTCACGGGTTTCTGGGCTCCGCTCACCGTAGCCCCTGTGCGCCGTCGAGTTCAGAAACAGCTCCACGTAGCGGTGTTCTGCAAGAAAGTAGAACCAAGAATCTTTATACTGGTAGGAACCTCCTGGTTACACCAGCTCACAGGGGATTATTGTGTCCATCGTGCAAGGACGGGCTGGGTGGGGAGGGTGGGGCTGGGTGGGGAGGGTGGGGAGGGGCTGGGTGGGGAGGGTGGGGAGGGGCTGGGTGGGGGGTGGAAGGGGTGGGGCTGGGTGGGGGGTGGAAGGGGTGGGGATGGGTGGGGAGGGGCTGGTCACCCCGTGGTGCCCTTATAAAACTCAACGTTTAACCTACTCATGCCGGCTTGTGCCCGCCCTCACAGTCAGGCATATTTGTGGAATACACCACGCCGCCGTTGACCCTGGCCATTGACCGAGCAACCCAACGTTCCTACCAGCTCCCCCCGCAGGAATGTGTTTTATGCCAGAGGAATCCGACGAACTATAAAGCGGACGGGCACAAGCGACCACATCTCACATGCGGGGGTGTCAGCGGCGGCGATGACGGCAGTGACGGGCAATGCCGATGGTGGTGGTGGATGTCAATTATGGTGATGTTGATGGCGCCAGCGGCGGTGGTAATGTACACGATGGTGTTGGTTATGGGGCAGTGGTGGTGGTGTATGATGGGAGCAGCTGTGATGCTAGTGATGTGTGTAGTCATGTGAATGTCTTTTATGGTAACAAATGATGTACACAGTGGTGATTGGAGTAGTCACGTCAATCATTGAGATGGTGATATTTTTCTTGTGAGTTGCGGTAATGTTGCTGCTGAAGATAGTGACACTGGTGATGCCGGTGGTGTTGACGACAATGACAGTGATGATGATGCAGAGCCACGTTGTTGACATCGGCGGTCTCACTCATATGCGCCTTGTCCCTTGCCATGGCGCGCACTGCGTCATCGTGCGTCGCGAAGTCGACGTCCGCCTCCCCCGTGGCGCGTCCGTTCACCTCGTACTCGATGTGAACCCTCACGGGCGCCAGTGGCAAGAAGAACTGCGCAAACGGCGACATCGCGATGGGCCGCACACATGCAACAACACCGCCACCACCGACGGTAAATTGTCAATCCTTCCACAACAACCATTGCCTGCTTCCATCATCTTTGTAATGCAAATAACAATAGTTCTCCATGGAACAATTTATATGGGTTGTGGATTGACTGTTTTCTCTCTAAAGAACCCATGACGTGTGAAACAAGGTATATCTCATGCAAATATTAAGAATAGGCTTTACCCTCTCTGGTAAAAAAAACGTGTGTTAAGATGTTCAAACACAAAAGAGATACCTTTTGCACGTTTGTTTGCATGTTTTGCCCTAAGTACGTGTGGTTTCCATCCCTTGCAAAAGGTATCTATTTGGCGTTCGAACATCTGAACACCTGTTTCATTGCCAGAAAGGGCAAAGCCTATTGTTTATCATTTTTATACCGGCAAAAAAAGTCCCATACACGGTACATCTGGCCACGTTATATCTACAAAGAGACGTTATAGTTTTTAGGTTTGCGTGACTTTGCTGCAAGCATTCTGGTTTTGCTCCGGCCGGCTGGGTTGAGATCAGCACCTCCAGGATGTCTTCCTCGGTGCTTCGGAAGGGGATGCCGCGCATGTGCACGCAGTGGCCCGTGTTGGTCTGGAACGTGCCTGCCGAGCCGTAGCTGCTGTAGCTACGGCCGCTGAAACCTGTCGCGACGGGGGCACAAACAGTTAAAAGTAAAAAAATGTCACGTTTAATTGATTACCCCGTGGCGCCTTCGTGGCATAGATATACAAGGCCACCCAAGGCTCCGAAGGAAAACAAAAACGTGTGTAACTTTGTTTGCACCAGCCACCAAGAACAATATAAAATGTTCTAAACAATATGAATCTATTCATAATCAACGTTTTTGGGTTTAGATCGCGTTATTTATAAATGTGTCGTAACCCTCCACCACCCGACACGGCCAATCAGTAAAAAAGTGTCACGTTGACAAAAGACAAATAGTTCACTGCTTTAGCCCACCGGTGCAGTGAACTATTTGTCTTTTGTCAACGTGACACTTTTTTACTGATTGGCCGTGTCGGGTGGTGGAGGGTTACGACACATTTATAAATAACACGATCTAAACTCAAAAACGTTGATTATGAATAATATTGGTCGCACAGCCTAAATGTTAACATGAATTTAACAATGTATTTCCTGCCCTCCCCCCCCCACCATGGTTTGAATTGTCAAGATTCAGATTCATGGTTTGATTTAATAATCCATTCTTATTTGTGTGGTTTGATCCGTCTCGTTGGTTCCACTCGGCAGAATATTATTCTCTGACCTGGAATGGGCCCTTTGAGATGAGGCTCTTTTAACAATATAAAGGGAGAAATATTATTTGTGTCTTTCGGTAATGTCACGTAGATAGGTTCAAAGAAAATAACAAAATAAAAAAAACTACGACGTTTCGATCGCAACACAAGTGGTCGTCATCAGGAAAAAATAAAAAATGAAATTTTCCTGATGACGATCGCTTGTGTTGCGATCGAAACGTCGTAGTTATTTTATTTTCTTTGAACATATCTACGTGACTTTACCGAAAGACTCAAAGAATATGAATGCCTGCAGTCACGAAAGCTTTAAGTTAAGATATAAAGGGAGATAATATAATTAATGTAAAGTGCCATAATTAAACCATAAAATCATAAACAGGAATATGGGAATTAACACAATGAAAATTGGCATACAATTTGTATAACTGCATTATTTATGAAGGATTCCTACACAGATAATTTGATGCTTACATATATATTTAAGGGTAATGAATTGCTTTTAATCGATTAAATTGACGAATGAGGTCATATCTGGCATTGAAAGCAATGTTGAAAATAACAAATACGCGATCAAGTTTTGACACCAGAGTTTGAAGAACTACAATGACATTAATGCATATACTTGGCAGTGTTCCGACAACACGGTGGAAAGTGAAAGATGACAATAATGAGACTGATATTGGCATATGCGCTGTAAAAACAAGGGAGATGTTGCAAACCACAGTAATGAGGATGACAAGATGCACTTTAGGATTACTTAGAAAAATGACAAATTAAGGAACGAGGAAGAAGTGAAGAGTGGTGGTACCCATCTCCAGAAAGGCTCAAAGAAAGCTGACTTAAGATGGCTTCGGACGTGTGGTGAGAGTAATATAACATCGCAGGGAGAAAAACGGTGAACACAGAATCGGAGCGTGGAGAACGAAAGGCAGGCCTAGCAGGTGCAAGCGGTCAACCAGGACGCGGTGACCTGTTGGGAGAGGCTGTGGAGATGGCTCAAGATAGGAATGAGTGCCGAGGACCAGGGCAGGCAGGCAGGCAGCTACCCAAACATCATTGGGGGGAATATGCAGCCCCCCCCCCACACACGTTGCTGCCCATTGTCCCAAACAACACACAGCCAACAACGGCGACGGAGAACAACGGCGACAGAGCTCACCGGCGACCGGTCGCAAACGATCGTAGTTTCGGTCCGGCCCGTATCCCCCACTGTTGCCTCCGCTGTAGCCTCCGGCGTAGTTGCCCCCGTGGACCCCGCTGCTCCCATAGGAGCCCCTCGGGCTCACGCTGGGACGGTCGTAGGGCCCACGCCTCAGAGCGTGCCGGCGCGCAAGCTCGTAGACGCCCCGGAAATCCCCTCGGCTACAGCGGAACACCTCCACGTACCTGAAAAGAGTTTGCATATTTTTGGTTCAAACACATCAGCGAACGGATTTACTTGCAAATAACTCCGTTGGGTAAAGTCACGTGGCAATGCCGCCCCGCCCCGCCCCCCGCAACCCAACTGGCACATTAATGCTCACTTGCGGGCCAGTACAGGTGTTCATGTTACGCCGCACGGAGACAGATGGGGGGCTGCCCTTAGGCAGGCCACAGCAGGACATTGGAATGCTCAGATGTGATATAAAGTTTCCAAAGCATTTAAGTATCCTATAAATGCAAATCCTTATACTAAACAAAATAACTGGGCGATTTCCCGCAGCTACAAGAAACCACCAAGATCTCTTCGAGCAGAGGTTAACCTACCATCCGAGAGTCGTGTTCATCACGTAATAGTCAAACCGTTGTATTAAACTGATATTTTCAATTCTCAGAGATTGAATTTAACCAAATCAAGTGCAACATCAAATAAAACATGTTTTTTTGGTTGCAAAAGTCCTTTTTGCTCTGGATTGTCCACAAGTTGAGCAATCCTTTGATAAATTTAGGCAGTTTTCAATAATAGTAACACAACTTTCAACTACAGATTCTAATTCCCACACCCGCCCTGAACCACCCCCCCCAATCACGGACAAATGGAGCTAAAGTATAAACGCTTTGAACCTAGGTTGGAAAGCGAATATAAAAAAAAATTTGTACGTTGGTTATCAACTTTATCGAGGACACCACCACACACGTGCACAAATGAACAAGCCAACGACGACAAACTGAATGATTGACCAGCCCGTACCGGTGGCCCATCTTCTCCTTGTGCTTTCCGAGCGCGATGTCGGCCAGGCTCTGCGACACGAACTGCACAAAGGCCTCGCCCGTGCTGCGGCCCTGGTGGTCGAGGGGGATGACGATGCCGTCCGGCGAGATGTCGTACGGCGAGATGTTGTACACAGCGGAGGATCCTTCAGAGGCTGCACGCGGACGCGAGGTCGCATGTCAAGAGTTTCTTAGCAACCTCCTACAACTGTCGCACCTCGGATTAGTGCGGTTGGTTAAGTTTCGGTGCGAAGGAAGTTCAACATACATACGTACATATATTGTGTTGAAAAGTGTTGCTTTAGTAGGTATTGTGTCAGAACATATTTTGCGAGGAATGCATCTTAGCTTATTTAATGGGACACAATGGGTAAATACATTTCGATATACGACTTTCCAATTAAGATTCCACTTTTCAAGAATGCAACCCAAACGTACATCAAAGTACGCCCGTACTGCCATTACGTGGCAACTCTAGCACCGACTGGTGGTGCCAGGTGACTACGGCCAGAATTCCTCACCGGAGAAGAACTTGACGATGTCCTCTCGCGTGCACCCGAAGGGGAGTCCGCGCAGCCGCACGCAGCCCTCGAGCGACGTGTCAGGCTGGCTCGGCCCGTTGTGAGCCAGGGCCCACTCCAGCTCGCTCTTCTTCGACTTGAACACTGCACGCAGCGGCGTATGGGAGGCCGGTGTCCACACAGGCCACGTAAACAACTTTCCCCTTCCCCATCATCACACGGTCCATGGGAAGATAGCCCGTAGATCAGAGGTTGCAAACGGGTTTTGATTCCTTACCCGTACCCGGCCGCACCAGGGTCGCAAACGGGTACCCGTATCCGTACCCGGCCGGGTACAGGTAGCCGGGTATCGGGTCGGGTACGGGTATCGGGTACCCGGTTGCGACCTCTGCCGTAGATGTCCACTGCACATTTCCTTGTTTCCACTTTGCTCTGTCTTGTGCCAATATGCTCAAAAGTAGTGCCACATCTTTCTGGCACTTATCTCTTACTAGCTTTCCTACCCGGCTTCGCCCAGGACTTAGATTCACTACGCCCGGCCGCCTTTGTTTCCCCAGTGGCGATGTTCACACACCACACCAGTTACTCGTTTGAGGCCGAGTCGACCTAGCGGAGGCCCTGGACCGGTTCAAATAATCGTCACCGGTGGTGGCCGTGAACGGGAATCGAACTCGGGTCGCCGGGTGCGTAGCGCAGCGCGCTAACCACGACACTACAATGCGTGACGCTTCCACATGCGCGGGTCACATGACAGATTTGACGTCACAGCTCACTTGCCGTGCAAAAAATATATGCACTATTGAGTCTGAAAAGTACCCACATGGCAAATTTCAAGTTTGTTGCATGTCAGGAAGTACGCTAAACATTTTGAACAGACACATATAATCACAACTTTGCCTTATATCGTCACGACATTCTCTGTTCGAGCTTCCTCTTTCCGGTTCTTTCCATTTTCCCCCAAACAAAAAAAACTCTAAGCCCAGATAATTTATGAGGTCACCGTTCGACTCTTATTGTTTTTTTACGCACCCTCGATGTAGCGGTGGCCCATGTGCTTGCGATTCAGCTCGAGAGCACGCAGCATGTCGTCCTCTGTCTCCAGCTGAACGTACGCCTCCCCGCTCGCCCGTCCGTCCCGCGTGTTGATAAACTCCACGCCCGCCTTCCCGTTCATAAGCATGCAGCCTGGACGTGACAATACATGCGTGTTCAATTATGCTAGTTTGAAGAAAACATTTCTTTAGAAGTGATTTTTGTGTTTAGCTTGTTGTCCTTCACCCCGCACGTCCGATTAGCACGGTTGGCTACGTACGATGCAAAAGTAGTTCAACATACATACAATTTCTGCTTCAATTTACATTGGTTGTTTTAATGATCATTTAGTTATGGACGAACTGTGAGAAATGGTCTTGGGAAAACAAGATGTCTTGAGTCATTTTGTCACTTATCAAGGGAAATGCGTGTACAGCTGAAGTTAAATCCAAACCTGGCGTCAATTATAATTACACTTACAGCAGCATTGTTCGCTTAAATTACAATTACATTTTGATTGCAATTAATGACACATTACAGTTACAATTGTAATTGACCCTCGGTCTTATTAACACGTTGTCCACGTTACTCTGTAAAATAAAACTTGACGTAAAGCTACTCCTCATGGGTCTGCCTTGTGCCTGGGTGCTCGTGTGAGTGGTAGTGCCATAACAGCCACCATGGCCGCACCAGAGAAGAAATCCAGGAGTTCTTCGGCAGTGCAGGTCCACGGGAGGCCACGCACGCGGACCACGAATCCTTCGGGGTCGTCCCAGTGTGCGTCCCGAGGATCTCGGCGGTCTCGTGAATCCTTCCTCTCTCTCGAGTCTCGCCTGTCCCGCAAGTCTCTCCTCTCACGCGAGTCTCTCCTGTCCCGCAAGTCTCTCCTCTCACGCGAGTCTCTTCTGTCGCGACCATCTCGCGAATCTCGCGAATCGCGCGAATCACGCGACATGACGGCGCTTTTGTCTTCCGCTGCCGGCGACGATGCTGGTGCTGCGGTCGCTGGCTGCCCACTGTGTGTCGTTACTCCAAGACTCTCCCCCCTGCGGGTTGCAGCACGGGGCAGGCAAGCTTTTTTGCCGACGCGACCTTTGAGCATGAATCTCCATTCACCCAGCGTCCACCCAGCCGCAACCCCAGCCCCTTCCGAACCACCCAGGTCGCACCCATCCGGCCCCACTGCAGCCCTCCCCAGCCACCGCCAAATCCAGCCATGCCCTTTGAGGGAAGCTGCACTCCAAATGCTCTCCAGCCACGTTCACCCAACCCAAGCCATTCCCGACCACCCCCATTCCAATACATACCTTTCTCAACCACCGCCAATGCTCTCCAGCCAGCTCCTCCCAACCTTTCACCAGCATCTCCACTCCAACCCAACCCTTTCCCCAGTGACATCACGCTCTCCGGCAACCTCCACCAAACCACCTTCATGCCGATGTCGTCCAACCACCTCCACTCAAACCCCGACCCTCCGCCCAACCCAGACCTCCACCAGTGGTGCAGCTATTGAGTGTGCAGGCTGTGCAACATTACCATGGCCCACGTGCCAGAGGGGCAAGAGAGCCAAGCTATTAAGGGGGCAGAAATTGAAGAGGGGGTCCCATTTCATTCTTTGCACAGGGCCCATGCCCACCGCATGACGCCACTGACCCCTTCCCAACCACCTTCACCTCAACCACACCCCTTGGCCCACCCACATTCCCTCCCCAACCAGCTCCATCTGCCTCCACTCCCCATCTCCAAACCTTTCCAAGCACCTTCACTCCAACGCTCTGCAGCCATCTCCACCAAACCCCTCCATGCCATCTCGACTCCAGCCCCCAGCCCCGCCCAGCCACTTCCACAATCCACCCCATCCCACTCATCTCCATTGCAGGCCAGCCCACCCACTTGCCAATCCCAGCCCATCCAATGTGATTCCCTCGCCACCACCGTCGCCCTCCCACACCACCCCAACCGGCCCCACCCCCTCGCGCACCAACCCCTCTCCGGCGTTTAGACATCACAGGGCCCCCCCACCGTTTCCCCCCCCACCACCATCATCATCCCTCCCACCTCACCACTTCCCTTCCTCTAAAACTTAAAAACACACGCGCACACACAGACAAAAACACAAACAGCAGCGTAAACATTAAAAACACGTGCAATACGATGCGCAAATAAGAGCAGCAAAAAAGAAAAGTCCACGTCGAGCCGAATGGTCGGTATGATGTGGTCAAGGACACACGAAGCTTCCTTAGGCATGTCCCGGCACATCGATTACAATCGATTATCGCGCTAACGATTCGTGAATATGATTAGATTATTTAACACGCAGTAGACATTCGCGACCAATATCCATAATACAAGTTTTTTTGGGTTAGATAGCGTCAATGTGTCGTTGAACCCGCCACCACCCGACAGCCAATTATTAAGGTTTGTCACGTAAAGAGAACATGAAAATTCGTTTCAAGTAGACAGGACATTTCGATTTAAAGCTTTCGTGACTGCAAGGATTCATCTTCTTGGTTCTTTCGATAAAATCATGTAGAAGGGAAATAATAAAATAATAAAAATAAAACATAATAAAATACAATTCTCACGACGTTTCGGCCACAACGCAAGCAGCCGTCCTCAGGTGAACAGGACGGCTGCTTGCGTTGTGGCCGAAACGTCGTGAGAATTGTATTTTATGTTATATTTTTATTATTTTATTATTTCCCTTCTACGTGACTTTACCGAAAGAACCAAGAAGACAAGACATGGTATAATTTATATGCATTCATTAACCCCTCTCCCTCCCCACGTAAGGGACTCACAAGTGACGATATATAGATCCATCCCTCTATTTAAGAACGAAGCAGGAGGATGTATTCACAAATCTGACTGTCGCCTGATGAAGCCGGTTGTAATTACTGGCGAAACGTCGTACTCGGAATGTAAATGTTGTGGATTTAGTCTCCAACACACTGGTGTTGTGCTGTACTAGTAACGAATTGGCATATTTTGCTGACGCGATTAACCTTATTCTTAGATTTTTTCGGTAAAGTCACGTAGGTAAAAAAATTAATAAAAGTAAAACAAAAATCACGACGTTTCGGAGGCAACACAAGCTTCCGTCTTCAGGCGGAACCGTCACAGCACGCTTGCTGTATCAAGTAAATGAGACATTCCAAGAGATACTACCCCGTATATATACTTGTTGAGGGGGGGGGGATGAACCAGGACAGACCCCCTTTTTATTATTACTTAATTGGCTGTGTCGGGTGGTGGCAGGTTTAACGACACATTTCGATTTACGCGATCAAATCCAAAAACCAATCCCTGTATTATGGATGACCAGGTTCGTCCGTGCATATATACGTTCCCGTCAATCCACTGCTGGATGAGGATCTTCGCACGCCGTGCAGATTATTTATCCATACTTCCCCACGCAGGCAAAGTGCGGGTTTGGGAGGCACACAAACACGACGATTGATTATCCTGCTGCGCTGTCCTCTGCTGACACACAGCGGATTTATCCGAGCACCGCCCAGTCAACATTTTGTCATAAGCGCAGCCCCCTTACAGGAAACCTGCCAAAATTATATTGTTTAACCGAGCTTGATAAGGCTTTGCCTTCGATTACAACAGCGTTCCGAGTATTCCCAATGAATGCTGTCCCACAGCGGACCTATGCGGCCAGTTTTAGTCGACAACGCATAATTTAAAGCCATTTTGTCACATGCGCAGACCTTACACGAATCCGGAGACCACCAAAATTAACTGAGCGTACGGTGCAAAGTTTTACTTCGATTAAAAAAAGCGTTAAATTATTCCCAACGAATTCGGAATCTCGTTCAAGCAGCGAATGGTCAATAAAGGCGAGGGGGGGAGAAAGGCTTCAAAAAACGCACGCAAACGTGTAGGCCGCGAGGCGAATTCAACTCAAACCCCCCCCCGGAGGCAAAGCGAATGAAAGTACGATCTCACCCAAGCCGGCCCTGCTCCGTCACTACTCTCGTTGTTCAAGAGAAATGAAAGCAACAGCGACAGTGTTTCTCCTTTTCGTGCTTTTTGTTTAAAGTTTGTGGGACGGGACACGATAATTGAAGGCCGCCATCTTACCTCGCTCCACCGGAAGCGACTAAGTCGGAGGGGGGAGGGGCCGCCCTTCCCCCTCAGTCACTTCCGGTGGAGGGGGGCGGGGCCGCCTTCCCCCTCAGTCACTTCCGGTGGAGGGGGGGAGGGGTCGGGGGGCGCGAGGCTCCTCCCCCTCTGCGCTCCCCCCCGCCCCTACCGGTGGGTTTCTTAGGTTTCCCGGCACACGTGGGTGGAGGGTAAAGGACATAGCAGAGACGTGGTAAAGTCACGGAGGTAGATACAGTTTGTAGATTATGTAGTCTGATTCATCCACAACAACACCCACGGTCAAGCCAATGCTGGATGATGTACTTATTAAAATTATACTTTTTATATAGAACGATTGAGAACCAAAGGGGGTGCATGGCTGCAGTAAAATGATAAGAGCCACACTACATTATAGATTTGAAGCTTTCGTGACTGCAAGGATTAATACAAGTTCAATACACTTAGGTTCTTTCGGTAAAGTCACGTAGGTAAAAATAATAATAAAAAATAAAATAATAAAAATAACAAAATAAAAAATAAAATAAATAGAAGTAATAATAAAATAATAATAAATGAAAATAACTACACTGCACTTCGAACAAAGCCCGACGTTTCGTGCCCATGGGTCTCTCTAAGAGGGCTGAATATTTAACAGGAGGCGGGGAAAGCCTCACCAAGTTCATCCAATCAGCGCGCGGGGGCTGCACTTCCTCTAGCCAATCAGCGCTTTCGTGGGCGTGGCCTGCGTGGCCCGCGTGCTATATAAGGCCTCACAGACGATCGCTGGGCATTCGGCGACCACAAGACCGGCGTTTAGAGTTGTCGCTCCTCTCATCTCGGCTTCGTTTCATTCACATAATTCGTTTTTAAACGAAAGGTAGTCGACAATCGCTTTATTCGGTGAAATCTACCAACTCAGTAGTGTTATATACCATGGCCACGCCGCCGAAAAGAATGTGCATCAGCCCCTCGCTGAATGACAGCTTTGAAAAGCGGGTTAAGCGCGTGTCTATTGAAGGCAACATCGGTGAGTTTATTTTACGCATCTTCATCATCGTTTAGCCATGGTCAATCCACTGCTGGATTAAGGCCTTTCACAGCCGTTCTTACATCTCCCCCGATGTGTGTGTACAACAGCAATCGACCGCAACGCCAGCGGATTTGCTGGATGTGTTGCCTGACGCGTTCCATTAATTCGGCTGATTAAATGATCAATAAGAATTACATTTCCATCTTTACTATTGTAATTAATTGTTCACGCAGCCGGTTAAAAATGTACGTTTCAAATGTACCGCATATTGTTAACCACTGCCTTGTAATGATTACACTCGGCCGACCATCGGAGGTCAGGGTTCGTTTTTATTTTTTAAATGTAATAATTGTTATTCTGACAGGGAGGGAAGCTATGTCGTGTGACTGATATGATCCAATTAAAGCGTCTAATGTTTGTCTATATTTAATATTTGTTATTTTTTTTAGTTATAAAAGCGAAAGTCACCGGGTGAGGCGGCACGTGACGTTGAGTTTTGGCGCCAAACACGAATTTCCCAACAACAACAAAATCGATTTTAAAATAGATTTAATTCAAAATTAAACTCATTTAAACAAAGGCACCGTTGTGTATTCCTTGTGTTTATAATCCCCTATTGGTAGTTAATAAACAGGGTTATACTGTATATAGTATCAACGCTATGTGTTGTATTGCAACCGAAATGGTTTTGAAGCTGAAATTGGCGGTAGTGATGGATGGGGATGTGAGATTACTTCATAATATAAACGATCTAAAACAAATTAAACATGGTTATTGTTCGTGTAGCATATTAGTACGATAATATACCAGTGTGTTTATAATGTATCTAAGTTCGATACCCGCTGTGGTTAATTCAGTATCGGGAGCAATCGGTTTAAACCAAAGAGATGGAGGTGGTGGTGAATCGATTCCCGGGGGGGGAACAATTAAATATTTACTCGATTAAAAAATATTGCAATAATCATCGTATCCACCTAATCTGGAACTCCATTCGTAGAAATGTACGGGTGAGTGTTGTTAAATCTATGACGACTCTGTTCTTATAACAACGACGCCGTCGCATGGGGCGCGGGGATATGCACAGTACTTCCACTATTTTAGTTATCGATCTATTAAATAAACCATCGGAGTAAGACGCATTAAACATCGCGCATTCGTCGAACGAAACGCTATAGCTCGATACCGTCTATCACAACACTCCGGCCAGAGAGTGGGGGGGGGGGGAGACGGATGATGGTTAACGACGCGCAATTTCGATTTGTGTGTAGGTCGTTTAAACATCGCCCTGTAAGTTTTGAACGTGGAGTGGCGGCGGTGTATGCTTCGCTTAATCGCTCGAGGTGGTGGTGGTTGTCACTTCATTGTCATTGTCATTGATTGCCTTCGGCAGCGAGACATTTGCCCGCGTCTTTTTGCCTTTGGCGCGCTTTGCTCGGCGTGGCGGTGGCGCGATTTTCAACCCGAATTGCATAACAATAACAATGCCCTTTTTATGATGAAAAAGCAAAACAAAAATAGGGTTTTACCCTTTTCTGTCAATACAACAGGAGGTGTTTAAGATGTTAAAACGGTAAATCGATAAAAACATTTTAAGGAATGAAGTCTGCAATTACCCGCACGCACTTGTGTCTTTGGAACTGATTGATCTGCACCAAAGACAGCGGCGTCTTCATGGCCCAGTCACTGTCTGATATTGACGAAAAGCTGCTCACCACAAATGCGTTACATTTCGATTTAAAGCTTTCGTGACTGCAGGGATTCATCTTCTTGGTTCTTTCGGCTAAAGTCACGTAGAAGGGAAGTAATAAAATAATAAAAATTAAACATAAATTAATTAAG